TTGCTTAATCACTTACTTGGACGATATAGAGTGCATATACTGTAGGAACTCATAACTAATCAACACTAAATAATCACTGCTGAAAGGGAATGGTCGATTCCTGATAAGCATGGGGTAAAGCTCTCTGTTCTGTGGATATCCCAGGAAAAGCAAGTATTTCCAATTCTCATTCTAGGGACCAACTCTAAATCTGGATCCAAAGCATCTTATTCGCTCTATAGGTTAGGGGGTTCCCCGACTTCTGCGAGATCTGACCCTGGGGATGAAGTTTCAGTGAGATTTTCATAGATCTGTCTCTCTCCTTACGTATAGGCGAATCAGGAGCCAGGAATTTACTCCTTTGCTTCAAGGTTCAACTCTTCCCACGTTGTTTGTGCTTCTGTCCCTGCATCGCTCATCTCTTTAATTTTTGTTCTTTTCTCTCTGCAAGGGAGAGATTTCCCCGCGCAATATGTAGACATCACCCGGTGGCGAGTTCGCAAACAACTCGGCAGTTCTCACCCCAGAAGTGGATGAACCTCGGGTTCGTGCATTGATCGACGCAGCCATCTATGTGCAGCTACTTTGTTTGAGGGTACATGTAGGCTTCTCTTCGAGTTTAGGGTATAGATTATGATCTACCCTTTGCATGGAATATTTGCTGGATAGGGCGGAATACCTGCTGCCAGCCGTGATAGGCTTGCGCTGATATATCAAGCTGGCCCAGTGGCTTCTTGAGATTCTGGTTTAGACAATGTATGATACTCTATCAGCTATCAGATGATTAGTTGATTGCCCACTATATGTTATACAATCCATACATAGTACATAGTACATCTAGTATCAACCGTAGGTATCCAAGTCTTCCGAGACGTGCAGTAGTATATACAGCAAGATTCAGTATCACAAAACCATACAGCCCACTTAGTTTAGCTGTAGGAGCAGGATTTTTCTTTTCGCTTTTTCGACCTCGAACATGGATACGTTCCCACTCTGTTTTTCCGGGCACCGCCAACCATGGAAAGATCCTGTCTTTCCCGAGTGTCTAACCAGAACTCCACCAACGGTGGTTATCCAGGGCCGTTCCGGCGCCCAAAAACCATGGTCGGCCACGAGACCCGACCGTTTTTTTTTTTTCTACCCCTCCAAAAGTACGGTGCCCTGGGGCAACATACATAGTTCTAATGGGGTTGACTACTGTAATGCATAGAAACACAATTTTTTTTTTGGTTCCGCCCCGCTCCTCTTGACATTTTCCGCTCCACTGTGGCATTGGACGTGAAAAACAGAGTGATGGTGGCGGGGGTCGGAAAGTAGCGGGTATTGTACGCGTAGGAGGTTGGCAATTCAGGTCTTTTATCTGTAGAAAGATAACTAATTTAGAACTCAAGAGGGCAAGGAGTATAGGTTGTGCTTTGGTATATTCTTTGGGTATTTAACCAATAGCAGCAAGCTAGGAAAACCTCAACTATATTCTTTTGAAACACCTCTTTTACTATTAGGTGCTGGGCAGATGTTCGACGTCATAGAAAGGGCTGGGAAACGGCTAGGATATTTCATTGTCTATCTGATACCCTGGAGCGAAAAGGATCGTACAGTATCGGAGCAAAAAAAAAAAAAAAAAAAAAAAACCGTGTATACAGACCGGTGGAAAAAAATCCCTTCCAAGCCCCTCTGCGGAGAGCCCTCCGCTGTCAAGAAGAAAATTTCTTCTTCCGTCGGAGTGGGAACCACTCCACTCTATCAGTCATTTTTTTCGCCGTTTGAATCTTTAAGTCAAGGGAGGGTCTTGGGTGGTGGACAAGGTGCAGGAGGATGTCATAGAATGATCAAGACAGCCTTGGAAGGTGAAAGTATAAAATCCGATGCTGGTCTTAATCTCCGGAGCCACTTCCTCTATTCTTAGGAGCTGGGCATGGCGTCATGACTTTTGTTTAGGGTCTCAAATTGAGTTTTTTTCTTTCTTTGTCTCTTTTACAGTATTCTTTTGATTCGTGATTAGCTGTAATACTCAAGTCAAATTCACCAGGGACACGCGCTATTTGCAAACTCTTCGCGTGGGCCACAGCGAATAAGGATGATGCTAACTAGCAACGTAAATTGGCGCACAAGATCGCCTGTTTGGGTAAAGCCACGCTACTACTGGGGCTGTGGAGGCTCAAGGCTTGGGTTCGTTTCTTCCCCTTTAACATACATGCATACTTGTACAGCTATTTTGTCTCAGCAGCACGTCCTCTTAGAGCGATATATATCTATATATTAAATTTCTTTATATTGCTTGCGAGTCATTCTCTTATCTTCTTTCAAACGACAAGGATACTTCCACTAGTGAACTTCTCACCACGGCTGCTTGCTGTGTATTGGTAAAACACGCCCATTGAAACCGGCAAGGTAATCGGAGTAAGGCTATTCGATACACTAGGGCTCTGTCTAGTTTAGCGCAAGAAACTAGAGTGGAGAATACCCGAACAAAAAGCGACTCCACCGGGAGCCGTATTATGCTTCGTACTGGTCCCAAATGGGATAAAGTGGCTTGGGGGCAAACAGCGACTCAGTTGTCTATGATCCTCGATTGACTTGGGTACTGAACACGGCAAGGCTCTCCAAACTCACACTCGAACCCTTTCCCTCCCTGCAGGTGCGAGGAGCCGTGAAATTCAGGCGCCCCATCTTAGTTATTTTCTGCCTCGGTCCACGCTATGCCGTCATCGGAGTTGCGTCCCACACTTCTGCGTGTGCGTATCTTGCATCTTCCATGGCTTTGATGTTCTCACTTGCTATGGAGAATTGTGGTTTTTGGGACTCCATCGAATCTCTCTTACAATCAGCTATCGAGAAATCAAGTGGCTTTGGATAGTCTCAAGCACATGCACTGGGCTCGCTTAAATGGGCAACCTGCCACGGTGGATTGGGCCATCTCGGATTTGCTGATCGATCCGGTATCTTCGCCTCCGAGGGCCAGTCTCGATCGTGGAAGCTAAGTTCACGACGCGATCGCACGCTATCTTCCACGATCTTCACTCATTTTAGGCAAACACAAATGGCACTAAGTGTTCATTTCAGCCGAGTTCCCTCCCAAAAGCTCGAACCGGAGGGAAGGGAGATCCAACGAGATGTCTTGGATTCAGCTGTGCCGACACGCGGTGGAGCCGATCTCCGGGACCAAACGAGTTCTTCGAATTGAGTTCGATAAGCCCTGGTTCAGAGCTGCCCATTCGTGAAAGAGAGAGAGAGAGCTTCGGATTTCCCAATAATGGGAAAATCTGGCGCCCGATGATCGTCATCGCATCGTATTGCTCTGTGCTCCCCCGGAATAGGCTGGAATTGAGCTCGTCGCATTTGTGCCCCGAAGGCGCGCTCGAACCCGTGCTGACGCCACCCCGCACCTTGTCGGGCAACCTCGAAGGGCCGGGGTTGCCGGTCGCAGCTGAAAATGGAGGGGTGCTGGCAGCGCCACCATCGCATCAAAATACCCGCGATGGCACAACCGACTCTCACTCAACGATGAATGAGAGAGAGAGAGAGAGAGAGAGAAGAGAGAGAGAGCAGCAATGGCACACGCATTCTCTCCCCTCCTCACCCCCTCTCTTGCCGTGTTACTCCAATCAAACTCGCAGGTTATTCATGGCAGCCCTTCACTCGTCCTTTAGCTTACTTTTCTTGCCCATTGACATGTTGCCGCTGCGATCGCATGTGGGCCATCCCTCTGCAATGTCAAGCACCGCGTGGCCTATAAGATGTCCCGATGCCACAATGTTGGTTGGAATCTGATACATCAGGAAACCACGCTCATGGTCCCCCTCCCCCAGGCCAGCCACACCCTATTCAAGGTATCAAGGTATTATTCGAGAATGGGGGCTGCTTCTGACGTGGCACACCTCTGATGGACAGAGATTGTCTGCACCCCTCCAAGACTGGAGGAGAGGCCTCTCTCGCATGACGATTGGCCGAGGACTAATGTGCTCGTTCTGACCATGTTCAGCCACGTCTGTCTACACGGGAAGATCATGGTCATACAGGCCCTTACTTCTCGACACTGACTTGGTACAGCATGAACATCGTCAACAATGACTCTGAGCAATCCACACCACTGGAACTTACATCCCACACGACCGGACCTGACACGCAAGGAAACGATTGGATGTGCAATGGCATCGCACTTCTTATCTTCAATCATGACACGACCAGGTCTGGATTCGCATTCGGCAGCCGCCTGCAGGTCTATAAGTGGACCGATCGACGGAAGCGCTGACCGCTCCTCGCCAATTGATGGATTTGAAAAAGATATACCCTGTCGGCGATGTTGAGTTGACTACGGAAAGTTCAAGATCCGTCAGCCTGTCACTCGGGTTGCACGAGCTTTGCCCCTGGAAATGCAGATGCAGCCCTTCTCATTTAGGAATTTCCCCCTTGTAAAAAAATTAGTATCTGGATAAGAGACAATCATTTGCGAAAACACATACAAACACATACAGTCAATACCTAGCGGCGTTGATGTCGAGGATGGTTTGTCTTACCTCGGGTTAATTGCTGTGGTTCAGTTGAGCTTGCTCGTAGAGCGGTGGATAATTGAGAAGACATGGACACAGTCCAGATTCCCAAAACCTAGTTGGTTCCTCATGTGCAAGGTATGATTACAACCATAGATTGTTCAGTGCCCTAACTTAGTCCATTCACACTCAGTCCATCTTATTGTCTAAATCATGCCTGGAAATCTAGGTGTCAAACACATACTACACGTGACCACCGGACAAACTCTACCTATATGGATATTCCGACCGTTGAAAATTATCTACAGAAAAAAAAAGTGACCGCGCGACAAGCCGCCGATCAAGCTTCAGCACCAGGCATTTCATCACCAATATTGGACATACGAGATGAGTGCGTAAGGGTTGGCTGTGCAGCTAGAGCTGGAACAATTTGAATTGATCTCCAGCGCCTCTTCTTTCCACGTCTATTCGACCAAAACCATCCAAGGCCAAAAAGAGAGAAAAGAAAGCTTCGGCTTGATTTCGCCCACCATGGATATCCACCGCTGCCGTTTCGTGTCCTATAACCCACAGGCGATCAATGCGCTTGCATTCTCGCACCCTCCATCCGCAGACCTTGCCGGGCGAGGCGTGCCCACCCTTCGACTTGCGATCGGCCGTGCCAACGGCGACATCGAGATATGGAACCCGCTGCGCGGCGCATGGTTCCAGGAGACCGTGCTGCGTGGAGGCAAAGACCGGAGCATCGAAGGACTCACCTGGACGCTGGACCCCGCCGAGGACGGCCCCGACGGCGCCAAGCTACCGGGCAAACTCCGTTTGTTCAGCATTGGATACTCGACCGTGGTCACGGAGTGGGATCTGGAACAGGGCCGCCCGCTGCGCCATTCGAGCGGGAACTACGGCGAGATCTGGTGTTTGGCCGCGCAGCCGCGGTGGCAAGCCACGCGGCGGAGCAAGGATGGGAAGCTGCAGCCACCGGCCGAGGGCGAGTTCACGGGCCAGCATCTGGCGGCCGGGTGCGCGGACGGCTCGATTGTGATCTTATCGACGGCCGATGCCGACCTGAAGTTCCTGCGCTTGGTGCGTCCCTCGACGAAGCGAGCTCGCGTCCTCAGCGTTACCTTCCAGAACCGTCACACTATTGTCGCCGGTTACGCCGATAGCTCTATCCGCCTCTTTGATATTCGTACTGGTCAGCAGCTGCGGACGATCTCGCTTGGAAAGGGTCCAATGGGTGGCCCGAAGGAGCTTTTGGTCTGGTCGGTCAAGTGTCTGCCGGATGGAACGATTGTCTCGGGCGACTCAGCCGGTGAAATCCGGTTCTGGGATGCGAAGAACTACTCGCTCATTCAGCGCATACAGGGCCACTTGGCCGATGTGCTTGATGTGGCTGTCAGCGCCAATGGAGATACTGTTGTTAGTGGCGGTGCGGATCAGAGGACCGTGGTCTACCGCAAGAAAGAGGGCGAAAAGGGTGATAAGAAAAGTCGATGGGCAGAGGTTATGCATCGACGATACCATTCGCACGATGTCAAGACTTTTGCCGTCTACGAGACTAAAGATATCAGCATCGCCGTGTCTGGAGGTATGTGACTTGACTCCACGACTTAGAGCTCTGACCAAATGCTTATCTATGTGTCTACAGGTCCCGATGCCACCCCGATTGTTTTGCCGCTGCGTGAATTTGGGAAAGAACACCACCGGAAGCTTTCCAGTCTGCCACAAATTCCCCAGCTCGCCTCTTCACCTTCATCCCGGCTGGTGATGAGCTTCTGGGATCGAGAGATTAGCCTTTGGCGGATCTCTCGCGGACCTACATCATTGTATGAGAACATTGAAGGCCAGAGGCATAGATTGGTAGGCAAAGTTTTGATTCAGGTAAGAATCATTAAGATTGAAAACAGTTGAATCTTTGCTAATTGTTTGTTTAGGGCGAAGAGCATATCACCTCGGCCATGTTATCTGCAGACGGCAAACTCCTCGTTGTCGCCACCACCTCCGATGTTAAGCTGTTCGCAGTCCGTCGACGAAAGGGTGACGAGAAGGGCGCTCTGCGGATACAAAAGATCGACGTCTCTAAAGCTCTCTCCGAGGAAGGCGCGCGTCTTGTGACCATATCCCCGGACAGTCGCTGGCTGTGTGTGATTCGACCCAACAGTGATGTCTACATGGCCAAGATCCAGCCCGCCTCTGTCGCCAGTGATAAACTCCAAATATTGTCGCACCTTCTCAAGCTCAAGAGGGTTGTACGGCACACACGGCATGAAAAGGCTTCTCACGGGACGTTGGGTGATTACGAGCGCATGATACGCACTGTGGTCTTTTCTGATGACAGCAAGATCTTGGCCGCTGGGGATCTTTCTGGGTGTGTTGACACTTGGGAGCTCAGCACTGCAACCGTATTCGGTGCTTCGAATAAGAAGAGCAAGGGAACGGCGGAATCTGACGACGACTCTTCCGATGACGAGGACGAGGACGTTGCAATCGAGGGCGAGCGCTGGCAGATTGCTGCCGCAGAGTCGCCCATCCCCCGCACGAAGTCAGGAATCACCCTGCTGTCATTCCGTCCGCACAGTTCTCCGAAAAAGGCCCTGAGCAATGGCGCCGATCACGCGCACCAGGGTGAGGATCGACTGATGGTGCTCACTAGCGAACACCAACTGATCGAATTCAATGCTCTGGATGGGAAACTGTCCGACTGGTCCCGGCGCAACCCGAAGGCGTATTTACCTGCAGAATTCCGGGGCGTGAAAGACCGAGCCATGGGCTGCATGTGGGATCTGTTCGAGGGCCGCGAGCGCCTGTGGTTGTATGGGACCTCGTGGGTGTGGATGTTCGATCTACTCCAGGACTTCCCCTCCCCGGGGACGCAGAAGCCGAGACCGCCGGCGCCGACGAAGGCAAGGGCTCAGGCCAGCTGGTCAAGGCCTCGAAACGAAAACGCGATGCTCAGGAAGACGGCGAGACCGAGAACGGACGCAAGAAGCCCAACAGCGGTGCCGGAGACCGCATCCCGCAATCCCAGGCGGACATCCACTTCGGGACCAAGGTCCGCAAGATTGTCGGAAGCGACGAGTCGCAGGGAGAGTGGATTTCGCTCGACCAAGAGCGGCCCCGTGTGCCGGGCGAGGACGACGAAGCCTACGAGTACGACGAGGTCTTTGCAGCGACCAACGAAACGAACCTGGCCCGTCTACGCCGTGAGACGGGCGGTACAGGCGAGAACGGTGCTGCTCTGTCAAACGGGACCCCGAAAAAATCTTTTACCTCTGCCGTCGCTAACGGGCTGTCCGATACCCCAACGAAGGCACTCGTCCCTGTGACATCCTCCCAGCCTGCTCGCCGCTGGTGGCACACCTACAAATACCGTGATATCCTCGGTATCGTGCCCCTCAACACTCTCGCTGAGGATCCCGCCAGTGGGAACCTCGAGGTGGCTGTGGTCGAGCGGCCCATGTGGGATGTCGAGCTACCGGGTCGTTATGTGAGGGACTATGAGTGAAGCAGCGGGGTTTCCAATGTTGTTCTTTATGTATTGTCATCGTGCATCCTTGCAGGATATCCGGGCGCTTTGTACAGGGATTCTAAATACATGCCTTTTCCAGCAACTTTTGCTTGAATAAAGTAGATGTAGCCAAGATGGGTTGGCAAAAAGGTATACAAATCGCCTTTTGCAGGCTGTTTTACCCGGATTAGCAGTATTCCGCACAGATGATCCCCTATCTTTATTCTTTTTTCCTCTTCCCTGCGCACTTGCTGACTGCTCGAACAATCATGCCACATTGCGCTCGAGTAATTGAGTGTTCGGCCCCTTTGATTGCACGATATTCACCCTCACTTGGGCAATTCCAATTCAAGGTTCCAACGTAGCTCTTTCTCCCGGCTGAGCTCCACCAGAGCTAAACATCCAACGTGCATCGAGTACAACTGGATCAGAGACGTGGAGACCCTCGAAGAATACGAGCCGGGAGGCTACCATCCTGTCATGATCGGGGGACACACTGCATGGCATGACCGATACTACATTGCAGACAAACTTGTGCATGGCGGTATGGGATAATCTCTACTGATATCTCTCTGTGTTCTTCGAACTAGGCTAATGTTGGGCTCTCATGGTTTAGATCTACATTTGAACAACGTTCTGCTCAAGCTTCCGTCTAATTTCAACGATCTTTCCATCGAACAACTATATGAGAAGTACGGCAAACCTGAAACAGTTCCTATTACACGATGTAGCGGAGAGCCGCTCCCCCCGAACGTCCCAGCCAAAGCAGTTGTCCCGCTGTCGCTATTCCTTAAAGAAGCTTCAGAAGAACTCACAGTACCCGAGGCGCGTCTACTTCTTAGCGACCTTGGCGAAGCCTTTGTGCCAGCCTCAGAACTTCGACTCGGGCGAGACTGCCATACTCCGCTAGCATATCGAACCCCAGAAGCCAATTCGAGCCAGATATCCCGCCTAGCTATCCATCGGATATCTGGAGCTTGGCGACGACTATCTGGGATATCATCGGACAGGAAACCATCTTTAGTAACGCCTGGGTGACGGAAGATGAGATAGCCTCACAGTACATCGATGTCCTGGGACCGATGCCTTTGGAGTGGTGGATGCGATGGGAAGGACGAAGCCAATTCTTCTCTGACGATGGGCAATCAACCGAGTTCCATCGGAGAAACAAATGGCAGCCACTTGATGAGATGTTCGAGGATTGTGTACAGCAACATCAACGGAAAGGAACTGTGATTGGGGAAGATGAAAAGGGGGCTTTTCTGCATTTGATACGTCGCATGCTGGTATTCCGTCCAGAAGAGCGATTAACTGCTGACGAGGTGCTTCGGTCGGACTGGATGGTCCAGTGGGCGTTTCCTGACTCTAACCGGAGCTTCAAGGGTTCTCTTTGATGATATCAACGTGAATATCAAGTGGTTACTGGCTATCGAGCCAAGTTTCGAGGGTTCCCTCCCGTGGTTTGAATGGAAAGTAACCAGCAAAAAACCGGGCTTCCATTTTAGAGTCTGGCTTCGTGAGTCACGGACTCATTATTACATCAGTTCATGATAACCTCTGATAGAAAATTCTCTCCAGTTGTATTCCATACTATTCCTACTGTTCTCTTCCTCTTAACATCATCACTATGGGACGCAAGAACCTCATTGCTACTACTACAGGGGCCAACCCAGCGCCAACATGCTTCCTCTGCGAGATGGAAGTTCCACGCACCAGTAGGAATGGAATTGCAGGGTCCCATCACACTGCTCCGCTGCTCAAAAGCAAATGGAGAAGCTATTGGAGATCTCGTCTCAAGCATGTGATGGTGCCGTCCATCGAGGTAGAAGAGGCATACTTTGACAATTTCCCCCGGATATGGTCATGCCTCTGTCGAGCTAGTAGGTTCCAGGTATAATATCTCGAACTATTCCTCAAATCTAACTCCCCGGTACAGTTGTTAAGGAGTCGGATACCAAATACCGTCTAACAGGTATTAATATGATACAAGAGGAAGCATGCGACCCCTATTTCTTTCCCAAAGATCCAGCAAGTGCGAGAATTGGTGGGAGACCAAATGCCCGATACGATACTGAAAACTTCACTCGATTATTTGCGGCAAAGATGGGAAGACAACCGCCCCAGTATAAGGGAGAGCTGCTTGGGTATATCGTTCATGCTCATTGCTGGGTGCTCTTTGCTCGAGTCCTGGGAGCAATCCCGACTCAAACCCAACTCCCGAAGATCATCCAAGCTGCTCGCAATCACTGGCGCATTCACAAACTACGCCCCTTGGAGGATTACAATGCTCGTTGGGTCCAGCCAACACAGGCCCTGTCAGAGTTCGACCATGACTGCGATATTTACCAGAATCCACTCATCATACCAGCACTCCAAGAAGTATTCACCCACACCAGCACCGCTCAATTTCCATACCCACCCCCGTGTTCGAGCACGCTTTCGATAGAAGTAGCTGTCCTGATCTCTGAGTGGGTCTGCCCGGCTGTCTACACTGTGGTTGACGTTCAAAATATGCGCAATATGCTACTGGTGTTTCAGTGGCAGTTGCCGGATTGGTTCTGGCGAAGGCGGCTCAAAGAAGAGATGTTCTTCGAGTTGGATGCTTTCAGGAAGTCGCACTCATCAGTGGATTGGCAGACATTACGCCTTGATTTGATGGGTCTTGTCGCAGATCGAACTTGGTATACTACCAAAGGTTTGGCAAATCGTGAACGCATGCTCGGAAATATAGTTGCTATCCAGAAGGCCTCTGGAATGATCTAACAGAGCACAACTTTTGCTTCTTATTGCGGAGCGTAGCGGAGCACTCTAAACAACCATACCGGGTCACCTGACCTTTCTCTCTCTTAACTAGAGGTAGGCTCAGTATATGTCATGTGACTTTGCCCGACTTCTGGCGCTCTGATTGGTGGAACCCTTGCACTATGATTGGCTGGCAAAAATAGGTGTCAGGTGATATATAAGCCCTATACCCTAGAAATACCAGTTTGAGATTAGTTAAAAATCTAAGGGTTGTTCACGTGATTAATTATGTGATAAGAAACGTGACTATTGGTGATGGCCGGCAAATTTTAGGGTTTGATTAAACTGTTTTGCCGTCACGGTATATGCCGTCATTTTTATCGGCACACGCATCGTCTACATAGATATTTATTGCAGTGGGGGATTCAGCAAAGTGGGTGTAAGGGGGTGTTATCACAAACCTGTCCTTGCAATCTCCACCGTCTCTGACCGCTGGCGGGATCGACTTTACTACTTCTGTATGCTATTGGTAGATGGACTTGTGTAGAATTCTTGGTGGGGAGTGTCTTCCGAGTGCAGTATATCGGGTAACCGAGCAGACAAGATTTAGTTCGCCTAATTAACCACCGAGCTCTCGAGAAAGCTGCAGAAGAAATGTACACTGCAAGAAGCTGCGCGGTGCCAAGTTCTACGCAGTATCAACACTCAATTAATTACCTTGCCAAAGACCTTGGTCTACTTTGATGCACAAGGATGCAACTCAATCCCATGAGCAACCGTTGCGGGGTATTTTTGTGAGATTTGGAGATACTATGGCAATGCCCTAGCAACACTCATAGAAGAGGGGATAAGATAGATATTGGAGAGACAAGAGACAAGAAGAGGCAGGAGATAACATAGACGGCGAGTTTCAGGACAGGGAATTTAGGAGAGCACAGAGGACAGGAAAGAAATGTGTTTTTGTGTTTCGGGGTTAGGGTTTTTTTTTTTTTTGGTTTTCCAGGATAAGAGAGTAAGATCAAGGGGAGGACACGAGAGGCAAATACAAGGAGAGAAATCGGGAGCATGGCAACAGATGACAAGGAGAGGGAGCGAGATAGAGAGACAGGGCTGTGAGCGAGGTTCAAGGAGAATTAAAAAAAAAGAGACTCGAGGTAGGGACTGCGAGATGGACGGACTCGGATAAAAAGAAAAGTCGGCGATAGGAATCGGATATCGGGAAGGAATTCGAGCGGGATTGATATGCTGGATGTCTCGAGCAGAACCAGGAATTGAATAGACCGAGGTCATGTTGACAGGCTGCGATTCGGTTAAAAAGAAGAAAAAGTAGTCATCTCTTGGTATCTTACACCATGTAGCATCCATCGCAGCGAACCCTTGCCCTTTTGATAGGAGAAACGCAGGTGAGGGTCAAAACAACAAAGTCGAAAAACACAAAAGGAAAGAAAAAGCGCTAGCACATGACCGTCGCTGGTCGTGACCGACAGTCTCTGAAAAAGTCGTTAAGGTCGAAGAACAAAGGAAAATCGCTCGAGCAGACCTATCCGGACTCATCCCAGGTGTATTTTTTTTTTTTTTACTCCTGGGGCAGCTGGCTGCGGCGAGTCTTCTCGGCTTCGAGGTTCTCGTAGAGCAGGTACAGGGCCTTCTCGTTGGACTGGGCGCTTCCCATGATGGTGAACATGCGCTCTCCGGTGTCGTCGTGGGGAGCTTTGGCGATTGAGATGCGAGCACCAGAGCTTCGGCGGATCTCGGTGATCTTGCTTCCGGCCCGGCCGATGATGCACCCAACCATGTCGGCAGGAATGCTGATGTTCTGGGTCTGAATCTCCTCGCCGTCTTCCGTCACCAGGGGGTATCCACGAGCGCCCGCATCCGAGTTGGATCGTCGGTTGTAGCCACCATCACTGAAATCGGCGCCATTGCCGGTGCGGTTGTACTGGCGGCTGTTGTAACCATTGCCACCAACCGGGCTGGTGCTGCTGTTGTTGATCGGCTGCGAACCGAGGGTTGCGCGGACAGCTGGGTTGTAGAGCACGGTGCCAGTGCCCCGCTGCCAATCATCGATCAGGCACTTGCCAATTTCCCAGACAGCCTTCTCGATCCCCTCGGGAGTGCCTTGCACCTCGACAATACGCTCCGTGGATTGAGGAAGCATCTCCTTCTGCGCAACCATGCGCACGCCGGAGGCGTCCTGGATGTGCTTGATCTTCAGACCCTGTCGCCCGATGATGGTACCCATCTGGTTATGGGAGATCAGGAGTCGAACAGCTAAACAAGTTAGCAAAAGCCCAAGAACTGCCACACAAGAAATGAGAGGGAAAGAGTAGGAGACACTGCCCGAAAGAAAGTGAGTACTTACGGTGGGTCCCATTGTTGGAGACAATACCACCCATGCCCATTTGCGGAGCACCTTCCAGCAGGCCTTTGGCCACAATCGCGTAGGCGCTGGCAGTGCCTTGCAAAGGCCCGGTGACGGTCAAAACCCGGTCATGGACTCCGGGAACAACCTTGCTCACACCAGCCTTGACGCCAGTCTCATCGCGCAAGTCAGCGACATTCTTACCAGCCTTGCCGATAATGATGCCCGCCTCCTTGGACGAGACGATGGCACGCAGAGTCAGCATAGACTGCGCATACTCCTCCTCGGTCTTGGGGGGCTCCAGCTCGCCCTGGTCAGCCAGGTTGTCGTAAGCGTCGGGCATGGTTTCGTCCACAACGGTGTTCTGGTGAAGGTCTGTGTCCATAGTCTTGATGGTAAATGAGGAATAAAAGGACTTGAGATGGGAATCGAGTTGAGGAAGCGACTGAGGGTGGTTGGGAAAGTCACACGGTCGCGGGAATGTGGAGGGAAACTTTGCTCAATAATGCCAGGATTAGTTTCTGCGACAAAAATGGAATCAAAGACCGCATGTTGCGATCAGGCATCATTCATGGTCGAAGGCAGAGAAAAACGTAGAGGGGCGGACGTACCGAAGAGGATGGATGAGGAAAGTGGAGAAATCGAGGTTCAAGGTGGGAGGGGGTGTGAAAGTACGGAGAGGTGGGGGTGAAGGGGGAGGAGAAAAAGAAAGAGAAAGAGAAAGAGAGGAAGAGAGGAAGAGAGGAAGAGAGGAAGAAAAAGGGACGAGGTGAAGAGGATGGAGGCAGAAAGGGAGAGAGAAAGAGGATGAGGGTTTGATGAGAAGCGAAGACGGAAAGAGTTGAAGTTGGAATTCGGCGGGGACGCCAGTTGACTATCCACCTCAGGGGTCTATGTCCTTTTATTGATCCGCCACAAACACCACCTTCTGCACTTTCATCTCATTAAACAGCTCATATCCCTCCACGGCCTGCGATAGCGGCATGATCTTGTCGGCCATGAATCTACGAGAGTTAGCTACAGCATTACTGATTTTCTCTTTTTTTCTAATGCCACTTACCCAAGCTTGTGTTGGTTCTTCTGGAGAACCTCGAGTGCCTTGGGTGCCACTGATCGCACAGGACACCGGCCCATTTGGAGGGTGAGGTTTTTGCCATATGCCTCATTGCCATCCCAAGGAATCTGCAAAGAAAAACCCTTGGTCAGTGATTTTGCAACTTTTCCTCGAAAAGAAGTCCTAATTACCTCTCCGTTGTGGACTCCCACGCTGCTGATGGTCCCCCACGGCCGCAACAGATCAAACCCAGTACGCAGCGCCGGACTTAGTCCCACTACCTCAATGACGGCGTCGGCTCCCCGACCCTCAGTCAGCTCTTTCACGCGCTTATCCAGGCCCGGGCGGTCGAGCTTGAAATTCCAGGGCTCAGCCCCAAGCGACTTGGCCAACTCTAACCGCGAAGGGACCGAGTCGACAGCCAAGAGATGCTTGGGCTTGAACTCCAGAGCATTGGTAAGTGCGCAGAGCCCAACAGGCCCACAGCCGATCAACACAACTGTCTGCTCAGCGATCTGCTCTGGGGTAGAGTTCTTGAATGCATTGCTGGCAGCAAAGTATCCCGTCGGGAAGATGTCGGCCATCAGAATCAGGTACTTATCCTCGACGCCCTCGGGAGCCTTCATAATAGAGCCTTCTGCGTTGGGGATGCGGACCTGCGAAACGAATGTGAGGTCCATATTGCGCCAGGTCATAGAGAGACATTATGCGAAGCTCACATATTCGGCTTGCCCGCCGTCCAGCTTCTCGCATCCAAACAGGGTGTTCTTCTCACAGCGCGAGGAAAACCCTTCCTTGCAGTAAAAGCAGCCGCCACTTTCAAGGTCGTCAGCAATGGCTCCAGTCCCTGGATTGACTTGAGAGCGGTCGAGTACATACCATGATGTGGTGAAGGCACTGACAACTCGATCGCCTGTCTGGATAGTCGTGACAGCACTGCCCAACTCAACCACCTCGCCGACAAACTCATGGCCCATGATACAGGGCCCGCTCTTCTCCAGGCCGCGGTACATATGAAGCTCGCTAGCCAAGAACAAATACATCGAGATTAGAGTAGACTTTCCAACATAAGGTATAAAAATCATTTATAACCCCCCTAGGTAGACAACTTTGGAACTCACCTGCCACAAAGCGCCGTATACCTAACCCGAATGACAATATCTTCCGGATTCTGCACTTTCGGGATAGGCTTTTGTTCAACGGCCACCTTATAAGGCTCGTGGAATACCACGGCCTGCATCATGCCGGAATTCGCAGGAGAAGCCATTTTTTTAAAGAGCCCGTCGAGTCCTATCGGAAGAATAAAAAGAAAAGAAAAGAAAAGAAAGTTGACAGCGAATTTAAAGAAAAACCAACTGGTTCCACGCCGCAATGCAGATTCCATGGCAGAAGTCCGTGGCCCACTCGGCTTTCTGTGCGGGCTTGATCTGGTGGGGCTGATAATCTCCGTTCCTCCACGCGAGCATAGACTTGGTATAGTTGATGATGGCGGTGTATTTAAGGAGAGATGGAGAGAGATGAAAGTCTACGAGAGATCTATTTGCACAGAATGGGGTGGTTTCTATACACCCACTGCCCTCAGATGGAGACCCAGCTACATCTACATCTACATCTACCCCCAAATCCCCGAGATCGAACTGTCATATTGCGATTGCTAAAATGCATGACCCCCAGATCCCCCATTGCGCCTTGAGCCCTGTCCGGCATATGGCTCGTTCCGTCAAGTCCCAGGTAATAAATCATATGCTCCTTGCAACGCCCGTTCGTAACCACCAGAGCTGAAAAAGTGATGAGAGTGAAAGAAGAAGAAAGGGTAAAGAGACCCGCAGGAATAAGTCTGGGGAAAAAAAAGAAGCAAAAACGCAAGACGAATGCCCTCCAAAAGGTCTTCCCAGATATCCCTTTCTGACGAGGATTCGGAAATGTCCGGCAAGCGTGTGGACGTCGGAAGCAATCGCATTCAACACACGACGCAAAGCAGCTCCTCCTCGAGGATAAACTTGCCCTCCTTGTATTTCTCGCTGCTCTCGTAGGCCTTGTCGTACTTCCACCCTACCGTTTCCTTGCACTGCCGGCAGGCGATATCGCGCACGATGTGGCGGCCGGTCGTCATGCTACGTTCCACGGCATCGGACTGGGTGATATTGACGACGTTGTTGAACAAGTATGCTTTGCCGTGCTGACCTCGGAAGTTCTGGCGTCCAAAGGGAGGCAGGTAAGCAACAGAACGGATATACGGTCGGAAGGCACAGTCACTTGGATGGGGAGTGGGGGAAATGCTCACCCGGCTAATAATGTCGTTGTAATCGGCCAAATGGGTTTTGCACTGCTTGCATCCAAAGATCTTGTTGGAGGTCAGGTAGACATTGTATGAGAGGCCCATGGTGACTGGAGTGATGGGTTTGCCAGTAGAACCCTCGGCACAGAGAGATCAACAGCTAGTGGGTGGGATGTCCCTGGGATGTGAGTGCAAGGCAGCAATATGGTGGATTTTCTTGAAATAGGAGCAAGCAAGGTATGAGCGACGACAAAGAGTTCCCCAATAAACCGTGTCCTGCCGGCGAGTTGCTTCGATATGGGGTTGCCCCGCCCTGGACGTGATTCTCTCAGGGGGAGGGAAAGGAAACCCAGTCCAACTGCACTTTCTGGCTGTGTATGTGACCGAGAATCACACTATAAGGCTTTAACTTGTTGCTGAGGACCAGAGAGTTCGAAGGCAGGCAGAGCGATGGGGGAGCTTTCGGTGATGGCTGACGGTTCACTGACGATAAGCGGGTTGCGATAAGCGGGTCGGGTGGAACGGTGGAACACAGCTCGGGATTCACGGAACGAGAATCGAACAACCTGCGCTCTGGTCGGGGCGAGAAATAAAAAGAGAGAATCTGAGAAAGAGTCGAAGAGAGTCACGTCGGGAAGGCATCAGAGAATGTGATTTAAACCGGAGTCCCCGCATGATCAGCTTCCCCCGATTTCAGGCCCAAATTTTTGTTAGGCGTTACAAGTACAAACAAATACGCTGACCTTTGCTTCGCTCAGGTGGCTTTAAAAGATATAGTAGAGAATAGAAATTAGATTCAAAAGGCGAATTAACCGAATTCTATCCTGTTTAAGAGGCTTTAATCTTTAGTGAATATACAGATAGCTATCTTACTAGGATTACTATAATTTCGTTCATCTTTTTTCTAAGCCTCTTTTTAGTCTATTTTTCATAAGTCTCTCTTTTCTATACTTTCTCCACTTTATCTGATCTTTTTCTTTTTCTTTCTTTTCAAACAAAGATTTACGACTGTAGGTGTATAGAAGGTCGGGGGGTGGTGTTGAAAATTGATTATGTCATATTTTTGGTGTGCCAGTAGCGAAAAAAAGGGTGTGTCCCTATCAACACCTATCGCCAATCACCAGCGGTATAGCTACTTCGGGAAGGCGGTAGTGGGAAGGGATATATCCAAACCCTTGTGCTGTGAGATTGTTTGATAAAGAGCGTCTATATGAGACCTCATAATGAAATCTATATTATGAAATGGCTATATGCAGGATAGGTTTTTCAATTAAATACAAGTTCACCAAGTGATAGTCAATCTAGAAGGCAGCAAGAAATACTGAAGCCTAAAGGAGACAGAGAGACAGGGTCAAATCAAAACGGGGGGGTTTTTTTTGTACATGAGAATCAACTCCCGGGAAACATGCCTCCATCATTGAATAGATACATAGGGTAAGAAGATGGGGAAAAAAAAGACAAGACAAGAAGAAAAAGAAAAAAGAGGAAGATGACAAGACCTCGGATAATGCCGACGCCAAGAATGCTTGCTTTCTTTTGGGGCAACATTGAATGCACAGAAGAGATTCGTTCAAATGCATGACGGATGCATGGAGCACAGTAATGAGTCAATCACACTCCAGAGGAACCCCGCTGATGACCAGTCAAATATACACAGGCAAAGGCTTGGAGAAATAAACAGGAGAAAAAAAAAAAAACGCCATGATGAACCATGAGGGTCGTGGATCAGATGCAAGCGTGAAGATGATCAAAAATGGACGTTAGTCAATGCTATCATCGAGGTTGACAGTGTCATCGGGTGTGGCTGGGGCACGGGGTCGTAGCCCGAATCTACGTGCTCCCAGACTGTTAGTTCGGAGTCGTGGTTGTTGGATGTGTGTGTAGCTGGCAGCCATCTTGCCCGAGGGGGCAGAGATTCGGGTCTGTGTGGGCTCTGGTTGGGGGGACCGAGGGCTATCCTCTGGTCCAGAGCTTTGGGCGGCTGGAGAGAAATTGGGGGAGAGTCCATAGCGACGAGAACCCGCCTGGATGTTGGAGCGGGAGGTGGCCGGTGTGTAAGTTGCAGGCGCCATGTAGCTTCGGCGGAATGGGATTGAGGAGGACAGAGCGGTGGGAGTACGAGGCTGCGGCTGCGGCTGCACAGATGATTGCGATACTTGATATTGCGGAGAACAAGGTGAGATGCCCAGGCCCTGATCTTGCTGTACACCCGAAATGGAGCGAGAAGCCGAGTGTCTGTGGGAGAACCGCGGTTGCAGAGATACCCCTGGTGTCGGATCTGGTGTGCTGACTTCTGTTATGGCTCGGGAGAGCGAACGACGGTGCGGGGTCCCAGTTTCGGGGGGTTCATCGTCCACTGGTATCCTACGACTGCGGATGGAGGTCGAGATGCGCTGCAGGCGACTGCTTGGCGCAGGAATGCTGGGGCTCTGGGGGGTTTTGGGTTCGGTACTGCTCGAGCTGGGGTTGGCTAGGGACGCTCTGCGCGCTTCAAGACGACTCGGAATTCGATTGGTGCTCTGGCGCCGCTCAACTCCTTCGGGTTCATGGCTGGCACCTCGCTGGTAGGATGGGGTAGGTGCCAACGAATCGTTCTCGGTGCCATTCGGTTGTGCCGTGCCTGCGTCACGACTCCCGCTTGTTTTCCTTTTCAGTTGCTCATCCGTCAAAGCCAGACAAAGTTCGGTCAAGCTGCGACACACACTGTCGGCCTTGCGGCGGGCATGTCGTTCCGAGCTGTACCCGCCATTCACAACAGAGACGGTGCCTGACGGAGCAGTGTTGGCGCCCAACATGGTCGAAAGGGCCAGGGCGTCTGTGATCGTCACCTCTAGGGCGGCGAACACGTCACTGCTCAAGACGCTCTTTGCCTTGGCCAATGCAGACTGCAACAGCGGATGTACTTGGTTTTGGACGGTGGGATTTTCGGCATCTGCAGACGGAGTGCTGACTTTCCGGTGGTGCTTGGGGGAGGAGGATAAAGTGGTCATGGTGGTGGTTGCCGTCCGTGGTCGTTCATTCGTGCCAGAAATCGCCGCTTGAGAGGACGGGGGTAGTTTCCCGGTAAGCTCCAGCTTGCGAATCCGCGACTTCAAGTCCTCAAGTTCGTCCCAGACAGTCGATGGTGCAGTCGTGGACAATGTAGATTCTGTTCCGTCAGCCCGAGCTTTTTCAGTGTCAACCCGAGCCCGCTCGGTCACTTCAGAAGAAGGCTGTCGGCTACTTCGAACGGTGGACAAGGCGGAATGGCGGTGTAATCGGGGATCATGCAGGGAGGACCGTCGTTCCCCGTTGATCGAAGGAGAGCGCGGAGAGGTGTCGGGGCTGGTGCGACTGAACCGGCTTCGGGGCATGCCAATCGTGGATCGTGCGCCAGACCCCAGGCTCGAATAGCGGAAGCGACCTGGGTCATCTAGCGGGTGGGCCGAAGCTGGGGAGTAGGGGGTTGTAGGAGAGCTATTCTGAGCAAGCAAGGGGCTGTCGGCATGGGTTGGGCGTTGATCGGGGGAAGGGGTCTGCTGGTCGGCCATGCGAGTGGTTGGCGACCGCAGGCCCTGGCTGGAATATCCGAGCCGAGACTATATTGTTTCTTCATCAGACCTCATCCTTGCCATCTTGTGGGCGTGGTGCCATGGTTGAATGGGCCGGGAGCAACTTACTCGGCGGAAATCTGACCGGCCGACCGAGTCGTGACGGCCAGAATCGGTCCTGGCGATGTTCAGGAAAACATCCTCATTCTTGGACCGGGGCTCCATGTGGGAGGTTCTGGATTCCCCGACTCGAAGTCCGTTCAGGGCGCGGCCATCCAGGGTTCTAGTTTCAGAATATGCCACACTCGTCGGCATGTTCACATCAGGGTGCGCTGTCTGATTTGATCGCTTCGAGGCATTGGGACCTGGGGTGGTGGGCGAGGGTATGTCGATCAGAGCAGAGTTGCGCGAGGTTTAAGTCGGAGGCTGGGGGAGGAAGCTTGGGACGGATCGCAGTAATAAGGAGCGCTTGGGGGGGTTAGTGTCAGTTTCACGAGTGGGGCTTGATTGAAACTACGAAGAGAGAAGCGGATCCTCTTTTTTTCTTTTCATTTTTCTTCTCTTTTTTCTTTTCTTTTCTTTTATGTTTATTTTCTTTTATTTCCGTTTTCCTTCTTTTCTGCGCAGGTAAATCACGCTGATGTGATGGTCGGGTCACCGCTGATTTAGCTGTGTCTGGGGAAGCCTTGATGCATCGTGGATCACCCGCAAGAAAAAGAAAAAAGAAAAAGCAAATGAGCTGTCACTGCACGAGGAAGATGGTGATCTATCAAGAAATCCTTGGGCCTCTATGCATATCCATGGATACAGTATAAGGTGGGGAATTCAAGTGCCAACTATGTCTCTGCATCTTGCCGTTTCTGTTCTATATCTTCCTTGACTTGATAGTCTCGATATCCTCGCATTTATCCTTTGAACTATGCCAGTACATTCAAGCATCCAAACTGAAATACTGGTGTGTCTGATCAAATATCCAGGATCTCTCTGGTGGCATCAGGGCCAGATCAAATCTGATCCAAATTCCACAGTCTACAAGGCAGAGTGAATAGCGTGGTATATAGGGTTGGAAGAGGTATGCACACACACACACACACATATTATCCCTATATCCAATTTTTGCCTGGATCGACTCCAAAACAGCAGCCTTGGTCTTGTATGAAGTAGTAGAATATGATAATGAAAATCAGATATTAATTAGCCAATTTACGGTAAGAAAATCGAGCGCTGGAGTAGTAGTATATGCCACTATAGAGCTCTGCTAGGCCAGCGCGACGACAAGACTTTTTTTCCATCAGTAATCGGAGTTGATTTAAGTCTTGGTTGCGGACAGACAGTTCTTCAGACCACTTGGAAACCAGCAAATACAATCAAGTGTTTTTAAGCCACCAAAGTGAACCATGGCTCCAGCTGCCGTGGTCTCGGGTGCAGACCATGAATTGGGAAATGGTGATGTTGGAAAATGAGAATAGTCGGCAGAGAAGCCTGTGACTCTGTAAAAACACAGATAGGATGGATTTATATCTTCATGTGCAATGTCCCGGTCGGACGAGGAAGTTAACGATATATACGATATACCCCGAGGTGTCTAATATATGATTTAAGTAAATGCCTCCGCAGATCCAAATATTTAAAGTATATAAGGATTCAATCATTGTAGAATCGACTCATTGATATAAGATTATAAGATATAGATCCATAGATATCTAGGCAGGCGTATGTAGGGGAAGGCCGAGTGACCGATCCATGGATCGTTCGAGATCGGCTCGAAACACCGGAACCACGTCAGCTAGTAGCCATTAGTGTATTGATATTTATATACTAAGGATGTGAAACACTCATGAGGGCACTCGATCGTACTATACTCCGATATTACAGAATACTAAAGTATGTATACATAGTAACAGTAAAAGACAAGCTGTCACAAAGGCTCAGGCATCCACGTGGAATGATCATCGGTGGGACAAGTGGCGACACTATCGAACACCAAAAAGTAGACTCCGAGGTGGCGGGTTCTGTAGACATAAAGCAATAGATTTAGATGTGATATGATATGAAATATGAAATAAATAAAGAAAGATTCAATCATCATAATAAACAAACATCAGTTCCTTACAGTTCGCAATACGTCAAGACCCAGGGTACCGATTCTGCTAGTGTCGACTAGCGTGTTTCAGACTCGCCCTGATCCCTCGGAGTTTCAGCGAAGGCGAATCCTGTTCGTTTCATACACTGTCCGTGAAGTGATAGAAGAAGAAGAGGAAGAGGAAGAGGAAGAAGGACAACAACAACAACAGGAATAATAATAATATAATATTATCATTATATCTTATGTATATATCTATATAATCCAACTACATAAGATGGACATCAATTTGGAATTTCCTCCCCGACTCGCATCTCCACATTGTCCCGTCCCCCTTGTCACGTTCGACGTGCCGTCTTCCAGTATTCCGTACAGCTGCATGGTGGATCTCGGGTGTGACAGCATTCCCAGCCTCCTTTTCCTGTATTATTTTGTCTTTTTATTGTGGGACGGTGGACCCGGCTGTGTAGGAGCGTTCGGATTATTCCCAGATCCTTAGATCTGGGAGGATATCTTGGGTTGAGTGGACTAGATAGTATATTATGTATGTATCTATCCAATAATAAATCAAGTCCATGAAATCCATGAAATCTACGAAATCCATGAATGTGCTGAGAGAGACAGTACACCTCTCATTTCCCAGCGTTTGACGCCGATGCATTCCAGTCCCCTCCCCGGGGACGGCTAAAATTAGAGCTGCCCCGGGCATGATTGGTGTCTGATCCCTCCCTAAGCCCCGGTGGACCCACCCCCGTCACAGTTCTCTCTCCCCTCTTCGTAACAACCAGATTACAGTGTGGGTCTGAAATCCGATCTCTCTCTCCCTCTCTCTTTCTCTCTTTCTCTGATACAAACCAACTCTCTAAATAAAACCATAGGGTCCATGCGATACGGGGTTTTTTTCCCCCTGCCGTTTTCCACTTCGTTTTGTTGTTTCTTGCTCCTTTGTCCTTCTGACCTTCTCTCTCTCTCTCTCTTTTCCTTCTCTCCATCCTTCCCATTCTTCCTCTCGGCTCTACACGCCTGTCCAATCCTCCTCGCCCTTGGGGGCTTTGGTTTCTTTGTTTCTGTCACTCCTTCACTCTCTCGAACCTTTTGTTAATCGCCAAATCCAACTCATACGTGACCGGGAAATATCGATCTTCCCTTGATTTGGTACGTGGAAAGACAACCAGTGCATGCAGATATTATCGATTCCCGCCCTTGCAGCCCCAGCGCCTCAACCCTAGATGTTCAAGACAATCCTGAATTAGGACTAACGGGCCTCAAGAGCATTTGCGCTGGTAGCAAGTTGCATTTCTTCCATTCGAATGCCCCTCTAGCCCGAGCGCAGGCGGGCCACTCTCATACAATTCGGGTGTTTTGACCCTCAAACCATGCCTGTGCAAACCTCTCCTCCGTCCTTCCCGGACTCGTTCCCCTCGTTTATGTCCGTCTTTGGGGAACTTCCCCCACGATACAAAGAAGACGAAACCATCCATCCTCTCCAAGTCCCGACCCATGTTCCTGTCAATACCTACCGACACCTCCTTCCTTCCCCACACCGCGAGAGTGTCTCGTCCATGACCACGGCCTCAACCGAATCCTCACCGACCACGACTGTTTCGCCCTTTGATTCACCCTCGGGAGGTGATATCTCTCCGAGCTCCTCGCCGGAATCTCCCTCGGCGATGTCGGTGTCGTATCCGAAATTCTCGGGAGAGCCTTCTCCCCGGTCTATCGCGCCGAATCCTTCGAGCAACCATCGTCCCGACTCTCCGGGTCGACGGGCGCGTAATTTGAAGAACCTGTCATTGCGCATGCCCCCACCTTCTCAGTCTCGGCCACCGATCGCGACCGCTTCAGTTGTCGAGACCACCTCCAAACACCACCTGTCTGCCCCGACTTCTCCTATTCAAATCCCGCCAAAGAGCACCCGGCGACGTCCCGCCAACCTCACTATCCAGACTCCCTCCTTTAATAAGCAATTTGATCAAGTGCCTCCCACCCCGTCCCTGCGCCATGCGGAATCGTCGCCCTCCTTGGCGTCGATCTCCTCGCCTTCCTTTGCCCCGAAAGGTGGCATGCAACTCCCGCGGCCCACGACTCATCATGGAGCCCGCCGGTTCTGGAACGATGACTCCCCCGCCACGTCGATGCCGGAAGAAAGGACATGTCGCGTGCTCCATAAACTGCAGGAAGAAGATGACCACATCGACTCGCGAGAGTCGACTCGCAAAAACGACCGTGGCTACCCGGATGGCCCCATCCGCATTTATGATTCGGGCGTGTATCTGTACCTCGAACCCACGGCCGAGGAAGCGTCCAAGTTTGACGTGGTAATCAATGTCGCCAAGGAGGTGGCCAATCCTTTCGCCAAGGAAGAGCGCAACGACACGGTTATGAGCACCTGGCGCAATCACGCCAAACGGTTCTCCAACGGGGATCCCCAGACCGCCATGTCTGAAGCGTCGTTTAAATCCGCCTTTGAGTTTCAGCCCGACTCGGATACTCCTACCCCGCCAACACCCAACTCGGCCCCGGAATATCTACACGTGAGCTGGGACCACAACTCGGAGATTTTGGAAGACCTGTTCCCGCTCTGCGAACTGATCGACGATCGGATTGCCAGCGGCAAAAAAGTTTTGATTCATTGTCAGCTCGGGGCCAGTCGCTCGGCCTCGCTCGTGATTGCATACGGCCTCTATAAGAACCAACACCTGGATTTCAATTCCATGTACGAGATGGTCAAGGAACGCAGTCAATGGGTTGGTCCAAACATGTCCCTGATTTACCAGCTCACCGACTTCCGCGGCCGCCTGATGCGGGGGTCCAAGTCGAAGCCCGCGCCGCGCGAGTGGTTTGTGTCTGGTGGTCGCCGAAGCTCTGAACCCCAGGTGCCTCGTTTAGAGCCACCGCGCCGGCTCGCACAAGCGCCGTCTATGGGCTGTTTGCGATCGAGCACGAAATCACACTCGCCCAAGCGGAGTTTGTCTCCGCATCCACTGCCTTTCCGCCAGAAATTCCAATCCGTGGAGCCTGCATCGGGGCGGCCACGAGGATTACCGCGCAGCGTCAGCAGCTGCGATCCGCTCGTCCAGACGCATGTATTTGTGCGCGACGCACCAGAAACTGGCAGCTCGCTATTTTCGCCGCGAACCACCGAGTTTTTGGCACCGCCTCCCCCGCGAGGTCTGGATCGAGCCCCTGATATTTTTTCAGTGGCCGATCCGCGCTCGCCTCCCACGGGGAGCGAGGGATTGATCATGAGAAATATTGATGAATTCTTGTAATTCTGTTATCCTGGTTGTGCCTCGCTTTACACCAGGTTTGAAACGATTCCCATGATTTGCATCTTTCTTTCTTTTCTCATTTTGGTTTCCTTTCGGGTCATCATGGTTGATGACCTCCAAAGCGGGCTTTGCTGTCGCTCATCACCTTTTCTTTTTTCTTTTTATCATAGTCATTGGCTTCCCATACTTGTGGTTCCTTTTGTCTGGCATCCCAACATCCGCTCCCTGGGTGCACCTGTAATATTATGGAGGAGTCGTGCATGGGCCTCGCTTTCGCTTGATGGCCCGTTTTCTTGTGTTTTGAGCCTGTTTACAAAAGTGGTCCTGGTCTTTCTTGACCGGGTATCTTGGGAGGAAGAGATGATAAATACCCCTGTGCGCAATGAGGAAATATTCCATCCATGGATGCTTTTTCTGTAAAAAGGTAGCATAGTAGAGAGTAGGGGATTACAGTAGGATCGATCTGGCATCCTTGTTAAGGTTGTCCATCGATATCTCCCGATAAGATCATCCCACTTCATTTTTTTCCCCCATGGCGCATCCAAGCTACCTCTCGCCCAGCGAGCTGGGATCGAAGGACTAGTAAGAAGAAAGAGAAAAAAAAAAGCACTCAAGCACAGCTAACCGTCTATCTTTGAATCTAAATAGCTGGGAGAGTTATTACTCCCGCACAAGAGCCCACCTCACCCACAGTCCCAACTCCGCCTACACCAGCCATGCCAACGACAATACCAATACCAATGACAGTGATGCAGAAGAAGAAAACACATCCATAAACGAAGAAGACGACCCCGGCACCTCGTGGTTCGCAGAACACAATGCCCCCGAAAAGGTAGCCCGGTTCCTGAGGCGCCGCTCGTTCCCGCTCTCGCCGCGCAACGGCGCCGCGCCGCGCATCCTGGACCTGGGCACGGGAAATGGCAGCATGCTGGCGCTTCTCAGGAAGAGGGGCGGGTTCTGGGGTCCCATGGTCGGGGTGGATTACTCGGCGCAGAGTGTGGAGTTGGCCAGGGAGTTGCAGCTCGGGGAGGGGCATGCGGCTTATCGGACTGATTCGGAGGATGAAGAATCTGAATCTGAATCCGATGATGGAGATGAACCAGTGGCTGGGAATGGCAACAGAGAAGAAAAAGGCAATCAAGGGAACGAGGATGCTACTCCCATCCAATTCGAGGAATGGGATATCCTCAACTCGGACGCACCGCTCTCTGAATCCGGCTTGGAAACTGTCGTCCCCGCTGACAAGAATCCTCTGTCGTGGTTCCCCTATGCCCACGGTGGCTTCGATATCGTGCTGGACAAGGGCACCTTCGATGCCGTGTCGCTGGCGGACGATGCGCAGACGTCTAGGGTCTGTGAGCGGTATCCGGACATTGCGCGCCGGCTGGTGCGCCGGGGAGGGTTTGTGGTGGTGACCAGCTGCAATTGGACGGAGGAGGAGCTCGTGCGCTGGTTTACCGGGACTGCTGCTGGCGGTGATCATGATAGACTGGTTGTCTGGGGACGGGTTGAGTATCCGCGCTTTCAGTTTGGGGGGCAGGAGGGACAGGGGGTTTGTAGTGTGTGTTTTCAGAGGGTTTCTTCTTCTTAGATGAGATGCATGAGTATATACCATTCATATGGGTATTTTCTGATCTAGATACAAACCAAAGTCTACGCTTGGTCTATGCTTGGAATAGCCAAATGCAGCTGCTATGGCTTGCGCTTCAACACTGCAATGACACACCACCGTCGCCGGTTCTCTGGTCCCTCGTCCTCGCGGACAGACACCCACTCCCGGCGAATCTCCTGTCCACTCTCCATCCGCTCGACCAGATCCCGCTCATAGATGCGCTCAATCTCGAACCCGTTCTCGACCACCGTCTCAAAGAACCCGGCCACGATGGCGCGGCCCGTGTGGAAGCCTGCAACGACCAGCACCTTGCCGCCGGGTGCCAGGAACCATTGCAATGTCTGTGCTAGATTGGCGTGTTGCTCGCGCATCCAGAAGCAGTCGGCTGCGATGATCCGCGTGAATGTGCCCCGCTTGCTTTGCGAGAAGCTGTCGTCTAGTACCCCCCATTCGTGGGGCTGGATGGAGACTGTTGAGGTTGTGGAGCGGGTGCGCAGATTGTGGTTTATGTTGAAGGCGATGGTGTTTGGGAGGGCGGGCGAGGAGGGGTGGTCGGTTGCGGCGACGGCTTTGGCATTTGATAAAGCGCAGATGAGCGAGGGGAGGGCGGTGCCTGCATCGAGAATTGGTGTTATGTCAGTCGATGGACGAACCGAAAGAAGAAATTGGAGGATAAATTGTGGCATCACTCACCAGCACCGAGCTCCAACACACTCTCATCCCGAACACCCCAGATCTCGCGCGCTTCTTGCTGCGTGGGAGTCCCGTCGTCGGGCGAGTCTGCGATCTCCACGCCCTCGGCCACGACCATGGCCGCACTCCACAGAAAATGGCCGAACAGCTTGCGAGCATTTTCTACCTCGTTCACGCCATCTTCCTGTCTCATGCCCGCGGCAATCTCCTCGGTGCGCTTCTCGCTCTGGCTGGGGTAGGACGGCACCTCGATTTCGAGGTCCCCATAGCGCGGCGACGAGTACAGCAGGTGCTGGCCCGGATCACCATGGAAGGGCGGTGCATCGTCCGGAAAGAGATGAGGGAGGAAGGCTGTGAAGAGGTCTTCGGGATCTTCTTCCGGAGCTTGGCCTTGGTCTTGCAGGTCTGGTGGTGGTGCTGCGGGGGTGGTTGGACCACGGCGAGGCAGTGGTCGTAGCCGGGAATGGAGCATTTACGGCGTTTTTGGAGAAAAGGAAAAAGAATTAAAGAATTAAAAAAAAGAAGCGCGTGTCTCTACAGGAGGACCACTGGCTAATATTCTTCAATACTATACCTATCGGTTCTCTGTTGGGTACGTGATGGGAACATTTTCTTGTTTGCATTGTTTGGTCGTGTGCCCCGCCGATCCCTCAGGTGGGTGCCTTCCTCAGGCGTACCTGCCTCCTTCGGTATCCCCGAGGCTGATTGGGAGGCATTGGGTACATCATGGAGGTATAGAATATATAAAATGGGGGGATAATGGAAGATAAGTATATATACTCTTATTATTATTATTGAGTGTTTATTTTTTTTCTATTTTTTTTTTTAGGATGAGAGATTTTTGGAGGCAGGGATGCGTGTTGAGAATGCAGAATGTCACCAGGGGCATTGCGCTCAATGATCCCAGGCCTAGCGTCACGCGGCGTCACCTCTCCTGCATCTCACTAGCGCCAGAGGAGATCTGATCGGCGGGAGCTGAGAGAGCTGAAGAGAATCCCTCGGGTTGACCTAATTTATATTTTGATCTATATGAGTTCAAAGAATAAGATCTAGAATATCCGAGTTTCTACCTCTCTATTTCTACAAATCTATCTATATTTCTTTCACTTTCTTTCACTATGTCGATATACATTGTAAGATCATCAAGTTCCCGGGTTGCGCCTTGACGTCACCCGACCCACCTCTCTTTGACTAGACCGCGGTCGATGCCGTTATCTCCCCTGTTGGGCGGAAACGTGATCCAGGACACCTGAGGTTCTCAATAAATGCCCTAGTTCTTGGGCATCCCAGATATGATGTTCTTCACTTCTATAGTATATATGGACTCTCTCCTGAAGGAACCCAGGGATCCAGGCACCCAGGGAGACACCCCCCTAGGTGCTACCAAGTGTATATAGGCAACTCCTTTCATTCTAGACAAAGATTCCCGCCCGGGCAAGCGAGAGGACCCACGGAATCACATCACCCAAGGACTAGGACACACACACACACACACACACACACAGTCCTGGGCAATGGGTCAATTAATTCAAGAATGAAAAGACAGAGATAGATATACTCTGTTAGAATATAAGTAGAATCAATTCATAAGCACAATTCCACCCTGATTCGGTGTTACCGATCGCCCCCCCACATCTCGCCAAAGGGAAAAGCCCCCCCCGCAAAGATTCCATGAGCGATTTTGGTCAACTCCTCATTTTCCCCTTCCACAACTTTTTTTTTTTCCTTCTTCACCTTCTCTCGCTCTCGTTTCCTTCCTAACTTCTCTCCTATTTCTCCAATCTATTCTCAATCCTCTTTTGGCCACTTGCCTCTTTCTGCCGGAATTCAACCCGACTTCGCGTCATTTCGACTTCTTTTGCCCTGACAGAGGGCACTACTCTGCCGGGAGAGTCAATCCCGATTGCCAGCAACTCTCATTCTCTCGTGTCACCATGGCCTCCTTCAAGGTAAGTAGCCAGTCATTCTGGTTACCTCGCCTCCCATGCTGATGATCTGGCCTCTTTTTCACAGGAACTTTCCCTCTCGCGTCCTTTGAACAACGCCCCCAGCCAGCGACAGCATTCCCACTCCATCTCCCTGGGTGCCGTCAATGCCAACCATCGCGTCACCCGCCGCAAGAGTGTCACTACTGCGGCTTCCAATGCCGCCGCTGCTGTTGCTGCTTCCATGAAGGATGGCGAATCCGCCTCCCTCCCCATGGCCACCCATCGCCGCACCCTGGGGGGTCGCAAGGGTGCGGAATCCAGCTCGGTCGGAACCCCCTCCGCTCTCGGATCGTACCTGTCTCGGAGCATGAACAGCCCCAGTCAGGAACCCCCGGTCGCTCGCAAGACCTCCCCCGGCGACCCGGAACAAGTGACCGACAGCAAGTCCGTCAAAGGCCGGAACCGCCGAGCCAGCGAGGGCGCTCACCTGAACAAGTCCGAGGGCAAGCGCTCCATGGCCCAGATCCGCTGCGACCGTTGCGGGAAAGGGTACAAGCATGGCAGCTGCTTGTCCAAGCATATGTGTGTATCCCCCGTGTCGCCCGACCGTCTTCTTGCTCGATCGGGAGAGCATGCACCATGTCGGCTCTGTCCAGGTCGCCCTCGTGGTCATCCAACTCCCTCCCCGCCCTTTTTCTTTTCGACTTCCCCCAATTATGCACCCCCCTTTGATTTTTCTTTCTTTACCCAACAGCGTTGACATATTCTTTTTTGTGGTATCTTAGGTGGGAACACAACCCGGCATGGGCGATTACCTCGAAACTACTCATCTCCAAACACCAACAGGTTCAACTGTTGGAGGCCGCCAGCGTGTTGGTCAACATGAATCAGGACGACCCTGAAGAGGCCGCTGAGGCCGAGTCGGAACGGTCTTCCGCGTCGCCTGGCGCTTCGTCGGAAGTCCGGGAAGGGTTGAGCTCGGCGGAGACGACACCGCCGCCTGAGGACGATGACTTTGAGATGTCCGGAGTGCCGGCCAATTGGGCCAAGCGCCCCAGTGTCAGCAACCCCTTGGCCTTCTCCCGCTCCTACCAGTCGATTCCCTCGAGCTCGTACACGGGCAGCGCACCGCTGCACTCGCCGGCCTTCTCGCACTTCCGCCAGTCGAGCGTTGACACTCGTCCTTCGACCGCCGACACGAGATTGCACGAGGATGATGAGGCGGACTTGGCTGCCGCCATTGGTCTCTGCAACTTTGGTACCCCTCGCACGGGGCCCGTGTCCATGACTTCCGACGTGCCTCCCGTGCCGCCGCTGCCCGCTCGCTACCTCGATGCCAGTAGCCACCCGGCTAACCAATCCGGTCCCGCGGGCGAGCAAGCCCGCCGCGATTCCAGCGCCAATATCTTCCTCTCGGCTCCGCTCAACCCGTCGCTGTCCTACAAGGTGTCGGATGAGCGCCGGGCCCGCCCCGGCAGCGCTGCATCTCGGGAATCCCGTCATCGCCGCAACGCCGACGTGGACTTTGGCAGCCGCCCCGCACCTACGGACGACGATGATGACGGCGTTTTTGGCCGCATGGAAGAGTAATAATGTGCCTGCTCAAGAACCTAAACACCAACCCCTCCCCCTTCTTTCTCTCTTATAACGATGACATGTATCCGCTTTAGCGAACTTTTTGAACATCTTTCTGTCGCCAGCATCCAGAACTCCGGTTCTATTCGCCCTGGCTGTCTTTCTAAGATTCTCGGGACTTTTCATCTCCCATGTATCATGTCTCCTTGGCTCTTTTTCTTTTCTTCTTCTCTTTTGTCTTTGCTGTTTCTTTTGCCCTGGAAATCATCATAAATGCCTATCCTGCTCGGCCGGCGCATATTATATCCACCCTTCGCACATTTTGCCTCGCTGGCTCGGCGGTTCCGGCCTTTTGATGGACCATACACACACCAAACACTACAAACTCATGTCAATCCTCATCTCGTCCGCCCTCCCTTGTTTTTCTTGCCCGTCTCTCCCTTCCTCTCCTTTCGTCTCCTTTTCTCTCCCTACCTTACACTCCCCCTTCCTCCCTCTCTGATATCTCTCTCTCCTTTCCTCTGTACTTGAATGCCCCGCGGCGTGCACAATGAATATACCATGAAACCCAATTTGTTTTCTTTTAGCTGGTAGGCTGCATGTGAGATACTTGAGGTCTTTGGGTCGGTAGGTTCTGGAATTGTTTTTGTTTAATATTGTCATTTTCATTGTTTACCTAGGTAATGTGTCCAGACTGCATGTTCCCTCCACTCGGAAATGATATCCATTCAATCACCATGTCTCTTTCTTTCTCTTTTGAGATTATCCCTTCTTGCATATTCGAGTCCTGGAATTCCTCGAAGGTTTCTTCCAGTCTGCTTTCTATCTTTGCAGCTCGCTCCCTGCTATATCTACATACCTGTCTCACTTCATCTCTCGTTGCACATACAATTGATATGATATTCATGAAACATGAATGAGAGTTCTTCGTGGGCATTTCTCTACTTAACAGCCCTCTTATCATTTCTTAAGATAGTTTCCCAATAAAGACCTGCCTTTTTGTGTTGCTGCTAGTATTTCCCATGTCATTCCCGTCCTATTCCATCTGTCACGGTCTATACCTGCTACTCCAGCTACTGCCACCCGAAATCATAGTCACCAAAAGAAAAGAGTTTCGAGTCTGCACTCTGGAATATGTCATACCTGGGATCCTTTTTGTAGAAAAATCAACAAGAACATGGAATGAATGGGCAGTGACTCGGTTAATTCTAGATTGTGAAATGCAAGAATAGCTGGTACGCCGCAATTACATGAAGAGTCTATGGGTAATTTAAGTAGCCGAGAGAAAACAGCTGGGATTGATATGGTGGAGAAATCGCCGCGTGGATTTGTGAGAAAGGAAGCGCAGGAGAACTTTCTGTGGCATGAAACAAAGACAAAAAAAAAAAGGGGGAAACAAATTCGATATTCCCAGACCAATTAAACTCCATCTTGCCTCATGCTCATCATCATCAACATTAGCATTAACATCATAAAAAAATCAACACATCAACATCATGAAATCCCTGATCATCTTCCCGTAATCATCTTCCCTGATCATCTTCCCCATCAAAATCCATCACCAGACACCTTTTTGAGTCCACTGGAGCCGGTTCTTTCCTGGCATTGTTGTGTTTGTGGTTTTCAAGTTGAAATTGCACTTAAAATTGCAACTGTCCTTGAGGTTGTTGTTGCGGAGGCCATGAAAGTCGGCATGAAAGTCGTCGCAAGCTTTTTTTTTTTTGCAGGTGGAATTGCAAATTTTTGCTTTTGTTTTTCCATGAGTAGTTCTTGCAGTGGTCATGAAAATTGGCCTTGTGGTTGCCATTGCCATTGTAGTTGTCATGGATGTTTTCATGAGAGGTGTCATGAGGTTATCATTGCAATCATTATCGCAGTGGTCATCGATCGCAGTTGGCATTGGAAGTGCCTTTGCAGTAATTATTGCAATCTCGGAATTGTTTTGCGAGTGGCCATCGTAGTGGTCATGAAAGCCGGTCATGAAAGCTGGCCTTGAAGTTGCCATTGAAAGTTGAAAATTGTCATTGCAGTCCTTGTTGCTGTTGTCTTTGCGGATGGCATGAAATTGGGTTGTAAGTGGTCATTGCAGTAGTCATGACCTCAAAAGTTGTCCTTGCAATTGCTATTGTTCGTCTTGAAAGTTGTCATTGCAATCGTAATTACAGTAGCCATTGGAGCTGGCATTGAAGTTGGCATTGGAGTTGTTTTTGCAAGTGGTCACTCAAGTTGTCATTGCAGACCAGTTGTCATTTAAATTGTCATTGCAGTCGTAATTGCGATTGTCGCTGTAGTTGTTATGGTGGTTGGCAAGACAAGGATGTCCAAGTCACGGGTTCCCCCCAAACCCTAAGCTCCAGTTAACCAGCACATCCTCCAAAGCATCTCAGCAACCCAATGACTACTGAAACCACATACCTGATTCAATTTTGGATAGAGCCACCATGAAGCTTGACCCAGATGGTAACGGGTCAGGGCGTTGCTTGCATGTTCGACCCGAGGAATGATTGTCGACTCGACCGGCGCACATGTTGACTCGTCGCGGGCAACACAAAGAGCGAATAATAAACCATCAAACTCGGACATCGTTGACTCAAAGCATAATAATCATCCGAGGCAAGGACTGTGAATTCGACATGCAAGAGCAAAAACAGAAAAACAAGGGAGTCCCCCCTGACTCCAAAGAAAGAAAAAGAAAAAAGAAACAAAGCGCATAAAACAAGCGCAAACAGAAACAGTCGCAGTGATAAAAGCAAAAATACCTCCTTTTTTGTGGGGTTTTGTGTTTTCAACTTTTTTTTTTTTCGGGGGGTGACAAACGGAAGAACGAACGGCAAGGCGAATCGACAAATCGACGAAGAACGAAGACAAACAGACAAACAGACGAAGGTCGAAAAGCGAACGGGTGAGACGGCGGACGGACACAACAACGAAAGCCCAACAGCCAGAGGTTCTAGCCAATTACCACAACTGTCAGTCTTTTGATCATCGAACCTCTCTCAATAGGGGAAGACTTACTCCCTACTCTGCCGTAGCCGGCTAGGTACCCTCGGTGGACTTGGCGGGTCCTCGCTCCAGTTCCTCCCGACGTGCCCGGGCAGCCTGAGCATGCTTTCGACGACGCGCCTTCAGGGAGGGGCGTTTCCTCTTCTTCCGGGGCCCAGCCAAATTGGCCGAGCCCTCAGAGTCAGAAGCGCCGCCCATCTCCACAGAGGGGTCACCTTCGGCAGCCGGCTGTTCCGGGGGAATTGACTGAGACGCCGGGGATTGAAGCGCCGAGGGGCCTGCAGCCGCGACATCGGCAACTCCTTCCTCTTGCTGGTGCTCGCGCCCGTCGATGCAAAGCAAATGATGACCTTCTTCGTGAAGCCTGTCGAGTTCCTTGTGGTACGCTGACAAGTTCAAGGCTTGAATCACATGGGCTTGTTCCAGAAGCGAAATGCTGGTGGACAGATCATCCATCAGGCCTTGAATCCGGACGTAAGGGTTCAACGGGCCTTCGAAGGGGTCATATTTGGTACGAGAGTCAGACGCCTGCGGGTTGCCGACGGTCTCGCCGAGCTCCTTCGGACCAACAAGAAGTTCCACCTGGTCATAAACTGACGGGGAACTCCCAACCACAAGACGAGCTGTCTGTGGCTGGCCTTCCAAAACACCGAGAAACCAATCGATGACCTCGGCATAAGCCTGTCGAAGTGCGGGAACATCGGGGCCGAGTACCATCCACACAGTAAGGAGCATCAGCCACATGGTCGAAACCATGATGAGCAAATGCACCGTACTGGTGAACAACCAGAAGAGATAGGTCATGTTGCGCACAAGCCACGTGAGAACGGTGGGCATTTGCACCGGCTTTGGTGGCTCAGTAACAAACGTTGGACTCGGAGTCCAAACCGTCTCAGGTGGATCGAGGGAAGTCCACAGAGGAAGCTCCCACACCGTCGCCAAAGGGACGGGACACTCGGACGTAATCCTTGCCAGGGACCTGTCCTCTACCAGCTGGAGTTCCTTGCTGGTCGCGAGCTCGATACCACCAGACTCGCCGAACACCGCGAGGTGAACGGGGTACACCTCATCCTCGTGCCAAGGAGAGACGTACTGGGAGATATCCTCCGCCAAGTCATGGATGGTCATGGCGGCAACAACGGTCTTGAAGGAGTTCCCAAGTCGCTTGAGAACCCCATCGCTGGGGTCCGAGACTCCGGGCACACGGAGAAACGAACCAACCAACGCGATGACGGCGAAAACGCCGAAAAAGGGGACGATCATACTGCTGGTCTGCTCAGGTGGTCAGCTCTCAATTTCGTTTCAAGGTGAGTTCAGAAGGGGGATCATGAAAGTTGATCAGACTCTTACGCAGTATGAAAATGAAAATGGAAAAGAGAAAAAAGAAAACCGAAACAGCCGGGGGGAGGGCAGTTCGAAGTGGGCGGAAATATGGGGGAGAGAAGAGAAGGAGAAGAAGATAGGGGGAGGAGAGAGTACTTATAGAAGTGAAGGAGGTTGCCTAATTAGGCTAAAAAGTAGCAAGTGAGAGAGGTCGCCGTATTATTCACTGTGAGTTCTATCTCACTTGCTACAATCGCTGCCTATCGCTCCCTCCTAGCCTCTCAATAGGAGTCGCTATTGACGAAGTAAGTAAAATCCCCCAATAGTAAACAATTGATGCCTAGTCACTATAGAACAGAATTGGCCAATTTCGTTAGACCCTACTCTCCAGAGAGGCAGGTTTGGTTACTTAGTTTAAGTTGGTGAGAATAGATTAGAACGCCTTTGATATTATGCTCTGCCGAGGAATTTGTTACCTCTAGGACTAGCAAGTTCCTTAGCTTAGGAAGCAGTAGAGCTCCGTATAACAGGTTTAATATAAAGCCTTGGGGCTCGGGGCATCGAAGACTTCCAGTCCTCGATCCATTTCCCCTAATTAAAAATCTATGAATTGGTGCTAACTAATATGCCACAGAAAAAGACGGGAAAGGACTACGAGAACACAAAGATCTATGCCTGCGATATCACCCAGCAAGATAGAACCCAAGTCTCTGTCAAACGAGCCCTACAACTAAGACCGCGTGTCTCCCGGATAGAAACGCCACGGCTTTCCTGACAGAGGGTGCTCGGTGTGCCTACAATCCCCCATCGAGGTGACACTACACACAATGCTGAAATTGAATTGATATTTGAGAACAAGCCCGGTGACGAACTGGTCCATTCTTGCGAAGGACAGCGGGTTACATTGAAGCTGCTGCAACTAGCGGTTCATCCTGAGCATTCTTGGTTAGTGAAGTCCAACCACACACTTTCAATGAGATATACCCCAACTATGCTTCCTGGCAGCGCCATGGTGGTCCTTCGGAGAACATTGAAGATCAACAGAAATATATTGAATGAAGAATCGAAAAGAGGCCTCGCATATCCCTGCCAATGTTCAATTTGCATCCACGAGACCCCGTGCAAGTGATATTTGGCGGAGCTTCCAGAGCTGGAATAACGCAACTGCTGCACCCTTTCCTTCGCAGGCGAACAGTACAAGTTGCTGGAGAAGCTCTTCCAACCACGGCAGAGGACAGCAGTGGAGTCTGCTTTTGGCGTCTTATGCCCTGGATGAAGTCCGAGCTTGGCAATTGGTTGTTTCTTGAAGCCCCGAATATGCTGCGAGATACCCCAGGCAGTCGAATGTATATCGAATGTTCCGCAGTCGCACATAGATTAGATTGGAATTAAATCCTTGCCGCAACGTGCCATCTTGCAACGGACGTCGATTGCAGCTTTTTCTTGGCAGAATACCTGGGTCTCTGCTATAGCCATAGCAGAACAAAAGCCAAGTCGCGGTATGTATAGTGAGTTGCCCTCGATGAAGCAACAGGATTTGCAGAGACAGCTACTGAATCACAGGCATAGAAAGAATATCCGTGGGGAGTACGGTAGCAAATAGCCACAATCATGAAAAAATGATATAATCAGTATTTTGTCTGGCTGAAAATAAATCCCCTTAAATTATAGAGTTATAAGATTTATATAAAAAAAAATAATTTACTAAAAAAAAGATATATCTATAACAATAGAAATAAATATAAAAAGACCTCGTCTATAGCCTTCGATATTACTAATCCTAAGCTCTTTAATTGATATAATCTTAATTATCCGATATCACTAAACTAAGCAATCTACACGAAATTGAATTCTAAGATATTTTCGGATAGTATAAAATGTATAATCTAATATTTAGTAACCTTCTTTATAAAGCATCTAAAGGATTTCTTTTATTAGTAATCTAACCTTAGAGATTAAGGTCTTTATACGAGTATATAAACTCTCGTTTTATATAATATTAAAGGTACATGATCGAATTTACTATTCTCGAAGACGATTTTAAATTATACAAGAGGTAATATTAATACTATACTCCTAAAGGGTATTCTAAATCGTATTAATAGTTATTCTATACTAAAATAAGGGGATAATTATATTTTTAAATTGCTACAAATCAATCTAGCGGCGTAGTATCCTAAATATATACTTATATAAAAGAGAATAGATAAAAAAAATAAAAATAGCGGTTAAAATAGATGGTTATAGAGATATTTAATAAAGGCGGAGCTTAAAGCGGTCAGAAATAATATATGGCTTATGTCATTTTTTCGTGATTACGGCTATTTGCTGCCGTAGTGGGGAGTATGTTTTTCATTTGCCTACAACTTCTTTGCGCGTACAGTCAATTCTATCTACAGAAATCTACAACCAACAGCTTTGAAAATGATCTTCGTGAATCCATGTCGTGAGCTCAGCTGCCCCAAGGGCAATGCCAATGTAGATAGCTTTATTTATTTATTTCTTTCATTCTTCAAAAACATCGAAGAATGAATCAAAAAAAATCCACGCCTTATATAAGTCAAGCTACATGACAATGCATTTACTTCGTCTTTTCCTGCTTCGCTCGCGAATGGTGTTTTCGTTCCATTCCTGGATTCTGCGCCGCCATTCCTGATTTTCTGGCGGCGGTAAGCTAGTGGGCTCTGTCGAAACGCGGCGACGGAAGGACCGCTGCCGTTCAGGAATGGTTTCGTCTTCTGGAGAAGCAAGGCCGTGGAAATTCCCGTGCGGTTGTAAGGTGTGGAGGAGGTTCGGTGAAGACATAGAGTATGGAGCAAAGGTGTTGCCAAACTCGGCGGCTTCTGCTCCCCAGTTCAGTGCAGAGATGGGTTGTTGGGGTTCCGCTGGGTGCATAGCGAGCGTAGGATGTTGGTATGGGTAGTTAATGGGTGGAACGGGGGGCGCAGTTGTATTGGGGCGTCGCCAGTCATTTCCATGATTTCCATTTGGAGCTGGACCCCGTGTGATGGGTTGAGTTGAGTCAGGCTCGGGGGCAAGGGTGGAGTTGCGTCTGCCTCTCCTGGTACTGGTAATTGTGCCAAGTCTCTGCAAGATAGCAGATTGCGGGCGTGGCCGAGCTTGGGTGGTCCGCGGGACACGGGTGGTCTGCGCTCGTTGCATGGCATCGTTGGAACACTCAATAGGTCTTCTGGGAAGAAGCGTTTCTTGCAGGTGGGTCGGAAGAGGTTGATCGGCATTGCGCGTATAAGGTGGCGGCGGAGGGATCCAGTTGTCGGCGTCACTTTCGTGGGGGATGTGCCGCCGGCTGGGGTTGTTACGATATCGAGGGTCGTATCTTTCGCGGGTAGCTGCTGCGGCAGTGGCAGATCGATGGAGAGTGTCGCGTGAGCGAGGTTGCAGGTTATCGTAGGGGAGATCAGGATGACCCATTTCATCTGGAGAAATGGCCATGCTATTTCGCCGAAGATGTGGGATGGCTGTACTCGCGGTCCGAGAAATTTCGGGAAGAGGTGGCCGCGACATGCGATGAGCCAGTGCAGCAATATCTGTATCTCCGCGGTGCAACCGGGTCCGCCTTCTCTCCAACTCTACCTCGGTATCCATCGAAGAATTAGGTTCGAGGAGCATCTTTGGCGCCGTCTCACCGACCTCGATATCAAGCTCATGGGTCTCGCCATCTCGCGTCGAACGCTCAAAGTCTAGAAGAAGCATGCGGCCGCCGTCCACGGGAACATCTTCTTCCCCAAAAATCTGCGGACGCACGCCTCCTGGGGCTACTGCGACGAGTCGACGATTCGGTGAGGTTACCCACTGAGCAGTAGTGATCCCAGCCATGTCTGTCACCCGGCGTCCTCTGATCAAAAATTTAGGGTGCTGAACAATTTTCTGAAGCTGTGCCAAGTTATCCCGTGGTGACCTGCTGTGGTGGGAACCGCTGATCTCATTGCGTGTACCCGCGTTTGAGCTGGTGACAGGAGGGTCAAGGCGTCCCGGAACTCCATAGATCCAAAGCTCGGAATTTTGAAACCCCAATGCGACCAATTCCCCTGCATCATCTGTAGCCGGAGTCATGTTGGGTTGCATCTCACGAGACTCCTCCCTCAAAAAGGGGCTTGCAAAATATACTACCCCCGCATCGGCATTGTTCATTTGGATAGCCCGAAATGCGGCCAACTGGCGGTCATATGCCAAGATCCAGCTATCTTCCGATTCTTCGTGCCCTGAGACCAAACAGGCATGCGTGAAGCCCGAAATAGTCTCGGGAAATAAGATCTGCGTTGTCCACATTCGCATCTGGACTTCCTCCGGAGAGGCATCGGTTCCGGTCTCGGTATAAAAGGGTGCCGTAATGGTCACGATCCCGTTCTGATCGGGAGCCGATGGTGATCCAAGCAGCATAGAGCTGTCTGACGAAAAGGTCAGGGCATCGACACGTAGGCAGCGCACCGCTCGACGATCTGTCGCCAGAGCACTTTCGCCCACGGCATGCACCTCTATACTATCCTCGAAGGACAAGGCAAGAACACTTCCTGCTGGGGAAAATTTCAAGTCCCGTGGGGCATCGTTCAAAGTGATCGTTTGAATATGCTTGGCCTCGTCATCTGATAGTCGATAGATATTCACCCGATGTGAAGAAGACAAAACCGCCAGCAATGAGCCATCATCCCGAATGGTGGCACCGAGTGGCCGCCGTCGAGTTTTCAGCTCATGTTTCACGGTGACGGGATCTGTCACCACTGAAAGAACGACAATCCGGGAAGAACTGATACATAAAACCAGCTGGCCTTTAGCCGAGAAAGAAAATCGAAAAACTTCACCCTGCGGAAACGCGGTGGAGGAGCTCATCGAACTTGAAATCAACCTCACAAGGGTTCGACGAGGCCGCATAAATACATCAAATGCATTCCGCCGGACCTCCTCGATAAACTGACGTTTGAGGATTTGGAGGTCCGTCTCGGCCGAAGCTGCGATCGACCCGCTGGTCCAAGACAAGGACGGGCAGCGCGACAGATGGTAGGCATACAGCGATGGCGAGTCGGACGCATGCCTCCATGCTCGGCTAAGTAGGGCCAGCGATGCAAAAGTGTTGGCATCCGCGACATAGAGAATGCTACGAGATTGGTCAGAGCCGGAGGAGCGCAGATGCGGAGGATCACAAACCGCTCAATGACGCTGGATGGCAGTCGGGAAACAGGTGATGGCCCCTGGTCGGATCCGGGCAAGGAGACATGCTCCATGGTCGCCTACATGAAGGTGGGTTAGGGGTGAAGCCATTCAGCTTGTGGCGCTGCCATTGATATTTCCATAAATAGCTCGTGGCTGACTCAGCTCCCCACACTGCGAGTCCGGTTTCTTGGAGGCATTTTTGGAGGTCCAACACGTTGTACAAGGTGGAAGTATAGAAAGAAAATATATGAATAATTTAGAAATGTACTATGTCACAACCAAGTTCCAGAATAACCCCCCTATCTGCTAGTATTCCTGCTGGATTCCTGCAACATGCGTGCCGCCCGTCGCATTCGGTACCCCTCATCGGCCGCCTCCGATTGACCCCGACCCCGGACTTTTTTTTTCTCTTCTCCAACATTCTTTCGCATCGTTATTTCTGCTTAACTGTTGGGTTGCGCATCATGTCGACTGCAACAGCCCACATCAATCCGTCCTCGAAGCTGCCCTCTCCCGGGTTCAATGCCGGTGCGCGACCTTACCGCTCGCACAAGGTCCGCGCATGCGATCTGTGTCGCAAGCGCAAATCCCGATGTACCGTCGATATCCCCGGTCAATCCTGTCTTTTATGTCGCGTACAGGGAGCCGAATGCCATTACCAAGAAGAATCCAATGCCGATGCCTCAGTGCTGAGTGTGCCAGACCCGAAATCCTGGTCCGCGGGGCCGGTGTCGGGGCAAAAGCGCAAACGCAGTGACGCGCTCTCCAACCCAGGTCCCAATATTCCTGCTCATCAGACTTCCAATGGGCCGAGTCCGCAAAATTCTTCCTCGGGTCGCCGTGGGAGCGACTCGCGGCGCGACGCCGACGATCGCCATAACGAGTCCGTCCTCATTGTCGGGCCCATGGTCGCAGAAGATGCGCAGGTCATTGAGAAACATATGCCCCCCGAGCGATCCAGCCAATCCGAAGAGCCAAAGAGTCACCCGTACAATATCTATTCGAGCGATCCGAGGAAGCCAGTCCTATATACCACAATTTCGCGGCGGAGGAAAGGCGTGCGCGTGGGAACACCGCCGGGTGAAAACCAAAAGGAAATATTGGAGCAGATTTTGGGACCATTTAAGCATGATCTAGTGAGACTGTATGATAAACCAGGACCCTACAGGATTTTGTATCTTCTAGCGCTAATTTTTGCCAGCTTCATCGACCGGTTCAATGCCGCATTCCCCATCTTTGACGGCGAATCATTCTGGGAGGCTTATATCTCGGACTCCTTGAACGACCCCCGGCCTCGTTGCTATGCCAAGTATATTCGATGTCCCTGGTGTACTGGAAGCATACCCCCAAGCTCGCATGCCATCCCAAGCCCGACGTTCGGTACGCAGTCAACATGACAGTTGCCGCCTTGCACGAGGAGTTCTCCGAGCCTGGACTATCTACAATCAGTGCGGCACTCATTGATTTGACGGGACGGCCCATCTTCTCCATGACCGGAAACGCTGTTAGCTGTGGTCGCATGCTATCTTTGGCCAACTGCCTTGGTCTCAATCGCGATCCTAGTAACTGGAAACTCTCGAAAGCCGAAAAGGACCAGAGAATTCGTCTTTGGTGGGGCGTCGTGATTCATGATCGATGGTAGGTGTCGTTTCGTTTCGCCAGTTTTAATATCATCGCTGACTTGTCCCAGGGGAAGTTTTGGCCATGGCGTGCCACCGCAAATCTCCAAGACCCAGTACGACGTCCCTCTTCCTACGGTCGATGTCCTCACTCCACCGAACCTCCGCACCACGGAGCGTGTGCGAGCTGCCCAGTGTCACATATACCTGTGTCGATTGACCGAAATCTTGGGCGAGCTCTTACCGCTAGTCTATGGCCTGCAACAAAAACTACCCCGTGAGAGCTCCAAGAAACTGAGACAGATCCGGACCGACTTGGATATGTGGGAGGACTCATTGCCTGATTGGTTAAGGGCACCCACGATCCACGGTGATAAGATATATGCGGCGAGCAGCTTGCAGCTGGCGTTCCTGGCAGTCAAAATGCTTGTCAGCCGAGTGGAATTAAACGTGAGCTTTCTCATTTTTCTATCTTTCATGCTCGTTGCTCACCATATCACAGGAGGTCAATAACGCCGAGACAGACAACGTAGAGGCTCGCCGCTATTTCCAGACAGAATGCCGGCGATCCGCCGAAGAGATCGTGCGATTCATCTCGTCTCTGCGAAAAGAGAATTTCAAAGAGTTCTGGCTGCCATGTAAGTGATGGCCCTCTCTCCACCCCCATTGTAATCAATATGTCCTCATATTCTCACAATTCCAACAGACAGCGCATTCCATTTGACCTCAACAGCCACGCTCTTGGTCCGCTGCGCCTTCGAAACCACTGACACAGAGGTTGCCCGGTCGTGTCTCGCCAACGTCGATACTCTCCGGACCGTTTTGCGCCGGGTGCGCGAGGAAGAGGATTGGGACGTGGCCGATATGTGCTTGGACCATTGCGAACGCATCATGCACCGTCTGCCCAGCAACGGTGCCAACATGGACCGAGTCTGCAATGCCGGCATGACCGACCACGGGCTGGTCAACCCGGCGGCGATTTCTTTGCCCGAGACACAAACGAACAATGACATTGTTGACGACATGATGTCGATCTCGGGGACGTTCGGGACCATGGATGGGTTCCCGTTCGATATGACGGGCATCTGGGATGTGTCGGTCTTCCAGGATGTGAATTTATGAGCAGGCCCTTTGTGTCCTAAAGCTCAACTGTATTATTATTACCCTTATTGCCCAACTGGCATTACTGGCATCAAAGATATATATACCCTGGGCGCCAACCCAATGCAAAGAATCAAGTCTATCAATCAATTTGACATTAAAAACCTTTTGATGGAATTTTTATACATCAAGATTCGAATAAAAAAACACAAAGGACACCAATCGCTATTGTACAGTCGTTCTCTTTCAAAACTTGAGACCGAAGTCTGAAGAAACCCATCATCTAAATGGCCAACAGCAAGAAAAGAAAACGGCAAAGAATGAAGGAGGGGAATGGGGGAGAGAGAGAGAGATCACCAATCATCACTGCTCCTTATCGCCAGCACCAAACATGCTCGTGAAAGAGCCCTTCATGCTCTTCATCTGCTCATCACGAGCCTTCTCTTCCTCAGCCGCCATCTCGGCCAGCCACTTCTCGCCGTTCTCGCGGATCTCCCGCTCAATCAGCTCGTAGTTCTTCTGGCCCCGCTCGCGGATCTGGTCCCACAGCATTTTGCCCTGGGCTAAGCCCTCCGAGGGCAGCTGCTCGCCGTCCAGCGTGCGGGTCGACTTCAGTCCCAGGGCCGAGGCTAAGCTGCCGATGCCGCGCGAAGGCTTCTTCTTCTGGTCCTCGGCGAGCTCCTTCTCGAAGCGCTCGCGCATAGCCTTCTCACGCTTGGCAAACTCGATCGGGATCGCTGTGCCCTCGAACGACTTCAGCACGGGCCGCACGTCCTCAACACCCATACCGGCCAGGTATTCCAGGAAGGGAATGAGGGCAACCAGCGTCTTGTCCTTCGGGTCGCCGGTCCACTTATCCAGCACTACGGCGTTCTCCGGCTGATAGCGGGCGTGTTCTTCCTTGGTATCAACCAAAATCACCTTGGACAGATCTCGGTTGAGGTACGCCAGATCCTATAGATAAGATGGTTAACTTGAACCCTCCAGACGAATCCAAAGTCCATGTTTCTTACCTTAATGTACTCGCCATCCTTGTACCGGGTAGCCTCCCGGAAGAGGGGCCAGCGAATGATACGATAAGGGTCAAGTTTCCGCAGAACCTGGTCGGCCATCATGCTCGGCACACTGGTGAAGAGAACCAGCTCATAGTACTGGTTGAGGTAGCGCAGGAAGTAATCCACACCAGGCCGCTTGGCAACACGCCATCCATGCTCCCGGCTCCACTCGCTGTGCACCAGCAAGTCCTCCAGACTCAGAACCAGGGTGTACGGCTGCCGCATCTGAGGGTCCTCGTCGGGAAGAAGCTTCGGGAAGGCCGGGTCCTTGTAGTAGCTGGTGAGGTCACTCATGCGTGCCGTAATACGGTTGTACCAAAGACCCAAGCCCCAACCCGAGGGAGTTACGGGGTGGAGGCGCTCCTCCTCTTCCGTCTCCCAGTTGCGGCCCAGGTATCCTACCCCGGCAACACCGGCTGCCAGCATCAACGCGTACATAATGTTGGCCATGCGGGCCTTGCGGCGGTCGAGCGATGTTTCGTATCCCCCCTTGGGGATATCGCCGCCGCCCCGGCCATCTTCGCTATACTCTGTTCGAGTCGGGTCCTCCGTGAGATTGAGATGACCGCCACCCTTCTTATTTTGGCCTTCCAATTCAGCGGCCAAAGTTGATGGGATACCCTGGGTCAGATCGGGGAGTGGCTTTTGCGGAGAGGGTTCGGACTGAAGACAAGAGAAGAAAAAGGTCAGAGATGTACATTTCCGCGTGGGAGAGCAAGTCTCACAGAGTTGGGTGTGTCGGGCTCAGGCGTAGGCTCAGCCTTGGGCTCGGGCTCGGGCTGTTCTGCATCCACGTCCTTTTTTGTGGAGGACTTCGGGGCTTCAGGGTTCTTGGACTTCGACTGCATCGACTCGGGAAGCTGATACCCGCTCTTGCCCTTCGCGTACCATCGAGGATGCTGGGCCGCCAGGGCCGATGCCCGGACAGCAGAGGCGCGAACGTTGAGCCTCGTCAGAGGCAGGACAGCACGGCTCAGCATGACCGCAGATATACCGAGTGTTTGTGATAGAAGGTGCCGAAGGTCGAGTCCGGGTGATGACGAGTTGCCCGAAAAGTCGGTTCCTTGGGCGGCCCACGCAGCCCCATCGCGCATTTTACTTATATCCGCCTTGCGCTCTTATCCTCTTCTTCTTTCTTTTTTCCCTCAAGTTATGAAAGTTGAATCACCCAGACGTTAATTTGACCCATCAAGCCTCTTTTCTCATGCATGCCGGGTTGTATTAGCTGGGGAGACCAAGGAAGCTCTCTTCTAATTCCCACTCCCAAGAGCCGCAGCGAAGGCCTCCAGTGAAGCTGCAGCCCCGTTCGTGGGATACATCTCTGCCAATTTAATTCCTTTTTTCTTCCACGATGCCAATGCGATGAAAGATGAATTCATCCTCTAGACTGCGTACTTGATCCTAGATCCCTCGCCATGAGCAGCATCGTTGAAGACATGATTCGCCTTCACGAGTCGCCAGACCAGCCGCTCGAGCCAGAGCCCGTGGCAGAGCCTTCTCCTTCTCCCACCGGGCTCTTTCGCTTCCTCGATCTTCCATCTGAGATCAGGCTACGCATCTACCATTTTGTCCTGTTCACCCCAACCCGGAAGAATGCACTTCGAAGCAACGGCAGCGTCGGCGCATCGGCGAAGAAGAACAAGCCGCTGTCGCCGTTGTCGCACCGCCTCTCGCTGTTCCTCGTCTCGCACCGCATCCACGATGAAGCCACACATCATTTCTATTCGTCCCAGACCTTCCGTCTTTTCCCCGTCCAAGATTTCTCGCGATTGCCTCCACTTCGGTCCCTGCCCCGCCGCCACCGGCCCTCCATCACCACCATCGAGCTGATTCTGGGATCAAGCTGGACGGCCCCGCCACGGTCATGGACCGTCAACCAGGGCCTGGGGCTCCATGAAATGACTTTTCTGCGCACGCTGAAAGTGTTTGTCCAATGTGATCCCTCTCATCCTGTGTTCGAGGGCTTCCGCGTCTCCAAGGATTACTACACCGAGTTCAGTGGTCGACTGATGCGGCAGATTCTTGAACGACTGCCCAACTTGGTTCAGGTGGAATTCGACGGATACCCCTCGGTGCAGAAGTCCGGTCCTCTGATGAGCCGGTTGTTGCAGGAGACCCGGGATCATCACAAAAAGATCCTCTGGGGGCCCGAACGAGGGTGGACGGACTATGCTGACGATGAAGAGGGCCATCAGGTCGAAGACCAGCGCGAGGATCAGGCTGTGGATGCAGCCTTCGATGGATTGCGAGCTCACGACCCTGACCCTGTTGAGTCGCTCGGCAATTCGCTTCAGACAGTTCGGCTGGAATCCTAAACCCCTCGAAGTTGATGGGGATGTGACACGATTTTACAAGACATTACGCGGCGTTGATAGACTTGAACATCCAATCATACAATCTCGAAACACTTCATGTTCTTGGATAGGCTTCACTGCAAACATTTATCCCATAATTCCTCGTCCTGATCTGCCGATCCGAGGCTTTTGACTGCATGACAGAGTTGAATGTAATCCTCGAGACTTCAAAACAAAATCGTAATTAGAATGTAGATTCGTGTACGTTCTAACCCTCTACAGGTCTTCGTCCACTTCCATGACGGCACCATTCGTGCCCTCCTTCCCCGATTGCCGCGCCACCGAGGCCTCTTTATCGATCATCTGCTTGGATACCGCAACGATATTGTCTTCGATCAATTGCTGGCTCACATCTTCGATGTCTGCAGTCGTCGATTAGCATACCATAAAACAGTAAACACAATAAAGGAGACGTACGCTTCTTGGGATCAACCTTGCCCACATATCGTGTCTTTAGCTGGTCCTTGCTCAACTCGGTCTCTTCCTTGATGCGCTTCTCATAGCCCTCTGCAAGGCTTACGAGCTGCTTCATTTGGTCGACGTTGTGCTGACCCTCCTCATGGAAATCGTTCATTTGCAGAGCCTCGGTCCATACCTGCTTGTGCAGGTTCATCAGCATGTTCTCCTCCAGTCCGGTCTTGCGGTATTGGATGGCGATGCTGTAGTAGTGACGGTTGAGTCCGTGGATAAGAGCCTGGATCGAAGGCTTGTTCAGATGACCCAAGTTCGACGTAGTCTGCCGGGGCTCCTGTCCCATCACCACAGTCTGGGGCTGAATGAGACGGAAGGCGTCGATCACCACCTTGCCCTTGACGGACTGAATAGGATCAACGACGACGGCAACAGCCCGCGGCGTCAACTGCTCAAAGGATTGCTGGGTGTTGATATCAACCGAGGAAAGCCAGCACCCGAAACCAGGGTGGGAGTGGTACCAGCCAACGACCGTTTCTGGTCTGGGTTCCAAATTCAGATCAGTACTTGCAGGTGTCCCATCAACCTGATTGCAGCTTACCGTCCTGTCTGCCGGAGCATCTCCATCATCTTGGTCTGGAACACCGGATCCACGGCCTCGACACTGACACCCGTACCGCTCTGGGGCATTGCAAAGACATCCACCACTCGAACCGTGTATTCATCGACAAACTCGCCCAGCATTAGCCCCATGACCTCCATCGGCACACCGGCACGGCCATGCCGTAACATCTTCAAAAGAGCCAAAGACGAGATGTAGACGGTTTCGGAGTTATCGATCAGGTTTGGTGTATCCTGTTCAACATGTAATCAGTGTTTGTTCTTATATCTAAACCGCAGCCTAGCTATTGAGGCATGTGAAGCTCACGAGGAGCTAAGCAGAAGCTCGGGTTGCCGAGTACGCCCGAAGCCAAGACAAGGGATTCGAGACTTACACCACCAGGGGCAGCACTTCCCATGCCCATGCCCTGTGCGGCCTGTAGCATCCGGTTGAGGCGATCCATGGTGATCAGAAATGAGGAAGGTGGAAAGAGGTAGGAGTCGAGAAAGATAGCTTCTCAGTTGGAAGCTCCAGATGGCAGATTGTCGTTGGCGAGTCCAACTAGTCACAGTCTGGGCCGTCAACCAAAACGGGCAGAATCCAACAAAACTCGAAGATGCTTTTGATCCTGGGTCAGACAGAATTCTTGTGTTTGGAAGCGCCTACGGGCGGACGATGATTAAGTCGGGAGCTGCCCGGGCGCCTGACGAAGGCGGTGAGCTATTCTGCCGGCTTTGACCGCGTGGGAAGGAGCGCATTCAGTGAGGCCTCAAGTTTGTCCCCATTGTTCTATTGTCCTATTCACCACCCTCATTGCCCTATTGACCGGGCGAGCATGTCAGGGCTCAATTGTTCGCCTTAATAGTCTGATACTTCGCTATATAAGCGACCCCTGGTCCTACCCGCTGCCCTCTTCATCTTCCATCCGACTCTTCCTTACGCTTGCAATCCCCCTAACCCTCATACTTCAAATCCACTTGCGTATATTTCCCAATTCAACCTCGGTCACTGTGCGAAATGGCTGTTGAGCCTATATCGAATGGCTTCGGGGCCAAGGACAAGAAGGTCGCCTACTTCTACGACTCCGATGTGGGCAATTATGCCTATGTCTCCGGCCACCCCATGAAGCCTCATCGCATAAGAATGACGCACAGCCTGGTTATGAACTATGGCCTCTACAAGAAGATGGAGATTTACGTGAGTCTTTCATCTATATACTTTTTTTTCGCCATCTCTCGGTGCTATTTGATACCGGATCGTCGGCTAACATGAAAAACTCCAGCGTGCGAAACCGGCCTCCAAGTACGAGATGACCCAATTCCACACCGACGAGTACATCGACTTTCTGTCCAAGGTTACCCCGGACAACATGGATCAGTTCTCGAAGGAGCAAAGTCGATACAATGTGGGTGATGACTGTCCCGTGTTCGACGGTCTCTTCGAGTTCTGCGGAATCAGCGCCGGCGGCAGCATGGAAGGCGCCGCACGCCTGAACCGCAGCAAGTGCGATGTTGCCGTCAACTGGGCTGGTGGGCTGCACCACGCGAAGAAGAGCGAGGCCAGTGGTTTCTGCTACGTGAATGGTAAGATCTGAGGCTTTCTGGGACCATCATGAAAATGCTAACTCGACAGACATCGTTCTTGGAATTCTGGAGCTTCTGCGCTTCAAGCAGCGAGTTCTATATGTGGATATCGATGTCCACCATGGTGACGGTGTCGAGGAAGCTTTTTACACTACGGATCGTGTCATGACTGTTTCTTTTCACAAGTACGGCGAGTACTTCCCCGGAACTGGCGAGCTTCGTGACATCGGGGTTGGCTCAGGCAAATACTATGCTGTCAACTTCCCTCTGCGTGATGGTATCAACGATCTCTCGTACAAAAGCATCTTTGAGCCTGTGATCAAGAGCGTGATGGAGTGGTACCGGCCGGAGGCAGTTGTCCTTCAGTGTGGTGGAGACAGTTTATCGGGCGATCGTCTCGGTTGCTTCAACCTTAGCATGCGAGGACATGCCAATTGTGTCAACTTCATCAAGAGCTTTGACCTGCCAACCTTGATTCTCGGTGGTGGTGGTTACACCATGCGCAACGTTGCGCGCACCTGGGCGTTTGAGACTGGCATCTTGGTCGGAGAAGGTCTGGAGTCGGAGCTGCCCTACAACGACTACTACGAGGTTAGACCTTTACTTTCATATCGCCGAAATCACTTATCAAGCTGACTGAACTCGCAGTACTTTGCCCCCGACTATGAGCTTGATGTTCGCCCCTCCAACATGGACAACGCGAACACGAAGGAATACCTGGACAAGATTCGCAACCAGGTTGTGGAGAATCTCAAGCGCACGGCGTTCGCTCCTTCGGTTCAGATGACCGATGTCCCGCGTAATCCGCTTGTGGATGGCATGGACGATGAAGCTGATGATGTGATGGATGACCTGGATGATGACGAGAACAAAGACAAGCGCTTCACCCAACGCCGCTTTGACCAGTACGTAGAAAAGCCTGGTGAACTCAGCGAGAGTGAGGACGAGGAGGAGAACGCCGCCAATGGCGTCCGCCGACAGCCGAATGCTATCCGCCGCCGCAATCAAGCCAATTACCGAAACCTCGACGCAGCGGATTCTGGTCTGGACAGTGGCATGGCAACTCCGCATGCGGCGTCGTCGGTTGGTGACATGGAAATGGATACTGCGCTTGATACCAGAATGGCTGATGTCCCACGAAATGAACCTGACACTCGAGTTTCACCGTCTGCGGCTCCTCCTGCCACGCATGCTGAAGCTTCCGCCGGCGACGAGGATCAAATGGTTGTCGAAAATGAGGAAAGTCGCCCTTCTGCTGCCGCCTCTCACCAGCCTTCTCCTGCCCCGCATGATGAAGATACCACCATGGAGGATGCAGCAGCTCCGGTTGTTGAACCCGAATCCGCCCCGACTGAGCCTCAAGAGGAGAAGAAGCCGGTTGAGACATCACCCGCGGGTGAAGAAACACCCAAGGCACCTCTGTCGCCACCTCGAGCCCAAACGCTTGCCAAAGAGCCCTCCGAGCCTGCCGCTGAGCAGGGCGGCGAGGCCCCGAAGCTCGAAGCTGCTCCTGTTGAGGAATCAGAAGCACCCAAGCAGGCCACTCCAGAGCCTACCGATAAGCCTACCAAGCAAGAGGAGTAAATTGATTTCATATCGGATCTGGCGCAATGGACCATGGGGCAGGAAGGTGTTATCGGTTTCGCAGTTTCATAGTTTCACGGCAGCTTTGCACTTTGTTCTCTAGGTGGGGATGGAATGACGAGAATGGTTGATTCCCCGGGCCGCAACCGGCCAACTCAGCTTGATTCAACGGGTGGCAGATACGGGATAGTTCTACTCCTGCAGTGGATTGTTTGTGAGCAAAAACGGGGTTAGGTTGGCCACTCTCGTCGTGTTGCCCTGGTTTTCTTTTCCCCCCAAGTCCTTGTGTATGAAAGCAATATGGGACAGCAAGCAAAATATTCTATGTTTTCATCCATTTGTTCATTCTATCCCAGAGCTAGTTGTAAAACCCAGATCACTGCTTTGGAAGATTCGAGGTGGTGAAGCTGGGACTCACCGGGCATACTTGGTTGATATTGTCGCCTGAGGCATCAAATAATTATTGCCTAGCCTACAAGGCAATAATAATCTGCCCTAACACTAAACAGGCTAGCGTTAGGGCTCAGCAAGCCAGCCCACGACGGAGCGGATCCACCAATCAGCGATACAACAAGCACGCACTCTGCCCACAAGCGAGAAACCATCCGGACACAGGTTTAGCTCGTTGCCCTCTCGACCTCTTGTCGCCTTCTGTCGCCAACCCTTTACACCTATCTCGACGCCTTCCCGTGATACATAGCCATCATGTCTAAGAGAGGGTAAGTCGATACTCTACCGATGTCCGCCATCCAGCTGTGAGAATTTTTGTGGTCTGGGAGGGACCTTGAACCGGCAACGAATCCGCGACGCAAGCCTACAAAAGACAAAAATTCCCGGATGGATGGAACACCCAGAAAGGATGCAGAGTGCTAACGTGTGTTTTTTCAATTGAATAGTCGTGGCGGTGCCGCCGGCAACAAGCTCAAGATGACTCTCGGTCTGCCTACGTACGTTTTTTAATCCCCTCCTTTTGCAACACCAATTTCTTGCCGATTGCGCCCATCATCTCTACCGGTTCCCTTGCAGTCGTTTCCTTTCTTTGTGGGAGCATATATGTGGGAAGAAAATAGGCCGTGCAATTTTTCAAGGGAAGCCGGAACAAAGATTGGAAGGACGCAATTCATTACATCCACCACGGGGCCGAGAGAGACGATGGGACCATGACATGATATTCGAAAGAAACATGGAAGACTAACGGGGGTTTTTTTTTCTGTTCTACAGTGGCGCCGTGCTGAACTGTTGCGACAACTCCGGTGCCCGCAACCTGTACATCATCTCGGTTAAGGGTATCGGTGCCCGCCTCAACCGTCTCCCCGCGGCCGGTGTCGGTGACATGGTCATGGCCACCGTCAAGAAGGGAAAGCCCGAGCTCCGCAAGAAGGTCATGCCCGCCGTGGTTGTCCGCCAGAGCAAGCCCTGGCGCCGACCTGACGGTATCTACCTGTACTTCGAGGACAACGCTGGTGTGGTGAGTGATTTCCGCCATTGGAAGCTAGGAACTTGAAGATATTTTGGAATTGGCTTCGATGTCTCGTGTCTGTTCGACTATGTACTAATCTCGACACAGATCGTCAACGCCAAGGGTGAGATGAAGGGATCCGCCATCACCGGCCCCGTCGGAAAGGAGGCTGCCGAGCTCTGGCCCGTAAGTTTATCTACCTTTTGATGTCGTGTTGCAACTTTGGAAGGAATCCCTGCTAACATTGGTGTTTTTAGCGTATCGCCTCCAACTCCGGTGTCGTCATGTAAAGAGAAAAAACCGAACGAGAAAAAATTCAAGAAAAAGATCGATACCAAACAGGAACTCCCTTGAGAACCATTGTTGTCCCCGCCCTTCGGACAGGGAGGGAGGAAGAATGGTGCATGAGACAAATGGATTAAAATCGGGGGAGGAGGGGAGTCCATTTGAAACGAATCCAACTGTGTTATTTCGAGCCGGGTTTTTTCCCTCCTCTTTTTTTGTGTTTTTCACACGGAGTATACTTGAAAAATACAAGACCTTTCATGACACCTTCTCTTTCTCTATTCAGTGGCTGTGTATACTCTCGTGAGGGAGATAAGGAGATGATTTTGGGGTTGCAGAGCCGACTATTAGATTGGTACTCGTCTTAATCATCTCCTGTGGTTGCTTGTCTTGACCGAAGGCTTGGGCAGTCTGCAATTTACTATCCCTAGCTCTATCTATGGCTCTGGTGGATATGCCAAAGTATCAGAAGTAGAACATTGATGCGTCTATGCAGCAATCTATATGCAATATACATGGAGAAAAACATCGCAAGCAGATAATATATACAGCTCAGTTGATATACAGTTATTTTTTCAGGGCCTGCTCCCGACGAGCCTTGGGCTTTTTCTCAGACCGTCCCCCAGAGGCTCGATTCGACTGCTCCTTGCCAGTGAACTTCGCAGATTTCGAAGACACAGGCGCTCCCTTCGACGAAGACCCACGAGCTGTAAACTGTCCAGCGATAAACCAGAGCAGAGCCACGATCAGCGTCACCAAGATAAGCACATGCACCGCCCACCATATATGCTGCACGCCGGCGGGGCACATGGTGATCTCGTAGCGCCACTCGGCCAGAGCAGGATCAAACCAAGCCGACAGCAGGCCGGCATTGCCGCCGAACTCGCCCATCATCGAGCGGAGGGTCACTTCGCGGATCGAGGGCGAGGCCTTAGTTTGTGTGTGCTGGTTATCATTGTAGCATCTGGCGGCCCATTGCCACGCCTGCGAGGAAGGAGTTTCCGCATTGCTATCGCCGCTGTCTTTCTCTTGTCCCTGCAATGGGTCGTGGTCAACGAAATGCACTGCATCACAGCCGACGTGGTCATGGCCTGTGAGGATCAGCCCGTTTCGGCCCCAGCCTCCACCGGGCACGTTAGAGTCGCCGCTCATCCCGAAGAGGCCCTGCAAGATCCCGGTGCCGCTGGCATAGTCGCTCAGATGGTTCTGTTCGCGCAGACCGCCCTCGGTCCAGCGCGGAGTCCCGTTGTCGCCCTTTTTGTCGTCGGACTCATGGTACGTGGCATACGGTCCGTCGGCACAGATGCCGTCCTCCTTGTGCAGGGGCACATGTGTGAGGAGCAGCGTGAAGGTCGACCGGTCTTCTACCGGAGATAGACGGCTGCTGATCAGGTCGTTGAGGTATGTGTAGGTGTGGGCCTGGATTGCAGGAGACAGCGCGGGGCCGTCGAGGGTAAGAGAGTTGAGGTTGATCAGATGCAAGGTAGGCGTAATGGTTTGATCCTCGGCCGCCGATACAGGACCACCGGTTTCCGTGTCCGAGACATGAGTCCGCCGGGACACCGGAGGGTGCTGGAACCGCACATCCCAGTTAGCACGGCCGAACACGCGCTCGAAGCGTTCCATGCGCGCCTCGCTCACGTCGCCGGCATACCCGATGTCATGGTTGCCAACGATGTTGATCAACCGTCGTGGCCAGGCCGGGTCTGCACTGGGGCCAAGCGCTTCGAGGGGTGCATCATCCCCGGATTGGCCGTCACGCACAGCACCGGTCCGCGTGAGTGCGTCGTCCACGCGCTGACCACCCCGAAACACCCGCTCCCAATACCGCTGTCCCCGCCACGCAAACTCCTCGTCATTTATCCACTGGCTGCCGACCAGATCGCCCAGCACGGTGGTGTGCGTGGGCCGTGTCCACCAGAACAGTGTGCGGTAGATGTGCGCAAGGTAATAGTCGTTGCCGAGCAGATCGACCCGTTTCTGGAACGAGCGCAAGGCACGAGGCACGTCGTCCCAAAACAAGGAGTAGAGCCCGGCACCGACACTGGCGAGGACGTCGTGATCCAGGAGCGAGAGTGGTGGGGGCTGGGTGGTTGTGGATGCTTTGCTGGCGGCTTCTTGGACCGCACGCCAGTGCGAGCGCACACGTGGGATCAGCTCATATTCGGGGAACGGGAGAGAGGTGTCTCCTTCCAATTGGGGGTCTGCGAGAACGAGGAGTCTGAAGATGGCGGGTTGGTCCTCCGCTGCGGGCGCCGAGACTCCGAGGTGCTGGAGGACGGTGTTGATCACGGCATTCTGCTGGGGACTGCCCAAGCTTGAGCCATTGGTGTCTGCGGTATGGGGCTGGGGCAAAGGAAATGCACAGCCATTGAAAACGGGGTAGAGGTAGAGGTAGACGGTAGCGGCGACGGTGAGCGGGACGAGGAAGGTCAGCGCGCGCGAAAGCAGCACGCGAAAAGACATTAAGGCCCAAACTAAGAGAAAAGAAACATAAGAATCAGATAAAATACCCAAGAATATAAAACATATTGACCGGATTGAATGTTGAATGTCTGTGGGGGTGAGAGTGGAGGAGAAAAGGAGACGATCAACTCCGATAAGCGCACAACTCGATTAGAATTAAGCTATCCGCATACCCGCGTAAACATGAATTGAGCTAGTCAATCAGATTAAGTAGATTAAAAAGATTCAGCAGATTCAACTTCCATTTCACCATCCAGCCCAAATCCTTCATATCAACATGTAAAACAAAGGCCGGAGCCGAGAGAAAGTCGGAGCGAGGGGTATATCACATCAAACGCCAAACGGGCGAAAAGAGCAACAAAACAAATGGGGGGGGAGTAAACATAGCCAGAAATTCTTCGCAGGGCGCATGCACAGTAAAATATCACAAAGGAAATGAGAAAAGAAAGACATTATTTGGACTCGGTCTTAGCCAAGGGGTCCGGGAGCAAGGGCGAGTGTCCGGATTCCACTCCCAGAGGATTCGACTGCGGTCGGTCGGCGGCCTTTGGTTCATAGTCCTGGTCGACTTTGGCATCTTCAAAAGAGTTGGTGTCGGAGGAAATCGACTTTTCGATATTCAAGCTCTCGATCTGGAGCTCGGCGTTTTCATCGCCCTCCTCGATCGGAGGTTCATTCTCTGGGTTGGCGGGGGCGCCCATCAGTGCCGGAGGTCGCTGGTTCATCATCCGCGCTTGCTTCAGACTGATGGTCTTCTGCTTGTTGGTGGTCTCCACCGTATGATCCAAATCGCGCTCGATGGTCGCCTTCATCAGAGCCGCCATCCACAGGCGACCTTCATGGACATTATCAACCTGGAAGTAATGAATGGCCGGTTTGGTGAATTGGACGGTCCGTGAATTGCCCATCTTGGGGGGCACCAATTTGAAGAAGAACGGCCCATTACCATCTTTGTGGGTAAAGGACGCAAGGACCGACGGAGGGATGGACTTGACACCCCCCGAATGATCGCCCGGGCTGGCATGGGCTGGCAACGCCGTGGACCCGGTGATGGTCGCATGCAGAGCAATGATGGGATCATGGTCCGCCCGCAGCACACGGTGAGAGGTGATGTCGATCAAGCCTCTCTCCTCTGTATCATTCTCGGAATAGTAGTACGACAGACGGCGACCCCGAAGGACGAACAGGCGAGGCTTCCATGTCGTCATCAGATTCGAAGATCGTTTTTTCATCCATCCACTATAGTCACAGCCAATCATCTGTTCCTGGGGCGTTTTCTTCTCCAGTCCGCGAATATACGCACTGGTGTCTTTCTTTGATTTCACCATCCGAGGGCGACCTGACACACCGGTACCATCTGCAGCTTTCCCCGATCCATCCGTGCTATGCCGCTCCGAGCTTTTAGAGGTAGCCGACGGGGTTGTGGACCCGGTTCGGGCTGACATGGGATCATAGTCGCGCGGCGAGACTGGAGCAGAAATATCGATTCCTTTACCGACGACATCAGAGATGGCACGAAGACCCACTGCCCGCCGGAACTTGGGGCCAGCATTCTTCAGATTCTGGAAGTGCAGCGGCGAAGAGCGGGCGAAGCCTTCCGCATCTCCCTTTCCAACCAGAGGAGCAAAGCTGGCGAAGAATCCGGGCTTGCTTTCAGTGGCGGAGGAGGGCTGCGATTGATGCCCGCTTTTCTCGGAAACGCGCGTGCTCAGACTTCGGAGCCGGCTTTTAGGGGGCGGGGTGCCATGGTAGGCTTGGGCTGCAGGAGAGACATGCTTGGCCGCATCGCGGATCGAGTCGACACTGCTAATTCGAGAACGGCGGCGATTCGAGAACTTGACCCAACCCGCATCGTCGGTGAAGCTTGACTGACGCGAATGAGTGATGCTGCCTCCGGTCGAACCGCGCTTTTGCAGAACCCGGCGATTTCGGCGCGAATCCACCTCGGTTCCTGAGAAGTAGCCCCGGTCCAAGTCATCATATTGCTCAGAGGTGGTGATGAGCGAGTCGGGCTCGGTGGGTAGCGGGCTTCGGAAAGTTCGCGGGCCATCGGACGTGGTGCCCAACGAGGTCCCCGGGCGAGAGGGCAGAGCTCCAGTTCCGGTATTTAGGGTCCAAGCCCGGTCAAACGACGGTTTCTTCGGATGAGAGCCATTGATCGCGTGGTCAGACATGCCACGATGAGTGGAATCAATGGAGGAATGGCGGCGAGTGTGATTGAATTCCCTGATCGATGCTGCAGAGATCCGTCGCGGCGAATCATGGCCATACGGAGGAGTGTGGGGGGTGATGGGAGAGCTGGTGTTACTGGCCAACCGTGGGTGTCCAGTAGGAACCGAGGCTCGAGGCGGACCGTATCCTGAACCCATCTTGTCGGAGAGGGATGGAATTCGGGGGAGAAGAGGTCCCGTGTGACCAGCACGGGACAATGCGCGTTCGTCAGCACCGGCAAGGTTGGTGGAGCCTCCCAACTGCTGAGCTGGTTGCTTCAGGCCCTTGACCTCCTCTTGGAAAGCTTTCACCTTGTGCCAGGTCTTGAGCCGTTTTCCCATCACGCCAAAGTCGAATTCCTTCATGAAAATAAAATCTTGGTCCATGTCGAGAAGAACATCGCCTGTGATTTCTTGCTCTTCAAAGAGGTCGCAATGTCTGGGTTCCACGCCAAGGCCACGCAGATGCTTGGCCGTCTCAGTCTGATTCCATTTGCGCACCTGCTCTTCGGTCGGCTGGGCCCGATCTTCATCATCGGTCTCGTGTCCGTTGATGAACGAAATGCTTTGGGACAGGTGGCTGCTGTACTCGCTGCCAGAATCATTAACCGCTTTCGGTTCTTGAGTTGAGATGCTGTGGCGAGGAGTATTCATATCGGTAATATGTTCATCAATGACGCTCAAAGTCTCGTTCATGACCGGGCTTTCCTCGCCGTTGATGTGGCTGTCGATTGAATTACGGAAGGTTTGCTGGATATCGGCTGCCAGGCTGGGGCGCGGCAGCGGAGAGGAGGCAGATCGCTGTGGCTGCGGAGAATCCACCTGCGGCGGTTGGATATCAGAGGCACTGGCGTGTCGCGATGCCTGGGGGGTGGTTTCGCCACTAGCGACCGATGATGGTTCTGCCGATGCCGCCGGCTCCATCTGCGCGGGTGACTCGGTTGTCTCGGACGCGACAGTTTCTTCAGGGATCGAGACCGTCAGAGGTGCCTTGGTGTAATTTGAGGGGGCAGCCCGGGTGTAATCTGCAAAGGGAAGCTTAGCGATGAGGTGCTTCACGGGTTCAAGTCACGCGAGCGCATACTGCCTGGAAAGAGACCGGTTTTGTCTGTGTCGAGAAGTTTGCCCAAGTACCATCCGTCGCCAAACTCTTCGTCGAGTTCGACCAATTCGATTTTTTCGAGAGGCTTCAAAGTGAGTTCATCTTCACCGCGACCGCTGAATTCATCTAGGGGGGTTGGGTATGAGCGATGCGCTTCGCAGGCAGCCGAGATGAAGAGGGGAGGGGGAGCGTGCGCGCGAATGTCGCACACGGCGGTACTTACGGACGACCTCCAGGATATCACCTCGGCGAACACCCTGAGGCGGCAACATGGCAGCCATTTCTAAAATTTTCGGATCCCGAAAGCACAGGGACTAGAAGCGAGAGGGAGCGAGAGCTAATGAAGCTGACAGACGTGAATCGCACATGGATGCCCAACAACCCTTGCGGGGGGTTTGGCAAAGTGAGGCGCCCGCGAGAACCCGGGATGGAATCTGGAAGAGAAATGTGAGGGCGCGGGAAAGGGGAGAGAATGTCGAGACAAGAATCTAGCGCCGTTTAGGTTATTACCACACGCGCGGGGCTCGGGAAGCACTGACCTAATTTTTTTCTTTTCTTTCGCCAACGGGTCGATCGATCTCAGACGTGGAGATCTCGCATGCCGAGGGGATTCCAGGAATGGAGAAGACTAGAGAGACGGAGAAAAGGAGGAGAAGAAAAACAAGAAGAAAGAGGAGAGGAAAAGGTGAGAAAGGAGGACAAGGAAGAATCGAAGATAGAAGCCCAAAAACCCAAAGCCAAGTGACGTGTGTGGGCGTCAAAAGGCGAAGGAACGGGAATTGCTGAGGGCGTGTTCAGCTTTCCGATGAATCCGGCGCGATGAACACGGCCATACTAAGGAGATTATGGAGAGTTATGTTAGATCACTGTCATATTTGAAATTTGAAATTTGATATTTAATATTTGACCTATTTCTCAGAACATACTCAAGATGCTAAAGAAACTAGTAGATCCTCTAACTATTCTTCGCGCATATGATTCATCACTATTTCTGCCATCTATGTATCCAACTATGAAACTCATGAAGCTATGTAGCTAACAGTACCTGCAGCAACCTTGGAAACCTTAGAAATAGATCTCTCTATTTTTTGTTCTTTTTCTTTTTCTTTTTCACTATCCTATTTCTGTGTAGTTTCGCTACGCGCGCGCCTTCTCGAAAATTATGTCAAAGAAACACCCCGGTTCGTGGGTCTCTTTGTTTGTCTCTTGTATAAAATAGACCCACACTCTCCCCAAGATGCATTTTCTCTATTCATGATCCATCAGATCACGGCGCCATGTCTCCCCGATCGAGCCGTGCCGATCTGAGCTTCGAAGAGTCCAACTCCACCGCCCGCAGATTTCTTCCTGGTATGCGACGGACGTGGATGTCCGGGCGCAGCCCCAATACCTCGCAGGATCAGCCCGACCGGCATCTTTCTGCCCACGCCTTAATGTCTCCCGTCACCCCCGGGGCCATTCTGTCGGAACCCTCGTCTCTCCCACCTATTCCGCCAGTCAATTCCCCTGCAGATAAACCTGATGCCTCTCAAACGACCGCTCTCCCGTCTCCCGTGCCGAGTGCGAATGAAAACCCGAGTTCCGTGAATTCCAATGTCGCTCCCGAGAACCCGACCCCGTCTGTGCCCTCAAATGAGCCTGTCACAACCCAACCGAGAATTGAAGAACGTGCTGCTCCCTCCCAGTCCCAGTCGGGCTCACCGGTCGCAACGTCGACAGCGAGTCCTGCAGTCAGAGTAATCGCCCAGGTGCACGGAAATGCGGTGTCAGGGCTCCCTCAACCACAGCCCTCGTTTGCGCAATCGCCAAATACACTGCTCCTCAGTGATCAGACATGGAAGTATTGGCATTCTCACCTGGACCGGCTGGTGAAAGACTTGGACCAACAGAAACAATTGAGCGAAGCCGTTGGATTCCCTCGGGTCCATCTACTGCGAGAGGCGTTTGCGAAGCGGGATTTGATTTATGTAGTGCTTCATCAACTCTACTGCCGCTGGTCAATTGACCGCAAAGTATTATTGGACCAGTTCGCAGTGCTCCGGAACAAGCAATGCGAAGATGGAATGCATGTGCTAAGCCTTCTTCTGGAGAACAAACAGAAGCTCCCTTACCCAGTGCTCTTTGGCTTCGCTCATTTCCCGAGATCGCCACAGGATCTCATGCGCGACGCCTGGTACAGAGCAAAGGTCCATGAAGTGGCTCTTTGCCTGTCGCGTCTGGGCGCCGAATGGAGTATGGTTAGCACCCACCTCCGTCGCCCGCCCCTAGTTGATGAACTCAGGCAGAAGATAACAGTGCTGTCGTCGACGCTCCTGTATGTGATGTTTATCTCGCTATGTCGCCTGCACTACGATGAGCGCTACTTGGGGGACCTACAACGTCTATTTTGGGTTGACTTGGCGGAAGTCTCACAGCGTTTGGCCTCGGGATCTGGGGACGCCATCGCTGTGCAAAATTCCCGTCTCAAGTTGATTCATGAATACCAACGGTTTCCACGGAAGACTGTTTCGGTTCCACCTGTACAGGAACCTCAGTCTCAGTCGGTGATGCAGCCTTCTCAAGTCGAATCGCCGGCTTCCGCAAGCGATCAATCATCTGTTCCAAGTTCAGCCGTCTCCGCCCCTTTGGTTTCTCCCCGTCAGTCTCCGGGCGGGTTCGCTGCCCCTGGGCTGCACAGCTCGACTCATTACATAGCACAGACACAACCGGGGCATCAAGTACAGACCCAGTCAGCCCGTTCAGCCATGGCCTATCAGGCACAGCCGCAGTCAGGCCCACCCCTAGTTTATCCATCAGCAATATCGTCAGCCAATACTGCTGTGAACCCGTCGCAACCACAGGACTTTCAACCTCCGGCTCTCTTGAATACCTCCGTTCAGCATCTCGGAGGTCCAGTTTTATCCCAGAGCCCACAAGCCCGAGCGGTCAGACGGCAGTCTTTGACCTCACAATCTAGTTCGCCAGACACCCGAGTGCCTCCGAGACAGGCGTCTCAGCCTTCGCTTGTCGCCAACTTTTTCCCACCGGCCGGATACCGAGCACCGCAGACAGTGCAGCCGAATCCGCTCCGGCTGGGACTTCACCAGGCGCATCTCCGCGACCCTGTCAAAAAGCTCTTGGAACTAGGTCCAAATGGAGAACCGATCGAGACAGAACTGTATTATTTCCTCGGCGGCTTCTACTCGCCACCGAAATTTCTCGACCCTGAGGAATCGTCCCACACCTGGACATTCTATATTTCGAACGCCGATTCTCAGAGGTTCCCCCGTACCGTTGAGAGAACAGACGGACAGCGTGCCACACAAACCTTCCAGCCTGGTTGTCGGACGCTTCGCTTGCGATCTATCCGATTACACCCTTCCAAAAACGCGCAGAGTGCCTGGTCCACCGCAGGCACCGCCTGGCCCAGTGTTTTCTATATCTTTATCAACCAAAAGGAGGTATTCGTGCGGCGCAAAGTTCATAATGGCAAAGATCTCCCCCTGGACATCACCAACCATCTCCGGGAGGGTGAGAACAAAATCACAATCAACCTGCTCCTTGGCCCGGATGAGTGCAAGAACCTTCGATATGTGTTCGGCATAGAGGCCATGGAAGTTTCGGGCTTTTCACAGGTGAAGGGACTGGCGCGGTTTATCTCGGTTGCAGAGTCCCGTGCTCGCATCCAGAAGCGTCTGTCGCCGACCACAGACAATGACGAGCTAGCCGTCGTCACAGATAGCCTGACCATCGACCTCATCGACCCTTTCATGGCTCGAGTTTTCGACATTCCCGCCCGCTCCAGATTCTGTGACCATCAAGAATGCTTCGATCTCGACACCTTCATCCGAACCCGGAAATCGGTGTCTGGTCCGACACCGATGGTCGATAACTGGCAATGCCCGATCTGCAAGGCTGACGCCCGTCCCCAGTGTTTAATCAGGGATGATTTCCTCGTCGAGGTCCACCAAGAACTCGCCCGCACAAACCGACTGGAGGGCATTCAGGCCATCCAGATCAAGGCCGATGGGTCTTGGACTGTGGTTCTCGTCAGTGATCAATCACATAGCCTACAGAATCATCTGCATGGGGATTCGAGGATGCTGAAGCGCAAGGCCGATAGCACACCACAATCGGACTCGAGGGCAGTGCACCCCAAAAACGAAGAATCTTCTTCTGAAAGAGCTTCTCAGCCTCGGACACAGGAGCCATTGGTCATTGAAATAGACTAGTGTCCTGCTTATTCGAGTGGTGCTTCAGTGTCATCGCGTCTTTGTATGCTTTTCCTTTTCCTTTTCCTGTTTTTTTTTCTTGTGCTTTGCCCTTTTTGCGTCGCAAACGAAAGATACCCTTGTTTGTTGTCCCCATGGCAGGTCGTTTTTCCCGGTCTCATTGTTGTTGAAATGGAACTTTATGGATGTTTTTTGTGTTTATGTTCATTATACCACTTTGTTTGATTCGTTTATTCCCTTGATCTCTGCATGGTTTCTTTTGTTGGCGCACTGCTTATGGATCTATGGATGGGATCTGCCGTAAAAGATACAGGCTATCTACTGCAACCGAACTAGAGACGCTATGGGCTTCTCGAGTACAAAGAGAGAGAAAGTGTATATCCACGAGATTAAAGTAAATGAGGGTTGGAATAGACGCAAAGGGTGGATCTTTTGCCTGTTGACATGCCCCATCGGAGTCATCAGCGAGAAATCGGCCACTTGGCCGAGGATCTTTAATACCTACAACATGCCTGGCATCGAAAGGTTTTATAGCTAACACTTCTGCAATAATGGAGATGAACAAATTTCCTTCGACCACAGGACCTTCTCGACGCGCGACAGCCTGCATACAGTGTCAGAAGCATAAGGCACGGGTGCCCCCATTCCCTCTACTAAGACTTACAAACTGATGGAACCAGGTACGATGTGCCCTGCCCGACAAAAAGCCACCATGTCGACGGTGTCTGGCCAAGCAGCTGCCGTGTTTATCAAAGAAGGATCCTACTCATCTTCTGCCAACTTCTGATCATGGGTACGTCCCTCGAATGGGATATAGTGAAGGAAATTCATTTACTTACTTCTCAATCAGGCTGCTAGATGCAATACTACATGATCTTGGTACCGTCCCTACTGCTGTAAATGAGCTTCGGGGTGTCGGGGACTAGCAGAGCTTGCCTCCTTTGTAGTCGCTTCTGCTCTGGCGGAATTGTGTGCAGGAACGAAGTCTACACAGAGTGATAATAGGGAAACACAGTCTACCCTCTCCTCTGGTTCTGCCGACATCAACGCTGAATTGATTGATGAGAATCCGCCGGCACCAAGTCGCGATGAGGCCACCGCGAGCCAACCTCCCATCCAGTCCCTCTATCAAATCACCCCCCTTCGGAGCCTGCGCTCGCAGCGACTAGATGATGCGGCCATTCGCCGTGGGCCCAGTGATTTGATATCGCGCAAAATGCTGAGTATTCGTGATGCAGAGGTATTGGTGAATAACTACTTGCAACGAACGGACCATTACCTCTACGGGATAGCGAGTGAATATGCCAGCTTGGAAAATCTCCGGCAAGCTTCGCCGCTTCTCCTCACAGCCATCCTAACGGTGGCAGCGCTGCAAAGTCCAGACGGGCAGCAGCAATACCGGGTCTGCTATCCCAAGCTCCGCAGGTTGATTGCAGATTTTCTATTCTCTGCGGTGGTCATCTTGGAAGACCTCCGGGGCCTTTGCATTGCGTGCTTCTGGCTGAGTGATATCTCGTGGTCAATCCTTGGTCTTGCCATCCGGCGTGCAGTCAAGCTGAAGCTCCCTAAATACTTCTCTATGGCGGTCGAATACCTCAAACCGGAGCTGTCACCGTCGGTCTCAGATCAGCTTGCTAGGAGATTAATTGACGGTGTGCGGTTGTGGTACTTGCTCTATGTTCGTGATCAGCATCTGGCTATACTCTATGGACGCCGTTCGATACTGCGCGATGGCGAAGAAATCCAGAATTGGATGCTGTGTCTAGCAGTTTGGCGTGGCTCGATCACGGATATTCGGATCCTGAGCCAGGTTGCCTTGTTGCAGATTCTTCGGTCTATCCCGGAGATCTTTGGACAGGATTCTAAACGCCGTGTGCCAACTCTGCTCAAGTCGCAGCTGGATGCTTTCAATCAGCAACTGGACCTCTGGGTCACTCACTGGCTGGGTATCTCTCGTAAGTATATCCAGAGCCCCTCATCATTCCATATACTATATCTCTTCAATTCTTCCCGTCTACTCAAGTCCTTCTTCCTTTTAAACTAAATTATACTCCTTGGTTCAAAAGAAAATCACCTGATAATCGGCACCTACCCAAGCAAAGCCATCACCCTCCACCACCACTTCTCCAAACTCCTCGTCTCCTCACACGTCTTCCGCGGCATAGGACCAGACCCCAGCCAAGACCCGCTCCCAACAAAATCCCAAGACCTCGCCGCCGTGGCCATCAACTCGGCCAAATCGGTCGTCGAGCTAACCGTGACCGACCCAGACCTCATCGACGCATACATCGGCATCCCGCACTCCTACCACACGATGATCGCATTTGCATGCTCGTTTCTAATGAAAGTCGCCACAAAATAACACCTCCACATCGATCTATGTTCTTCGCGGGTCGTCGTCGTCGACATGATCAAGCCCGTTATCGAACTCTGCACTCGTGCCCGCTGCACCGAGTACCACCTCGCCCAATGGATCGGACGCGGTCTGCAAGCGCTGCTGACGAGCTGTCTGGAAGCTCCTACTCGCCAACACAGTCGCCCAGCGGGGACTTCTAGCCCGGAGGATTCTTCTCTTTTGGCTTGTTCATAGTTGCATTCCTCTCGTGCGTCGAACCATCGTTCTCCTTTGTGCCCTCCTGCAGGAGAAATCGGGCCTGATCTCGATGGCGCATGGGAGACGGCTGAGGCGATGATGTACAGTAATAGTCCTTCGACGGCTTTCTACCATACGCCCGGTTTGAACATGTCTTTACTAAACTCACTGTCTCCCTGTGAGAGAAACTTCCCGGTGGATTCGACTGTTGAGTTGGATTTCCCATGGGATCTGTCTTTGGCGTATGCGTCGCTAGAACACATGGGGCTAGGACTATTGTGACCTATTTGAGCTGAGAGTGAACAAATACGTAATTGTGTCGAGACTGCCCGGAAGTGACATTTGAAGAGCCCAGGTCTACTCTCTGTACATCGAGAAAAAGAAATGGTGGCTATCTAGAAAGAGATGGCCATGATTAAAGAGCCAGGGCTGATAGGATCAAGTCGCATATTGGAACTATCGACCTCAAAACATCCAGATATAACATTATATTGGGGTGTTATTTGGAAAATATACCGAGGAGCTATATAGAAACTACTTCCTGACTCTGCGAACATGACTGACAAGATTCTCAATGACGCCCTCAAAAGCCTCCTTCTCGCTTACCAGGCCATCTCGTCGCTTGAGCCAATACTCTAGAAGCTCGCTGGCGCGTCGCGCGACCTGCTCCAAATCATGGACGTGCCGCTTCAGCTCGGCATCCGTCAGGCCGCTAAGCGCGGCATCGGTGGTCGCGCACAAGCGCCGCACTGCAGAAAGATCCATGTCCGGCGGTGGAGGCGCGCCGCGGCGAGAAGTGGTTTTCTGTCGAGTGGAGGCCTGTCCTATCGAGGCGGCAGTGTCAGGGTCATTCTGGGAGGCCTCACCCTCCTTGCAGGACTGGCTGCGGGACCGACCCCCTGGCGTCGTTGCTCCCGAGCCTTCCAAGTCAATCGAAGGCAGAACGAGCTTCTTTTGTTTCGATGCAGGGAGGATCTCATCGAGGTCAACGGGAACACCCAGAGATACAAGGAAAAGCCGGCGGATTCGAGATTTAACCCAATTTTGGGGCTGGAGAGGCGGAGGCGCAACGAGCTGGGACCAGAGGGAGAGAGAACGCTCGGTGCTGAAGATTGCGGCCGAGTCAGGGATGGGTTCGACAGCTGGCAAAGAACCGAGGTCTTGGGAGGCAGGAAGAAGACTGTCGAGGGAGCCCTGGAGAGCGCTGAGGAGTTCGGAAGTGGTTTTGAAAGCGTCAAAATTGGTGAGAGGAGGCTGACACGCATTCAGTGTGAGTCGGAGGGTGAAAAACGAGTGCTAGGCCTGGGCACTTACGGCAGAGGGTGCGTGAGTATGCTGAGGTGTTATACTTCCATCCGTGGGAGCTGCCTCAGCAACCTCCGCACTGGGTTCTTGGAAACCATCATCGAAATTACCAAAATCATCATCGCCCATGTCATCTTGTTCTTCTACAAATTCGTCAAAGTCGTCTGCGGGCGGTTGCCCTTCTCCCCCGTCAGTATTATGTGTGCCGCCCATCAATGTCGATTTTTGGCGAGTGTGGGTGGGAAGTGTGGTGCTTTCTGATACTGAAGCATCGGGGATGGTTTCCACTGTGTCCGGTAACGTGTCACTAGGCGAGCGTCGATGAGCTCGTGGATGTGAAGAAAGCTCTTCCTCTGCGGACAGAGATTCCACTTGTGACAGCCGAGTTTCGGGAACTGTTGCGGTCGTAGAGCCGGTGTCTTGGGATATAGGGTCCAATGATGGTGGCGTTGGGCTGTCCCCGGGCTCCGAAGTCTTCGTGATCACATCTGGCACAGCATCCGCCCGGTGTTTGTCAAAGGCCTCTGTTCCCGGGACCTCCCCGTAGCTGGGTGTGCTTGGATCCACCTTCTCAACCATTGTCTGTGGTATGGGCGAATCTCCGGGGGTCAAGGACACCGCCGGGGAATGACTTCTGCTGTGCGAGCCTTCGGGGACAACTTCAATCTCGTCCGGAACCGCATCCTGATCTCGCTTTTCAAATGCCAATGTACCAGGAATTTCGCCATGCTGGACGCTGCTGTCAACCCGCTCCACTCGAGTTCGTGGAACAGGGGAAGTGCGACCGCGTGGTTGCGAATCGGTATGGCCTTCACTGGCGTCTGAGAAGTGATCCTCTTCGCTGCTCGAAACTATACCCGCGCCAAATTAACACTCTGTGGATAGAGCAGGATTAAGGGTTCAAATTCCACAACCATACCATTATTGCCCTCAGCTCCGGCGTCTTCCATCTCTGTAGTCTTGCTGGGTGGTTCCAGATACGAATTGGAGGGATCAGGCAACCCCTCCGACATAGTTGCGGTCGGATTCAGGGGTTGTTCATGAACGAAGAGAGTAGAACAAAAACCATCCAATGCAGAGAGTGTCGTGTGCAAGATGTGACGATGTTATTGCCTGCCCACGATCGATCCGAGTCTAGACATGTCTGCCTCAGGCGTCACGTTTCTATGGTCAGGCAGTATGTTTGCCTGATTGTTGGGGCGTCAAATCCAGCGCGTATCCACTCTGAAACTCCTTCCGATTTATTATTGCTTCAGTCATCCCTCTGCTTCGACTCTGACCTTCCCCAATTGTGTCGCTGGGATCCATCTATTCAAGAGATTGCGCCCCATCTCTCAGGGTCCTGCGGTCTTCTCTACAGGATCCTCACTCTTCCCCTTCCGCGTCGGTCGCTCGCTGTTTCTTCGACTGCTTTTTTTCAAGCTCGCCGATTCCCTTGACCGCGCCCAACGCAACATGTCCTTCTCCTTCGGCACACCGGCCTCCAGCGGAGCTCCCAGTGGAGGTCTCTTCGGTACATCAGGCAATGCTTTCGGTTCCAACCAAAATACCTCCAAGACAGGGACCGGTGGTGGTCTGTTCGGAAATGTAGGAGCTTCGTCAACGAGCGGCGCTGCGTCGCCCTCGCTGTTTGGAGCTACCTCGACAGCGGGCCAGACCCCGTCACTGTTCGGAAATGCCGGTGGATCTAACGCCCCTGCTAGCGGTGGCTCAGGCTTCAGCTTTGGTGGTCAAGGTCAATCCGGAAGTGGCACCAGTACCTCCCAGTCTCCGTTGTTCGGCGGCACTCAGACTCCTAACAAAACCACGGAGTCCACCGCGCCGGCTCAGACTGCGACTAGTGGGCTCTTCGGAGCGGGGAAGACTGGAGGCAGTTTGTTCGGTAACACAACCTCGACTCCGGCTCCGGCGGGAGGTTCTTTGTTTGGCAACACCTCCACAACCCCTGCTGGCCCTCCCCCGGGATCCAAAACTCCCAGTTTGTTTGGCGGCATGAATGCTGCCCCCGCTTCGAACACTCCTTCGACCGCCGCTTCTTCAACTACCCCGGCCACCTCGCAACCCCAATCATCTGGCGGCCTTTTCGGATCTGGGACCCCCTCTACAGCCGCAAAGCCACTATTCGGAGCAACCCCTGCCGCTCCGCCTAGCGGGGGCCTATTTGGCAACGCCAACAAAGACAAGCCGGCCGAGTCGACTACTCCGACCACGGCTGCGGCCAGTACTCCCAAGCCTCTCTTTGGAGCCGCCGCGACCCCGGCTACTGGCGGTGCGCAGAGCGCGCAGACATCCTCCCTCTTCAAAATGCCTCCTGCTAGCGGCGACTCTGCTGCTAAGCCCGCGTTTCCTTCTCTCGGAGCTACTCCGGCCACTACGACCGCCGCTTCCCAGCCCTCGGTGGAAACTCCCTCTACATCCACAGCCACTCCTCAGGCTTCTCTGTTCTCCGGACTTGGAGGTGCGAGCACCACATCCGCGGCCACGCCGTCGTCCACGCCAGCTGCTGCACCAGCTGGGGGAAGTTTATTTTCAGCGCTGGGTGCACCCAAGTCAACTCCATCTACCACTCCTGGCACCACGGCTACTACTAGCACTGCTGCTGCACCTGCCGCTACGCCTGCTGCTCCAGCTGGTGGATTGTTTGGCAAACCACCCGCCTCTGCGCCATCTACTCAGCCCGCAGCTCCTGCCGCGGCCACCACTACTGATCCCAAAGCTAGTACGACCGCAACCACTGGCGCAGCCACAACAACTGCTGGTGCTACGGCTGGTGCGCCTGCACCTTCCGCCCTGGGCCAATCTACGACAGGCCCTCCTCCCCCAGCTCAGTCGCGCCTGAAGAACAAAACCATGGACGAAATCATTACCCGATGGGCCACCGATCTGACCAAGTACCAGAAGGATTTCCGTGAACAGGCCGAGAAGGTCGCCGATTGGGACCGGATGCTGGTGGAGAACGGCACCAAAGTTCAGAAGCTGTACGGTAGCACTGTGGATGCAGAGCGGGCCACTCAAGAAGTTGAGCGTCAACTGGCATCAGTAGAGGGCCAACAGGAGGAGCTGGGCTCGTGGCTTGACCGCTACGAACGCGAAGTGGATGAGATGGTTTCCAAGCAGGTGGGCCCTGGCGAGTCCCTCCAAGGGCCGGATCAGGAGCGGGAGAGAACGTAAGTACCATTGCATTTTTCTCTTCTATTTCCTCTACAGGAAGAACTTACTCTGGTCGATAGGTACAAATTGGCCGAGAAGCTTTCGGAGCGGTTGGATGAAATGGGCAAGGATCTCACGAGTATGATCGAGGAGGTGAACGGAGCTTGTGCCACCCTGAGCAAAACCAACCGCGCAGACGAACCGGTATGTAGAAAACTCCCTGCCCTTTCTGAACTATTCATGCTAACCTGTCCCTACAGATCTCGCAAATTGTTCGTATCCTCAACTCCCATCTGTCCCAGCTGCAGGTCATCGACCAAGGTACCTCGGACCTGCAATCCAAGGTGGCTGGCGCCCAGAAAGCAGGCCAATCCATCTCCTCGCGTCTTGGATATGGGTATGGCAGTCCCGGGGTGAATGGAAATGCCGCCGACGACTTTTACCGTTCCTACATGGGACGGCGGTAGATAATCGTGGGATGATGGGTATCTAATGGTGTTTAATGATTTCAATTGGAGATTCTCGTCTACGTCGCTCCATGGTTTCCTTCGCTTTGGAGAAAGAACGAATCAATGTGCCTAGGGATTCTATTTTCATGGGGTTTCGTTTTTCCCGCTCTTTGCTCCTTTGTTCTAGAAGATCATTCTGGGGCGAGCGACATTTTTTTTTTTGTGTACATCTGATCTGGTACCCCTACGGGCAGGTAATCTGACAATTGAGCCAGGCATGTATTTCTGGTCTCTTTCAACTGCGATTTCAGGAGTTATAGTAGTCCGATGCAAGGTACACGAGTCATTGACAGCCCGATGCCATGCCCTTGGCGTTTCATACATTTTCCCTGATTGGCTCACAGTGCAGTCTGGATTGGGAAACTAAATAACCGCCGATATAGTTGGAAAGCACATTTGTATAAGAAGTTGTAGTTCACGGTAGGACTTTTGCTATATTGCAATTAGGCCGATAAAATAATATTCAGTGAGCTTCATAATTCAATTCTCGATTCTTGGAAAAGTCTCCCTTAAGCTAAAGCTTGCAGCCGTGGATCATCTCTAGTGATTGTGGTAAATGTGATTCAAGATCCATTGTACTTTGGTGGCATCTTTGTCCAAGTTCAACATTGTGCCCCCTTTCACCCCCGACCCCCTTGGTGCCCAGTTGAGAACACCCTGGTTGACATCATCGTACTTGTAGACGCGCAGCTTCAAGCCGATGGCGACTATTCCATACACAGGAGTACGATTTGCAGGTCGACGTGTGCCGTGAGTATTGCTCAAATATTCATCTAGCTGGTCGACAGCTTGCCGCCAAACAGAACTCTGAGTAGAAGCGCTGGGTCTTTTGCATTGCACGATGAGAAATTTTGTCGCATGTGTTGCAGTGCCGCGGTAATGGTAGGTGTGGAGATCAGAAAAGCCGTACGCGCCGGCCTGGGAACTATGCCGGTCTTGGGGGCGTGTGATGAATCCCTGGGAAACAGGAAACTGTAGCCCTAGAATTGCATTCCAAAGCCCGTACTGAGTTGATTCTGGGTCTCCTGGCCGAAGCCGAATAAGCTCCATCTCTTGTTTGATGGCGTGATTGCTCAAGTACTAATAACAGTTAGCAACCCATGCATAAGATAATTGATGTTGTTTAGCTCACGGTGGTCATGATGAAGGTGTTTCTGGATATTAGAGAAGCATCGAATATTCTCTGATAGAATATCTGGTCTTATATAGATATCTCCTTGTGTATAGGCACCATTCCCTACTTAGGCACTACTGATCTATTGCTGCCTACCTATAATTCAATTTGAATTCACCTTTAATATATATCAGCCTAGGAATAGTTATACACATATAATAAAATCCCCGCTTAGCCCGCGCCTGTACCTGATCATCTTCATGATTGTTGACTTCTTCTCGGGCTGGCGGGGATAGATACCTGTTTACGTATGAGCGGTTTGCGCTGGTGTTGGATGCTGTGATGATGTTTCTGGCTGTGGCTGTCTTCAATGTCTGGAATCCGGGGTTCTTGCTTCCCCAGGCTGCTCAATATGCGGAGGATCAGAGTATGCCACAGGGTGAAGATGGACAGAGGGAAAAAGTGATTGTCGAGGGGAATAGCCTTCTTTCCCTTGAAGCTTTGCAAATCTGTACAATGGTATTAATGTAGCCTCGTCCTGAGCTTTAGCCCTGGGGAAGTTACGAAGAATACATGGATTGCAGTGGCTAGTTGTCACCTTTCCATACAGAAGGGGTTCAGGATATCAATGAAGTTTGGAAATATGGCAAAATTGTATGGTCTAGTCACAGACCACTAGCGATGCGGGCTCGAGTTATGAATACCAAATGGCCGGCTAAGTAGAGCGGAGATAGTATGATACACAACATTCAGGGTGGCTCTTGATAGTCAAGATTTACTGGCCGGCGCCATTTTGCTCCTTGGTCAATTTGTCACTGTAGAAGTCAGCCCCATCGTTCAGAGGGTTCCACAAAAGAGAATGCTAAACCACATACATGTGACCCTCGAGCTCGTCAAGGTGTTTGCGCTGCTCGGTGATCTTCTTCTTCAGCGATCCCAGCCTGCCACACGGGACTTGGTTAGTCACTGCAATTTTATTTTGGCTGTCGAGGGCTGGGGGCCACTCACTTCTCCAGCTCCTTCTCACGGATGTAGATGGCCTCTTGTGCGGCTTCGCGCTTGGTGAAGGCGTCACTAACCACAGACAGCAATATTAGCGACGGTCATCTAGAGATGATGTCATCCGACTGCGGTAAGGCAGCTGGGCTGCGCCTACTGTTGCGGCAGCCAGCCACCATTTGAAAGTCAAGAAGGCCTCATGCATGAAATATCACATACCTAGAAGCCGCGCCACCACTCCGAGGAGCCCCGGTGTCGCCCTCGCCCATCCGGGGGACGGCGGCGGAGAAGGATCGTTGAAGTACTGCCCGGTTGGCAGTGACCATGGGTCGAGCAATAGCCTGGCGGAACATTGTTGGGAATTATAACGACGAAATGATTGAGGGAGAGAAATATGCCACAGTAGACAGAGCAGACAGAGAGAGGGTTCCAAGAAGCAGGGTAGAGCTGACAGTCACATCGGATGACGACACGTGCCAAGAAATATCATGTGATCCAAACACGGGGTGTCCGGATCATGTGATATGATAACCTAAGCCATGTCAGGTGAGCCGAAATTTCTGTCGATAAGTCGGTGGTCTCTCATTCGACTTGTATGGCTTATGAGGGGCCATCTACAGTGAATCTACGGGAAGTGTGTGTATGGCCTTAAGGATTTATGAGGGGTTATAGCAATAGTCCCCGTGGATGCTGTGTCTAGAGGGTTTCTTGCCAGTATTCTACAGGCCTGAAACAACAGGGCATCTTGCAATAACAATCACCACGGATCTTGGATGTGATCTCGAATGAGGCGCAAGTAAGGAACTCGGGGCGATTGGCGGGTGTGGCATGGGGGATGACGCTGGGTGGCCCACCGAACCACACAGAAGACTGTGTGTACAAGAGAGCGACGATGCCCTCAGGCCCAACTTTTACAGAGGAAATAAGAAAGAGACAGGAACAAAAGACGAGTAGATAATTAAAATTCACATAGTAAACCCCAAGGGATTTACTCCAGCTGTCAGTTTAAAAAGCGAACCGAAAAGCCTCGCGCCAGACGTAAATAATCCCAACAACACCGCCTTCTGGTCCCCCCCCCTCCTCCCCTTCTCCTCCTTCTCAACTCTCTCCCACTTCCCTTCCCCCCCTCCCAATCGATTCTCCTCTGATTCCATCCAACTCCCTTTCTCCTTTTTTCTCTCTTCTTTAAACAGGTAAGTATTTACCGTTGATTTGGTCCCTCAATTTCCCCTTTCCCCTACTCTACGGGTCACTGCAAAACCCACACACATCACGCTCTGGTCCGAGACGGGATCAAAACATCGAGAGCAATCCCCCACACAAATTCCTTGCCTACAAATTCTCCTCTGTGGAATCGCATCGATGTCTATCGTGGTGTCCACCAGGTCTCGTTTCCTTGTTTACCCGCTGAACCGTTGCCGCGACCGCTTGCCTGCGACACCCAACAACGCACAGCTGGGGTGGAAACGAGGCCGCGTGGCCATCACCAAATGGCCATGATTATCGTTTCTTTTTTCTCGGAGAGCTCGATGATCTGTGAAACAAAAATAGATGGGTGATGAACCAGAGGAATCTACCCCCTGGACCCCTTGGTCATACTTGTTGAGGGGGGCGATTACCATCACCTACCCCTCCCGATCGCCTGCGTGTACTGCTCTTGATGGCGTGATCTTTTTGTCCATCTCCAACATCTCATCCCAACAAAGTGATCGATGAACGGGTGACTGACTTCGAATTTTGGCTTAAATTAGAAAAATCTCTTTTCACCATGGGTCACGAAGACGCTGTCTATCTCGCTAAGCTGGCCGAGCAGGCCGAGCGCTACGAAGGTTTGCTTTCCCCCCATGGTCTTTTTCCGCCTTGCCAAAACAAAATTTGCTAATCATTTGACAGAAATGGTCGAGAACATGAAGGTCGTCGCCTCGGCCGATGTTGAGCTCACCGTTGAGGAGCGCAATCTCCTGTCTGTCGCCTACAAGAACGTCATCGGTGCTCGCCGTGCGTCGTGGAGAATCGTCACCTCGATCGAGCAGAAGGAGGAGTCCAAGGGCAACGAGTCCCAGGTCACCCTGATCAAGGAATACCGCCAAAAGATTGAGGCCGAGCTTGCTAAGATCTGCGATGACATCCTCGAGGTTCTGGACGAGCACCTCATCAAGTCCGCCCAGAGCGGCGAGTCCAAGGTCTTCTACCACAAGATGAAGGGTGACTACCACCGCTACTTGGCCGAGTTCGCGATTGGCGACCGCCGCAAGGGTGCCGCCGATGCTTCCCTGGAGGCCTACAAGGCTGCCACCGAGATCGCCCAGACCGACCTTGCCCCCACTCACCCCATCCGTCTCGGCCTGGCCCTGAACTTCTCGGTCTTCTACTACGAAATCCTCAACTCGCCCGACCAGGCCTGCCACCTGGCCAAGCTTGCCTTTGACGATGCCATTGCTGGTAAGTCCCGCATCGGGAATACAGGGGGAGGGAAGACCAGGACTAACGTAGTGTGCAGAGCTTGACACTCTCAGCGAGGAGAGCTACAAGGACTCCACTCTCATTATGCAGCTTCTCCGGGACAACCTGGTAAGTCAAGAATCAGTTCATCTACATAGTTCTGTCAAATCTAATGATTACTTTTCCAGACCCTCTGGACCTCATCCGAGGCCGAGCCCGCCCCCGAGGGCGGTGCCCCCGCCGAGAAGAAGGAGGAGGCCCCGACCGCTGAGGGCGAGAAGCCGGCCGAGTAAAGAGAGAACCCCTAAAAAGACTATGTTGATGGACTCACGTCCTTGGGGCAAGATGGGAACAACCGAGAGAGGGAGCGCGACGGGTCCTCCGGTACAAGAGAATAGAGTGAAGGAAAGAGGAGAAAAATGGACTGTAAGAAGCATTGAACTGAACCTGGATTTTGTTTTCCTGCTAGAAGAGGCCCCGAGGAGGCGGGGAGAGGATCCATGCTTTGTTGGTTCGATGTCTTCTTGAGGTCATTTTTTCACTTCGAGCCTTCCGCTTTGGCTTTTGTGCTCGGTTATTTCCTTTTTTTCCTTTTCTTGTTTTCTGTGGCCCGGTGCTGTTGTTCTCTGTCTGGGGATATCAGTCTTGTCTCCTCTTTTTTTCGCTTGTGTTTCTTTTTCATTCCCCTTGTTATTTTTTTGTCTAACTTGCCTCGAACTACCCAAAGAGTCCCCTTTGCGCGCACTCTCCAATCACCCCTACTACACATACACACGGACACCCACCAGAGAAGTTTCTTTTTTTAAACCAGTTCCTTATCAGGACCACAAATGGGGGAAGGGTATCAATCCGAACCCTGACTTGGCTTTGTCTATCTGTCTTCTTTTTGAGTTCCTTTTTTATGTCCGTATTTGTGCCATGTGTTAGATTCTTGCTAGACCCTTAAGAATAACTCTCGGTATCCTGCAGTATATTGGTACAATGGGTGCTTACACTGCCCTATATCGACGAACTTTATATTCTGGACCCTTTTTTCTTTTCTCTCTTCTATAATGAATATGCGATGTTTTAGTACAGAAATTAGTGGAAATTATAGGCTAAATACTGAACTATTAGAGTCCGTAGATATGGTTATTATCTTTACTCTCGAAATAGTTTAAATCAGACTTGAATCGCGTATAGTTTATATATTAGTTATAGTATAATTTAGAACACTATTTAGAATAATACCTAGGCATGATAGTAAATAAATGACTCAAGACATATAGAAACGAAGAAACCATGAATCTGACATCGGCGAATCCCCCAACCCCCCCCTACTGCACTAGGTACCACCAGAATCGTGCCCTAAACGCTCAGCCGTCCACGAAGCAGCCACCATGCTTGCCCTTATCATTCTGCGCTCCATCTATGTCAATATTCAGACACCAAAACTCCACTTCCGGGTCATTCAGGTTCGGAGGAGTGCCCTCCTCGTCACATGAACGCCGGTTATCCTGATCCGACGTGAGCCAGCACCAGGGCATGTGCGCGCTCGACTTCCATGGCCCGGGGACCATTCTGCCATTCTTCTTGGTTTCGGTGGAGTACCAAGGCTGAGTGTCGACAATTTCACAGGTTGTCCACGCCCAGTATACGCCATCGTCGTCCTTTGTACAGCCAGGCGCCGGTACTGTCTTCTGCACAGGGTCCGGTTCATGGTTACAAGCCCCTCCACCGGCTGATCCACAGCGATGGCTTCTCGGGTCGAGCTCAGTGCTGTTGGAGGCTAGGAAGGAAAAAGCAGAAAGAGAGAAAGGTTAGCGGAGGATACTTTATTTTATAGAATATATATATACAACTCCTAGAACAGAGAGCAAGGAAGGAAGTGCTTACCAAGAGCGTCTGGGTCTGGAATGGCTGAGGCACTTGAGATAGCCGCAGTTCCAAGAAGGAGGATGCCCGTGTTGAACTTCATTGTCGAGACCGTTGCTCTAGAGGATACTCTAGCTAAGCAGTTCTGTGGGACGAAGAAGAAGAAGAAGAAGAATATATAGGGGGTAGACGGATTTCATTCCCTTTTTATATCCACAGAGAGGCAGAATAATAGCCCCCGGGGTCAAGAACTAACTTTAGAATGCCGAGACCCTTAATCAGTATAGGGGACAGGTTATTCTGAAAATAGGGCTAGAGAGAGCCATCGCCCCTATTAATCTAGACGAGAAGCACTCGACTATAATCACAATAGCCCTTATTACTTAAGAGGTCCATATAATATAGATATTTTGAATATATAAAAGAAAAAAGGCTTATGATTATTATGATTTCTTTCTGTCGTAGAGTGCAAGAAAGAGCAGGACCTATATCAGTGGAATTTGGTCAAGCGGTGGCTCCCAAAAAAAGACAAATGAAACATACCAGTAAACATGCGGAATTATCAGAGAAAAGGAATCAGGATTGTACAGCTCCAAGTGAAATGATCAGCCCTGTAGTCCGGGAGGGGACTGGGGCTGCCGGGGGCGGCGGCCCCCTCTGTTCGGGTAAGGAATAAATATAGGCCACCGCTATATGATTGCACGCCCAAATCCTTCCAACTCACATATCCTATTGCGATGTCCATTGATGAGGAAGGTAACGAGATGATCAGTTCATCCCTTCCAAGGTTGTCTCAAGGTAAAATGCCAAGAATATTATTTTTCCAAGTTAGATATATATTATGATCTGAATTATAGTAGAGAAGAATGTATATAATGCTGGTTTTACTTACATAGGTATATCAGTCTAGATATAGTCTAACCCTCAATCGAACCTAGGGAACAAGGTAAAAACCCCAACTGTTCAGGGACCCTATCGCTAACCTGTTCCAGCCAGCTTCGGTGGAGGAGGCTTATCTAGCGTGTTTTTAGGGGGAAGAAACGCATAGGCACACGCGAGATATACGCCGTTCCAAATTGTACGAGTGTGAGCAGCGTAGAAGTCGGTCTATTAAGGGGCCATGACATTTTTATTATTATTTTTTTTTAAACAAAAGTCCTGCTTGCTGCGTCTTAGACTCATCAAGCCATGACTGCCGAGGTGTAAAACATCTAGATTGAGTGGTCCTTTCTGGCCTTATCTTCTCACGCGCTGCCACCCCTAAAATAAGTTCGCTCGCACGTTCTGTTTCAATAAGCTAGAAAATTTCTGAGCCTTCTGATTCATTCGAGTATATATATATTCAGACAGTGGATATACTTGGCTGATGTGCACTATATCAGCCAAGCCAAAAAGGGAAAAGTAGACAACGATCTTGTATATACCATCCATATATTCCTGCAGTCTATTATGTATGGTATTTTTTTTAATCCAAATAAGATCCATTGTTATTTGCACACCTAAACCGAACCCATTATTTGATTTGATTATTGACAAGTCCACAGGTAGGTACCTACTGCTCACCCAAAGAAGATAGGAAGTAGAAGTGAATCGAGTCTACTTCCCAGGTACTTACTGGCTGTACATACCATATATCTGACTTGAAGTGATTCTTGCTGTTCATTGTTATTATAAGAATCTGGGAAATACTAGCTTGAGCTGTGGTGCTGTAGTCATTTTTGATTCATTTCGTGTTTTGTGTCCGGGCTAGACAGTAGATTACGCGGATCTATCTACCAGATCCAGTATAGAAATAGAATAGAATGAAATATAGTGCAAAACCTACGCTGTCTACCTAGTAATATCATGGATTACGACCAACACTAGACCACAACACATTCCAACTGTTGAATTTGAACAAGTTCCATTTGCTACCATGGCTACTCCCACAATTCTACCAGAATTTGGTTCGACAAGGCTGTTACTGTGTGGGTATGAGGGCAACGAGGAAGGGGACTTTGTGGGACATGCACGCTCCGAGGGGGGGTATGGCAGGGCAAGCGAAGCAGGAGCAAGAAACTCTGGTCCTTTTTCTTTAGGACCATATGCCGCGGGGGGAGAGAAATATAAACCAAACACGAATCCGGGGGGAATGAAAGGAACAAAGAGTCCATCGTTATGTGGGGAACACCATTGGTCCCAGCTCAACCAAAGAAACAAGACAATGCGAGGAAGAGAAAAATCCCTGAGATGTACAGTTTGCCTTTCCCCAGAAAAGAGTCACCGGGGACGGAGGGCAGAGGGCTGGTTGGGGGAATGAAAAAAGAAAAATGAAACAAATGGACTTGGCTCCGAAAGACCCCCAAAGATGCTTTCCACTAACCGCGCCGTCCTGCTGTAACCATGACCATGACCATATGCAATGCCCATGACGACGAAAACATTTCCAGTGCGGCTCCGGTAAGAGAGTCATTCAATCAAATCGAGTCTAGTCCCAGTCCCCCAAAAACGCCCAAGGTGCTATGCAACCGATGATCGAAAAAAAGTACAAGTGAAACATGTGTCCACGAAGAAAAAGCCGCCGTGGGGGTAGAACGCCGAGAGACATGACGCGAAACGTGAAAAGAGAAAAAGGCGGGGAAACAAGAGACCAATAATATCGACAAAGATGAAGAGAGACAGCCGAGCTGAAACACGGCATGAAAGAGGTCGCACAACAGGAGTTGAGGGATCGGCTGGGAAGATCGCGGAATCAAGGATGCCAAGGCTCAAGTGGCAGCCCATTTGAGTAACACCCGGCATGCAATGATGTCACGGAAAAACCCCTTGTCGGTCCCCCCCTTGACAATGCAATCATCGGAGTACCGCTGGCTTTTGAGGCCGCTCCCGCTTGTACAGGATGCTGTGGAGACAAACGACATAGTGTCGGGCCGCTCGAACCAGTCGGGTGGCAGAAGACGGACGTTAAAGAAGTGGCAACAATCGTAAGTTGCTCTCGCAGGTTCTGACCAATCGGAATACGGACAGGGGGGTTCCTGTCAGACCATAGAGCCCCCCAGTATCCAGAGATCACGCGGTGTAGACGAACTGGCCTGCGCATATGGCAGTTAAGCGAACGAAGTCGGGTTTGTGAAGGAAGTGGGAAATGTGGTCGGGTTTCATCGTAACGGGCTGGCGGGAAGTAGAAGTAGAGAAAAAAAAATCAAGAATCATCGGTTTGTCCGGAATGATGACAGCTCATTTCCCCATCTGTGCCATTCAATTGGACAAAAGGGGCCGTCTGACCATCTCATCGCTTTGTGCTGGAGGCCGTTACTTTTGAGCCTTGCGCGCCTTGGTACTTCGAGTCATTTCGCCCTTGGTCATGTTGCGAGTAAGGCCACCAATGTAGTCCTGTAGGATCTTGTTCTCATTCTCCAGCTTGTCGTGGTCGGACTTGACGGCATCGATGCGCTCCGCAAGGGCCTGAAGAGAGGATTGGAGGGCCTTGGCTTGCCTGTTTCTCCAGTCAGTAATCATTTGAGAAGATTTTTTGAGGTACTCATTGCCACTCACTCCTGAAGGGTCTGGCGAGCCTCCTTGCCCAGACGCTCGAGATCGGCAGAATTGCGGCGTGGGCTCATGGCGCGAGCGTCGTCAGGGGGAATTCCTCCTCCTCGATTTCAATCTCGGGGTGGTCACGGGGGACCAGTATAGAAGCACTGGGTTTGCGGCTCGCCATGCGGGGACGTTCAGATCGACCGCGACGTTCGTTCTCGGCGTCGGAGATGGAAGAAGACGAAGATATGGAGGACATGTGCATGCGGCCACCGTCGTGGGGTTGCGGCAAGGTGTCAACGGGAGACGCCTCAGTCATCTCTGCATCGGAAGCCATAAGGGGTTGGTCGCGACAAGAGACGACCTCAGAGGGAAGGTCCAGGGAGAATGTTGGGGGTACAATCTCAAGAGATCCAATGTGGAAACGAGGGTTGAACGACCACGGTCTACCCCTAGCGATGTACCCCAGACGAAAATCTGTGTTACGCTTGAGGTAGTTACCGGGGTCGGTGGGAGATCGAAAAAGAGAGGATAATGGATTTCGAGACGGCCACGAACCGAGGGGACGTGAGAGATCGGGGCGGAAATCGAGTTCAGATAAACCCACTTCCGCAAGGCTTTACAGGAAAAAAAAGGTGGTCAAGATGCGAAAAAAGAGTGGAAGAGAGAGGAGGGGAAAGCGATGGCGAGGGGAAGATCGAAACCAGCAAGGTTTGGAAGTAGTCGCGAAGCGAAAGTGGGAGGAAAGATCGAGAGAGAGAGGGAGGGAAGAGAAAAAGCCAAAAGAGCTTTGAGGGGGAGAGAAAAAAGGATTGGGAGTTTTCGGTATCGGCGTTACGGCACAGAAGGGTACAAGGGAGGTACTTGGGGGGCAGTACTACGTGGGCGGGCCCCCGTGGTACCTCAGGAGTCCCGTTTTGGAGAGTGTTCATCTTCGCACCTTTTGAGTAGGTGGAGGACCCCCAAGGAGGTCCTTGGTTTGGGTGATCGGCGAAATATTTTACAAAAAAAAAAGGGAAAAAAAAAGAAGAAATACTGGATTCATGACGAGGATAAAATATAAAATAACATGAAATAATATAAAATAAAATAACAAGAATAAGAAGAAATCGAGAGCGCGTGGCAACCACCAAGTGATTTCACTGAAGCCAGTCCCAATGTGAATGAACAAGTGTAAGATTCGAGTAATCTCTGAGTATCTTTGACCGGTTTCTGGGAGAAAGAAGAGATGTGTATTTTGTGTGTATTATTGCCTGGTGGCAATTCTGATATTCTGATATTCTGATATTCTTCTATTATATTCTATTAAATAAATCAAAAAATATTATGTTCACCCGAGTACCTGGCTACATTCCATTCCCCGGTGTTCTCCGTTCCAAGTTCCAAGGTTTCCCTCGCTTCGGCCTCCAATCCTTCAGGGGTCGAGTGACGCCATTCCATTCATGATCTGTATAGACGGTGAGATCCTATGACGTTGATACTGAAAATAATAAATAATAAATATAAAATATAAAATATAAAATATAATAAAATCTCCGTGGATAATTTCCAGTTCCCCGTCCAATCAACTATACACACATTCTTTTTTTGCACGAAATCAAGGCTCCACGGAAGCAGACACATACATTTTGCATTTGCTCCGCACTGTGTCCTTGGGAAACCATACCCTATGGGATGTGCCCACTCAAGAGTCCTGAGCCCACACCGGCAGAGAACCAATGTGCGCCCGGGAAACGCTTGGGCTTCAGACGATCCATTGGGGCGGGCTCTTATTTGATGGATCAGGACTTCACTAAAAGGAGGTGAAACCAAGCAGGGATACGGTGGCTGCCGATCTCAGGAAGATCGCAAGGCCAACGGCTGAAACCGGTGTGTATGTATTATTATTTTATGGTTATATTTCACATTATTTTATGATTATAATGAGTATAATGATGAATATAGTGATAATTATTATAATATAATTATTATTTCTTGTTGATGGGAATATATACTTAGGTTAGGGTATGGCAGTTTGAATACGGTACAGTTTCAGGAACAACCAGATCAAATCCCATGGATACACCTCGGCAGTGGCTGGGAGTAATTTGTGACAATAATATTCAAATATTCAAATCCCAAAGAACTGCCGACGCCTGAACCTGGAGATAACCCCGGATATTATGTCCCGGAAATTGCACGAGGATTATCCAACGGCGCAGTTTTGTCTTTTTTGATCTCTTGGATTCCTCAGCTTGCAGACCTTGAATAATGTGATGGATCGGGGAGATCGTCTCCAAAGTACCCAAGTATACATACCGTACCTTGGGAGAACGCCTTGTTAGCGTGATGCTTGTGTGCCTGGATACCTAAGATACGATGGGTATTGAAGCCTTATTCCCCCCTCCTTGATGTACTGAAGAAGTGTAGCCCTCTCAGATTCACTCCGGCCTCCCCGACAGTCAGATGACCGATATACTTGGATATAAATTAGTCTATGACTGTAGTCCTTGCAATCTGGGAAAGATAGAGAATCCACACGCGTGACTCTTTTTTTTTCGCCTCTCAGACTCCATCTTTAGGCCGTAACTTCTACCGGTTCCGACGGTTCCACCATTGCAAACATAATACGGATGTAGGTTAGAGTCTTTGAGGGTGGGTTCGGGGCAACTGAGACATCCCGATCGTAAGACAGACGCGTATGTGTGCCATAGATCTATGATTTTTATGATCTTGATCTTTCTATATTCTCTGAGTATCGGAGTATAATAATAATATCTCGATGAGCAGTGTATGTACACACCTTGATACTTCGGTATTTGACCAGGGAGGGTCAATCTTCTGCCGATCTACTCCCCCCCCCCACACACTCAATACGACGGCGTTTCATCTTGCCCATCCTTATTTCAGTGAGATTTCATCATTACCAAGAGAGGGGGGAGGACGTCAAGGTTGGAGCTAGTCGGATGTGGATGACGCCCGGTGGGTAATTTTTTTTTTTTTCTCTTTTCTTTTTCTTTTTCTTTTCTCTTTCTGTGGCCCACTTTTTCTTCTTCTCGTCTTTTTTTTTGCCCCTTCTTTTTTGGCCCGCGATTATCGCGCGGCCAATCATCGCGGCCAGCATTTCTGACGGAGCTGCTTCGCGTTCCTGCGGTGTTCTGTCTCTCGGCACTTGTTATAGAGTGTAGAAGACTCGTACTCAGTCGACGTACGACGGCCTGAAACTGTGCCAATCAAGCAATTGATTGTTGGACTAGATTAAGCGACCTAAAAATAACTACCTAGTAGCTCTATTCTATTTAAGTGTTGGAAGATTTAAATATTGAATGTATGATTGTGTATTTTGATTGATATGTGATATTATGGGTTACATATCCATGGGATATATACCCTCAAGTAAACCATGCATACATGATGCAAAATAAATACCAAGACCAACCGAAACTGGTATCGAACCTTTCTTTTTCTCTGCCATCTGCACCTGCAGGTCCCGGTTAAGACATCGACCTTGGACCGGCTATTGCATAGGCCGCAAGCGGCGCAACGGCGTTATTGTGCTTGCAACGCGTTTCACTGGTATGTTGCCTAGCCTCTTCCGGGGGTTTCCACCGTGCCAGGAACATGAAGGCGGAAAAAGAAAAGAAAAGAAAATAAGTTAACTTAGAATTGAAATACATGTATTTGCTTGATATTCTATAGAGTAGATAGTAGATAGTGTACAGCCCGCTCGGGAGGTATTATCCATGTTGCCCGTCAGCCTCGTCGTGAATGGATCTCGGCAGATATCTAGACTATGTACCTTGGTGGTACCTGGTACTGCAGGCCATTGGAAATGAGCATTGTCGTGTCTATACAGTATCTGCAGTACCTACTAGGTCGGATGGCTTTGGTCAAGTTGAACTACTGCATTGAGAAGAAAAAACAATTCTATGAATACCCGAAAAAGAAACTGTACAAGCAACTCTTCCCAAGTCGCCTAGCTAATGATACCCATTCATCGCCAAAGCGCCAAAAACCCGAAAGTCATCCACAATTTCATAACAAGACATCGGAGGTCTGCCACTGGTGCAAGGCCCTCAGCACGGCAACACCACCCGACTGCGTTTCGACCGTGCGGCCACGACCGCGGTCGTTGGAGTCCCGCGGAACCACGTTCACCGTCGAGGCATCGAGCTCATCCGGGGGATTGCGGTAGTCGGCGGCGCCCAGGGAAGCGAGCTGCTGTTCACAAGCTCATCCGACCCGACGACCTGATGCGGGATACCCCACCACGTACCGAATTTGCCGTCGTGATCCCGAGTCACCAGCGCGGCCCGCGCGTTGTGCTCGATCCAAGACCCGTAGGCATGGCATCGCCGCAGATGTCCGTGGTAGGTGGTATTCCAGCTCTCCTGTCCGGGTGGCGGGTTGCCGGCGTTGTTGGCCAGGAACCGTTCCTCGTGCGGCCGCAGGGACCGACAGAACTCGGCCAGGTGGTGGAAGAAGATCCCCTTGAAGGTCTGGCCGTCTTGCGAGCAATCACCGCGCGAATCGCAGGCTTCTTCCAGTACGCCGCCGCGTCCGAGTCCCGCCCACACCGTGCTCGAGGTCTGCGGCCACCCGGTGGCTTTGAGCACCTTTTCGATCAGCTCGTGGCCGTCTTCCAGGTAAGCCTGGGACCAGGTGGCTAGCCAGAGTCCTCTCAGCCCGCTGAGAATAACCCCCTGGTTGTACGTGTAGACCATCGTGTTCAGCACGTCGCATTTCCGGGACTTTGGGCGCGACGAGCTCTGCCATCCGCTAATGTGGAACCCGTCGCCATAGAGCCCACCAGGCCCAGTCATGTGCGAGTTCTTGAGCCATGTGTAGCCGTCCATCGCAGCTTGCAGGTGAGCCGGGTTATGTAGATTCCTCGGGGCAGGTGCGGTTTGCGAGTACGCCAGGAATGGCGAGTCAATGGGGTCGCCGGGGAAGTATAGGTACATGCCGATGCTCGCAGAGATAAAAAGCTCATTTGTAATGGCATTCTTGTATGGAATCAGGTTGGGGTTCCAGATCATCCCACCCCCACAGAGGGTTTTGTCCCACCCGACCGAGGCGAGCTCGTAGAAGAGCCGGGCTCGGTGAGCGGCAGGGTTGCGGAACTGAGTTCCATGCCACGGCTGTCCCGGTGTGTCGTTCGATGGCGTTGTGTAGTGCAGTTCCGAGTGCAGATCTTGGAACTTGATGTTTTCCAGCCAGTCCAGAACCACCCACAGCATATCATCGTAAGCTTGGTTCCGAAGACTGAAAGCGTTCTCGCCAAAGTAGAAGGTGGATGTATGGCTGAAGAAGTGATTGACCGTGTTCTCCAGCACAGCCAAGGATGAGTTTTGCAGTCGCGCACTCGAGGTCAGGGACGAGAGTACTGCGGAGACGTGTGTTCCCAGCACGGCGGCGGTCCAATCGATGCTGGTGGGCCATGCGCCCAGCCATAGCACAAAGTATTTGTCTTGCATGACGTGCAGCGCGCCGAGCAGATTCTGCAGTGTTGTTGAGGTCGGTGGCGGAATTGGAGATTGCTGCGAATCGGGGTCTCGAAAAGCCGCATCTCCCGAGGAGTTGTCGAATGCGTCGACAGGTCGAGCGGATGTCGATGAAGGTTCCCCAAGAGGTCTCTGAGGCGGATGCGCCAGCGAATTGGCCACAGCTGAGAAGGAAACGAGGTATAGCGCAAGGATAATATACAGAGATCGTGATGGCCCAGCAAAGGACCAGGATGAGGGCCGGGAAGCCATTCTGCCTGACGAAGTCTGAGAGGAAGGCTATCCTGCCCGGATGCAGACACAAAGACCCTCTAGTAAGAATATAAGAGACAAAGAGCCCAACCCCCCAGGAACACGACAGACATCGACCCCATGCGGGGAAAGTTGAAGGGTGGAGAGATTTTTATCTTAGTCACCAGGCCCACCCATCCGTCCCGGGCCATGGGATCTATAGAGATTTACTAGAAATCGACCAGGAACCAAAGAGGACTCCATCTGTTTGACCAATTACCATATCAATTTAGTGTGCTAATCATTCATGTCAAAAACACCACATGTGGTCGCATGACGCAGACTGCAAGGGATCCTACAGCCGAGGACTACATCGGACTGGAATACAACGGGGAACCAGGTTGGCCATGTCCTGGACCGCAAATCATACACATCCATGACACCAGCCAAGGCTGGCAATTGCAGTGACATGTTCTCTATTGGTCATGCTGGCATTTCAGCGTTTTATGACACGAGATAGTCTTCTCAAATGCAACCACCCAATTTTATCAATCAACTTAGATTTTCTGGGTCCTAGTCAGCTCAACCAGTTCAAAACGATAGAGAAGAGATAAGATTACCAATATGATCGTGTACCAGAGCGCCGACATCTCTCTCCATGCGGCCATGCTCCGTGCAGGTTCATGTTCGGACCATAAGGTTGTGCGGGGAAGAGAGACAATGCCGGCGAAAGGAATAAAGTCCATTCTTTGTGACCCATTTCGTCTTTCGGGTAGACAAGAGATCGAAGATCACGCGCTGCAGCGTGGCATTGGAAATGGGCGACAAAGAAAAAAAAAAAACGAACAGCCCAGGTCAGGTGAAAGGCGACAAGCGAAGCATTCCCCCCAATAAATTAATCATCCCTATCCATTCACAGATTCTTAATCTCTCTCATCACCAGCGCCCGGGCTACGACTCCGGTTGGGACTCCTGCTGCGGCCCCGGCCACCGCGGCCGCCCTTGGGTCCTCCACCTTTACCCTTGCCAGAGGGTGGTGGGCGAACAAATGCGTAGTCGACGTGAATTGTCTGATCAAGCAGTTTGGCACCATTCAGGTTTTTGATGGCTTCACTCGCTTCGGGAAGGGTCGCGTATTCAATCAAGGCGTAACCCTATGGCGCAAACATGTCAGTGAGGACTCTGGTGGGTTAAGGCTCTGATGGGGCAATGAGTCGATTCAAAGAACTCTTCCAGTACAATAAAGCAATTGATAGAGTTCCAAAGCTGTCGCCGACAAAATTTGCACAAGGGCAGAAGGGTCCAGACGTACCTTGACATAACCAGTTCGTCGATCAAGGTTCAAGCTGAAGTTCTTGATCTCTCCGTAATCCGCAAAGAGATCGGTGATATCTTCCTCTGATGCTTCCTCATGAATATTGGAAAGGAGCACAATCCACCCCTCGATACTGCGCACAGCGACGGCGCCTGTCTGGGTTTGTGGTTCGAAGCCGCGGCCCGACTCCGCGGGGGTCTCGTCCTGTGCGACGGGGGGATCGACTTCCATCTCGTTCGACATAGTGGGGAGACAGGGATGGGGTATCTGGAGAAGGAGGCGACGTATTCAATGGCGGGTTGGCAGGTTGACAGCGCTCAATGAGAGTGCGTTGCGATCTGAAGTCTGGCGCAGATCACCTGGGCAGAAGCTTCGTTTACGTAATCACACCGACTGGCGAATGTCCAGGACGATGGAGCTGGTGAACACAATCTGTGAAGCTGGTCAAGGTTTAAACGTTGGAAACAACAATTCTCTTATGAGGCTGCTTTTCTTTTCTGAGAGAGGAAAAGCGATATTAATGCTGTACAACCTTGAAACCTATTGATGCTGCTATGTTAAGCCAGTATAACTTTTCGAGATAGAGGAGCTGTCTATGGAGATCACTTGGGGGAGTTTCTTCTCTTCGAATGTTTTCATGAAGCTAAGCATAGAGCTGAAAGAGCTTAATAGATACAGAGGGTTGATTTATGAAGACAATAGGTATCTTTTGTATTCCCAGCACGAGAATAGCCATCAGTTTTAGGTATCGGATGAGAGTGTTGAAACATGAGAGAAAGTCTGCCACAGCACCTCCGACGCTGATCAAAAAGATACTGGAAGCAGTTCCATGCCCTTTTCATGATCATCAAGTCTGTCTACCTTTTCTCCCCATAACCTTTTCCACACGAGTCATATGAGCACGAAGCTTCCCACCACTTTGCTCTCAGAACCCTAGATCAGGACTACACGATTTTTAAGTGGCCAGCTTCCTCACTCTTCCCTCTGTTTCCTCTTTGCTTAGAGATGTTACGCTGGTAAGATATAAGCCAACCTCACTTCAAATACAAAGACCAAAATAAGACTAATACGCTTGATACTCTTCCAGCAATGACCTCGCCTGTGGCTGCCAACCAGCAGACAACAGCTCAAAACCGACCTCCGTCCAGCTCGTCCTATGGGGGCCAGGACCAGGCCAAATGCGCCAGTTGCATGGGCCAAGCAGCGAGCTGGACGTCGAATTCCACTTGGACGCCGGCACGATGACCCTCAAACAGGCACTGCACAATTCGCCGAGCTGCCCGGGGCCACGAAGCACGGCAGCAATGCATTTCAACTCGAATAACAGCACCTTTGTGAATCTCCAGGGCCTCGCTGACAACTCCCTTCTCCTCACCATCGAACTACACCAAAAGACTAGCACCGCAGCCATGCAGCCTCGCCCAACCACAGGAGAGGAGCAAGGGGACAAGGCCGCAGACCTTGGACCCTGCTACCAGATCTGTGGATTCCACCTCGATCTCGTTCCAGACTGTGCTCTCGTTTCGGCTCTGGCCCTCGACCACCGCCCTAAGCAAAGCATCCAATTACTTTTGCCTCAGAATCGAGTCAGTGACTGGAAGACTGTCGCTATCATTCTGCTCACTTTCCGTCAAATCAACACCACGACGTGGTACCGCATGATGAGCAGTGGCCAGCTGTCAAAGGTTGCTGGTTTTGATTGGGCTCAGGTTCAGACAAAGGCGAAACAGAGCTCTGAAGGCATGGTCGAGATATCTGGTCGGCAGGAAGCTAGATAGTTAGATGGATGGGGAAGTGGAGAGGCTGTTTCTCGACCTGTAAAAGAACTCTGGGAATCATCATTCCACAGCCCCAGCTGTTGTCCTGTCTGAGCACGGAGGATTAGATCATGGACTCAGAAGCACAGAGGTCATGATGGATCTTGAAGATATTGACGTATTTGGGGGATGTATGTAGCCAGCTTTTCTCTTGATGAGGGAGTTTCAACTTTTTTTTATTCCAAAAATTCTCAAGTCGACGGTGGAGTAGACCCTTCGATCTCGGGGAGATATCTGACAAAAAGTCCATTAGGAGTGGAGATGCATCTGCTACCCCGGTGGTAGTATATCTGCAAGCAGGGACAAGACTGTCATCCCAGAAGACAGCAGTGAACATATGAGTAAAAAGAAAAACAAGTGATAGAGATCGTTAAAAGTACAGGATTTCGGATGGACGAAAAAAAGAAATCAAATTTCACCACGTTGAAACGAGGCCGACAAAAGTCTGACCCGTTAAGCTTATTTCCGGTTGTTGCTCCGCATGCCGAGAATCTGGACCATACGGACAAAGATGTTGATGAAGTCCAGCTCAAGGCTGACACTCTCGTTGACAACATCGCGCTTGATCAAACCTCGCTGGGACAGACGAGCGTGGTGCAGGACCTTCTGCACATCGTAGAGAGTGAAGCCACCGAAGACAGCCAGACCACCGTACAGCCAGATGCGCTCAGACCACATCAAGGTGCGAGCAGCTGTGGCGGGGAGAACCAGTGGGGCGAAGCCAGAGAGAGCAACAATAGTCACACCAGCCAGGAGCGGGCCACCCAGGTAGAGGTACTTCTCCTGCTTAGCGGTGGCGCCGACGAAGGCAATCGAGCCCATCATACCGACAGTGTACATACCGGCACGGGCGAGCAGAGCAGGGTGCAGGAACATCAGCGGAGAGAGGAGAGCGGCCTGGGTGACGTTGAAGGCGGTCCAGAGGCCGTATTTCATGAGGTAGCTAGTTTTGAAGTTAGTTTTCATTATATCGCAAGACTCAGTAACATGGCAAACTTACTTCTCCGGGGGCGTGTAGAAAGTTCCAAACATCGTGCCAATGCTACCGACCAGACCGAGGCCGACGACGGCCCACGGGTTCATGGCCATCAGACGGTACGACCATCCATTCATGTGCAGAGCGCGCGCAGCAATACCAATAATACCAATACCAAGGCCGGTGTGCATAAAAGTTTCGTTCAGGAAGCTTCGCTCATACTCGGGCATGCCCCCGTCCTCTCTCGTCTCACGGTTGAAGACCAGGTTGGTCGCCAGAACGGTGCCACCGACGATGGCCGCGCCATAGATCAGCTTCGAGGTGAGGTTGCCACCCTGGGCATTGTAGGTCGGCTGCATGTACGTCCGTCGGAAGGCATTTTGGAAGGTCTGTCGGGACTTCGCGAAGACGGAAGAAGCGCCCAACGGCTTGGAGGCCTGGGCGGGCTTGAACGGAGAGTTGTGGATGAAGCGAGCAGTGCTGGATTTGGGGACCTGGCGAAGCGCCGAGGTCACCACAAAGGGGCGCCTGAGAAAGAAAGCCATGGCTGTGATGGAGGAATGCCGAGGCAGGAGGGGGCGAGGATGAACTTATAAGATGGATGATATCAGCTGTGGATTACTCAGTCGCCGCTTAAATCCGCGGGAAATTTCCAGAAGAGTCACGTGAGCACGATGGATGCGGGCGTCGACGACTTGAGCGGTTGAGTGTTTAGACGGAGTTTGTTATTATTAGAACGACCTCTCTTTTTATTCTCAAGACGTCATCGGGTGAATTGCCTGGCTGATTCCTCCATGGCATCCTATTTAGAGACTATCGCTTTACCCCACCTCCCACCGTCTCTGCCGGTGCATGTTGCTCTATATCGCGATGTGCAGAACTCGGCATTTTTGAAGCAGCAGCTTCTGGCGGGGAATGCTGAATTCGAATACGCATTGATTGATGCAAGCATGGTAGGCTAGATTACTGATTTCTGGATATTGAACCAATGCACTGACGGCAATAAATAGGTCTTGTCGAGGGCACATGCCACCTCTGCTGTATTTCGAGCAGTCAATGACTACATACACGAACGACTCAAGTCGCGGAATGTGCACTCAGAGATTGTCTTCTCTCTGAGCCCGACAAACAATGTGCGTTGAGCATGGAGATCGCGTCGGAGATAAGCTAACTCTTGCCCAGATTGCCGATTCTTTCCGGAAGTTCGGCATCACAGACTCAACAAAAGACCTCCTGGTGGTCAAGGTGTCTGAGTCTCCAGAAATTACACATGACTCTGTTGCGACACATCTGGGGAGTTCCATACAAGGAACTCCCGTGCCTTTTGACGATGAGACACTTTCCAAGATCTCGGATGTGGGCAAGATCAAGAAACTCTACAAGCTAGGGGCTCTCCCATCACCAGGACAGGGAAATGCTGCGCAGGGTGACGATGCGAAGCGACGATTGGAGCTCTCCTTGTTGGGAGCTATTGCTTTGCGAGGGTCATGAGGGGCTTCTGCATATAACACGGTACTTTACCATACCGATGCAGACACAGCCAGGCTCGAGTCTTCGATCGGCTACCAGCATTTAACGTTGTCATGTTGCTAGTCAGAGCCGCAACACTACGGGGCATGTCTGAGAACGACTGCTTGCTCGAGAGGTACCGCGGGACCTCTGGAAGTCAGCGTCCCTAGAAAAGCCCACTAAGGCCTTTTCTGGGCGTGGGCCTTTATAGGTCAAGGCGATTTGAAACTGAGCGGGCCTTGGTAAATCACGCACGAATAAAACCATCCATGGATTGATCCAGTAGTGAACTATATATTTTGGATATTCACCGAAGCATTGTGTAGATTTACACATGGAAGCTATATCTCGGTCATAAATCGAATCGAAACAAGGAATAGTAAAACATTGCTATATGAGTTAATCTTGAGGATATGGCTGTCCAGCCGAAATACCGCGCGTTGCTCCGACCCAACAGCGGATCCCAAAACGGCAACTCTGCAACTCCGCCAAGGCCATGGTGATCGTCACTCCTACACCTCTCGCCCCATTGCAATCTCCCATGAGCTCTCCGGACTTTCGGTACAGAATTGGAATGCAGAGTTTTTGGACGCGCGAGCACTTGTGAGACATGCGCGACCCGGAACTTTCAAGGCTCGGACGCGACTCAACCTGATCCATCAACCAAAACATTCGAATGCGCAGCTTGGAATGATGGCCGGCGCCGATGTGATCGTTCTATCCTCTCCCCCAAATTCTCCTCCGCGCTCTCCAAAACAAGCTGCATACGACCCAGAGCAGCTTTTGGGCATCTCGCCACGATGCGCAACGCCACCGCCAATACCCTCGCCGTCGGAACTCTTCCAACCACCTTCGCGTTCTCGATTCTTCCCTGCACCAAGCGATGGGCGTCTCGGTGACGCGACGAAGCCGAAACGCCGCCCTGCCAAGAAAGCAGCTACATCGAACGACAAGACTGCGCCGAGCAGGTCGCGACCGAAGGCTAACCAGGTCGCAGGCGAGCCGGAATCCGCGGCCCTAGGGGTCCTACAGCCCGAGTCCCTTGATTCGAGGGACAACGCCGCGAAGAAGAAGACCACAAACTCCCAAAAGGGTCGCCCACGAGCGAGCAATAAGAGCAAAGACCAAGGAAATATGACACTGGCTGGAAAGGTGACCAAGAAAAGCAGCGACACGCAGGGAAAACAGCAAAGCAAAAACAACCAGAAGGCAACCCAGAATCTATCAAAACCAACCGAGGTGTCCGAAAGGCCTGCTGCTGAGGAATCGAATGCTTTGGGGAAGCATGAGGACCTACATTTGAACGAGGCGATGAGAAGGAGAATAGATTGGACTCCGCCTAGCGAGACTGCTCCCGGGGATGCCATTGCAGTCGACGACGATGACCAAGAGAAAGAAAAATCCGATGGCGCAAGTGGGTTTGGCAAGCTGCTTTCGGATTATAATTTTTCTGGAACAGCTCCTCGCGAGCTTCCTCAAAACCCAGAAGGCCCAGGGCCGACCAAACGAAGGCGATTAGAGGTATGTTCCAGCAGAATTGTGTTCGCCCTCCTATGCGGATACTGACACCTTCTGTTCTAGCTGGTGAACCCCCAAGTGCAACCAGTGCCTAACAGCAAACCACTTGATTCGGACAAAACGTCCGAAGAGAGCTCGTCATCGTCCGGAGCACAAGCCAAAAAGAAAACCAAGGGCAAAACCAAACGGTTTACAACCTTGACAGCTCGGATGACGGCACAGTATACCTCGAACGACGTCCGAGATGAGGATTCGGTTGACACTTGTGTACCGGATATAGGGACGACAAAGCCCAAACGAGGAAAATCCAAAACCGAGAAAGAACCACAATTTGTTGTTCTCTCCCCAGAAGCTGCCGTCAAATCTGTGAATGAGCAAGATCTCATTTTCGGGACCTGCAGCCAGCTAGAAAGAGAAGACTCGCCGGAGACACTTCGAGAGACGCAACAAGCTATCCGTGCCTCCGAGAGTCTTCTCTTTGAAGAGCGTGGAAACAGCCCCAATCCTAGCATCGAAGAAAGTGCAGCCCACAGCCTGTCATCTACTCGGTCCGTATCCAGATTGGTAGGCACAAGGAATCTATGGCGTGTTGCCGCCCGGGACACGGAGGGGTCTTTGGTTCAGAAGGAAGCTGTGGATATAGTCGATTCAGCGGGTCGGCCTGGCATTCCCGCAAAAGAGAACCTTGATACCAAGCAACAGCCAACCAGACCGAAAGAAGATAACTGGTTCGAGATCGACTACGAGGAAGTGGATTCGCCTGGACAAAAAACTACAACCACCAAGCAGAGCTCCGGCTCTACCACTGGCACCAGCTCCATCACCGAATCTCGAGCTTCTAATACTACCGAACCTGCCAAGACTTTTTATAGTAACTCGGCGGACAAGGCGAGCGATCAAAGAGCAGACTCGATCCGACCTGCCATGCCACAGTACAGTGGGTTTACCGACGCAGAACTATCAAAACAGATCATCGCGTATGGATTCAAGTCTGTGAGAGGCCGCAAGAAGATGATTGGCCTTCTTCAAAAGTGCTGGGGATCCAAACATGGCAGTAGCGTCACTGAGCAACCGACGATGCCTCAGACTGAACATCCCACAGAAGCAGCTCCTGGTCAGCCGCAAAGTGATAAAACACTCGCACAATCTTCGGCCCAGGCCCCGCAAGCTAAATCTAAGGCGAAGGCCAAGGCCAAGTCCACAACGAGCACCTTGCCTTCTACAATGGACAGGACTTCGGACGTGACTGAAAAACCAAAGTCTATTCCGAGGACTAGCCCAAAGAAAAGCCCCCAAAAGAGCTGGACCAGCAGATCAACTATACAGCCCTCATCCTTCATGGACGTGGAAGAGATTCAAGATTCCGAGGAGGAACTCATGCCTTCTCCGAGCCAAATTCAAAAGCGGTACACAGAAATGTACTCCAAACCGACGGATCAAGTCCCTGCGCCGCCCTTGGATCTGTTCACTAAAACACCACCCCCGAGTCCGACCAAGCGCAAACCTGCTCCTTCCACGTCCTCGTCCACCACAACAGGACCGGCCACTTTGGACTCTAACAAACCCGAGTCATCTACCAGGCGGAGCAGCCTATTGGACTTACCAACCCAAATCACCAAAGCGGTGCGCGCCCAGCCCAAACTCTCGCCGCTCTCGACATCGTCCAGCTGTCGTAGCCGCCCGACATGGCACGAGAAAATTCTTATGTTTGATCCCATCGTTCTGGAGGATTTCACTGCGTGGCTGAATGTCGAGGGGCTCAGTCTTGTGGGCGAAGATCGAGAGATTAGTGCTGTGTCGGTGAGAGAGTGGTGTGAAAGCAAGGGCATCTGTTGCTGCTGGAAGAAGAATGTTATCTGGTAAGGCAAGAGGGGTCGCCTAATATCTTTGTCTATATGTATATATTAGCCGTCCCCTCGAGTCGGACCCACAGCATTTTCAGCTGTTAGTCCTCCCTACCGATACGCAAATTCCCACCGATACGTAAATTTTTCTTTTTATTCATCTTCTTTATTATATACTCAGTATACCAAAATTCGACAAAAATACCGAAAATCGCCTTAATCAGGCCTACGAAGTAGCAAAACGCGATAAAAAACCAAAAATCGCGTCGCTAACGCGTGAATTCGACGTTCCCTATTATCGACTTCGCGCTAGAATTTATAGTCGTCCACTAAGAATAGCTACTACTCCTATTAACAAAATATTTAACGATTCGTAAAAAAAGGCAATTATTCGTTAGATTCGATATCTTAACTCTCTACAAGTTTCGCCTATAATTAGTATAATTAAGGATTATACGAATCAAATTTTAAAACGGAATTCTACGAACAACACGTTCCCTATACTACGCGTTTCGAAGAACTAGATATATTGCTTTATTAAACGCCTCCTACTAGACTTATAACTAATAAAACAAAAACTAATCGAGAGAAGCCGTCTATAAGTAAAGGATATTAGATATTTAGTAGTTTAGTTCGATCGTCTAGAGCCGTATATAGCTAAAACTAGGGCAAAAAATATCTATAACTTCAATAAAACTAGTTTCTAACTTAGTTAAAATAAAACGCAAAAGATCGTTATAGCTAATCTATAACGAGTATAACGAGGTAATCTTTCGATAGAGAAAGGCGAATCTCTTACGTCTATTGAATATATCACTATTAACGGCTTCGTTCTCCCTTTTTATCTCGTTTTTCGCGGCGAATATTATCTTAAACGATAGTATATAATAACTTCGTTTCTAGATAATTATTGTATCGCTATAAGCCTAAAAAGATATATAAATAATAAAATCATATATAACTAACTTTAATAGTTTTAAATTTATACTACTTCTCGCGCGAAGGGTTAAAAACGGCTATTTTTGATAGATAATTACGGATTGTATTTAACGTACGAATTAATCGATTTTTGTTAATAATTCGATATTATTCCGATCTATTTTATCCCTTATATTACTTATTTTACTTAGCCGCTCGATAGAATACTTTTTTAAATATTAAAATACTATTTTCGAAGTCGAAATAGTGATTTTTCGAGATAGGGTAACAGCGTAGATAATAAAGTAGATTTTCTTCAAGAATTACCCTAAATTTAATAGCAAACCTTTACCCCTCGGACAATTCGAGATACTTTTAAGGATCGAGATATTTATTCTTTTAATCCTTAGAAAATCTTCGATAGACTCCTAAAATTAGACTCGCTAATTATCGAAGGTCTAGAGCCCTTTAATAATAAGAATATAACTCCTCTACCTCCTTTTAGTTTAACAAACTCGCCTCCTTTATTAATTTATTATATATAGCGAAATATTAATAAAGCGAAGGGTTAAATCGATAAGAGTCCGTAGCTAAATAATAGCTATCGATATCGCCTTAATCGCCTATTTAAAACCTCTATCGAAGCTACTAAACTCGCCTCGTATTCGTAATCGGTTCTCGCCTAATATCTTTATCAAATTCAACCTAAAAAGATACCTAAAAGTCGTAGACAAATCCCTATATTAGGACCTCTCTCAGTAAAAGATACAAATTATCGAATTACGGACCGTACAACGAAAAAGATATACTAGAATATTCGACGAGCGAGAAAATAGGTAGTTTCGCAGCCACCCTATATCCCACAACGAGATCAGAATAGGGAGATATTGGTATTAAAAGAAGGCGAATTAACTACTAAGGACCCTCCGCTATTTTTTTTTAATTCAGTTAGTGAAATTGTTGAATAATTAATAAATAAAGAGAAAAATTTACGTATCAGTAGGAATTTACGTATCGGTGGGGAGGACCAATAACTGAAAATACTATGGGTCCGACTCGAGGGGACGGCTAGTGCTGAATTAACCACGTCTTAGGATCGATTTTCTTATTAATATAGAAATAGACCCTTAGCCTACCGTCTTCTCTTTTCTCGGAGCCTATTATCTTTAGAAGAACGTGAAACCTACCTCTGAAGGTATAAAGTATATTAATACCTATCGGTTCTATCTAGTGATATATCTCTAGTTCTTGAATCGCGAGTACCTTGTAATTATTACGGGATAGACTGGCCCTAAAGGGGAATCGCATATCTAACCGTTCCTAACGGCCATAAGGGAATAAAGTGGAATTACAAGTGAGAGAACGGGATCTAGGGATAGAGATAGAAAGTCATATACCTAGACGTTAACTAAGGAAAAATATAGGATAATAGCTACGCGATACGCGTAACGCGTATTACGGGGGTTAACCTATAATAGTACTTTCTCTTCTTTTAGATCTCCGAAGGAGATAATGTAGAAGTATTCACTATACGGCTCTTAATAGTAAGCTTCGTATAAAGGGGTCGTAATAGATAAATAGAAATCTAGTAATTAGAGGAATTATAATAAAAATAAAGATTATTCTTAAGACGATTATAGACGTAGTTTATCGATTTAATAAAATTTATAGAAATAGATAAAGAAAAGTAAATAGAGAGTATATAAAAGATATTTATATAGAAACTACTTAAATAGGTACTAGATATATAGCGTCGTGATCCTAGTTCTAAATCAGGGATTTCTGAGTTAGTAAATAGAATGGTTTCTAGGTAGATTTCTAGATAGGTTTCTAGAATAGTTAAGGCTAATAAGTTCGTTAGTTAATTCGCTAAATAAGCTCGATATAGTTATTATATATAAGGCTAAAGAGTAAATTATTCGACTCCTTAAAAATCTAATATAAAGTAGACCGGAGCCTATAATAGAGCGTCGCGAGAAATAATATATTAGACTAAGAAATTATATTAGTTTTATATGAAATAACGTTTAAAATAAATAAAGTAAATAATAAATAATTCGTTTTTTTTATTATTATATAGATATAAAATATTAAATAGCTTTCTATTATTCGCGTGGGCTATAGTGTTACGAACTGCTAACTGGTCACGGTGAGTAACGTCCGCAAAGGTGATACTTCTCTAGGAGTACTGCAGGCCTCAAGCGTATCCGCAACCGTACCAATGCCTCGGGGGCCTTCTATGGGCTCGGGTCTCTAGGGTGCTTGCAAGGTGTGCCAGTTAGAGCGCCGGTCAAGTCAGTCACTTAGGGATCGAGGATCACTAAGTAAGCTCCCAAGACCGTTGGAGGGTTGTCGCTATGTTCGAACTGTGAAGTACCAAAGGGTGGTTCCAAGTAACAATGATGGGATTGATCACGAAGAACTAAATACATGTGGTAAAGACTGTCCTTATATATCCCTTGCCCAGTATTCCACGCCCTCGTTTGTGGTATACTGCATGCAGGCATGTAGTAGTCCCATTGATATACCATCCGATATACCATTCCTTGGCGATGGATCGTGGTATATTGTCACGTGACTTATACCCTTGTTGTCCTGCATCATCACCGCGGGGTTGGTTGGCTCTGGTTTCCTCTTGTACCCCTGTTGGCGCGAGTGAGGTGGCTTGGTTCGTAACATCATCTCCCCCTCTTCCAGATTTTCGTCCTCGAAAAGTCCTTAAATTCTCGGTGTCCCCTCTAGGTGAGTTCCCACAATGTTGTCCCGTCATGTCCCCCCGCACTGCCGTTAAACCGAAGCGTAACAAGTACGCTGATAACGCTCGTTTGGGTGATAGGATTGAACGAACTGGTCGCCCCGTGGATTTCCCGTGCGATTATTGTCTTATTCGTGGAAAGTGTTGCATCATGAGTCCTTTCGTGAAGAGTAAGAAGTGTTCGACTTGTGCTCGTCGTGGACACACTTGTGAGAGGAGTTTCCACACAGATAAGGAGTGGGATGACCTGCAACAAAATGAACGAAAGTTGGCGTCCGATCTCGAGGAGGCCCAAAAGCAATTTCTTCAGCATTCGCAAAAGATGAATGAGGCGATGGCAAAGGTCCTTCGCCTCCAAAAACATCAACAATTTCTCAAAGAACGTGGTGGTCGGATGTTGGATCACGATCAGACGACGTTGGATCGGTTAAACGAAGAGGATCCCCCTACCGCCGAGGAATTTCGTGATTTTGATCGGTTGGCGGAGCAGCAGGAGATTCGTCAATTGGCTGCTACGTCGGGAGACGCTAGTCTGATGAGGATGACTCAGTCTCTGGATCAGATGCCTCCTGGCTTCTGGAGTGTCGAGGCTGCGATTGCCGAAGGGAATTTCGATCTATCCGCTGGTGGAACTGTTGAACCAGCTGAGAGCAACCCGTCAGGTGCTCAATAGGTTCCCAAGTGTTTTCAGAGGTATCGTACCCCTTCCATTTGACAAGGTAGTGAGGCTTGCCACTGATGCGTTTGTTGTCCAGAACTTTTTCGACTTCATATTCGTTTTCGGTTTCTTCTTCGATTTCCACGTTGGTAGCGAGTTCGGCGTTTTCTGGTGCGGGTTCGAGTAACGAGATATGAAACGTTGGGTGAATGCGTCGCATGCTTTCTGGTAGTTTCAAGCGAAAATTGACTGGTCCTGTTTGTTCTTCAATTTCGAATGGTCCCAACTTCAGGTGGTCGAGTTTCGCGCTCGGTCGCTTGGTTTTGATGTTTCGTCGTAGGAGGTAGACCTTCTCCCCCTTTTTCAGATCAGGGCCGGCTCGGTGGCGCTGGTCGTAGTGCGTTTTCATGCGTAGGTTCAGAAATTCGATGTCTCGAGCCATTTGCATGTGGAGTTGCTTGATCCCGGTGGTCAGTAGTCTTGCGGATTCTGCCACAGTTCTCTCGTTTCGGGGTTCTCCGATTAACTTGGGATTATACCCATAGTTCGCGAAGAACGGCGATTCCTTCGTCGTTGCATGCATCGCGTTGTTGTAAGCGAATTGTGCAATTGGTAACAATCCTGCCCAATCGTCTTGCTGGTGGTTCACATGGTGTCTCAGGTATTGTTCCAGAGTCTGGTTGACTCG